CATCGATCAACTTGACCCCGCCGTGATAGTACTGGACACTCTGTTCAGACCAGCAATTGACATCACACGAGATAAGAATCGTGTACATGCGATGGTGACCCCAAACACGCTGGTAGACAATTTTCTAGGCTATCAACCAAACGGGAGCATGTTTTGGAAATATCCGGCGTAGGTAGATCATATTCCAGCAGCTGAATGATTGCTAACCAGTACGAGTCTATCATCGGGCTTCACGTTTCCAGTCCCGCTACGCAAGATTCCTGAGAATACTTACCTTAACTTTCGCTTCATATACAGTGCCATGATGACTCCAGATTTATCTGCCAAGAAGACTGAACTTAAAAAACATGGTCTCCGTGACCCAATCAATTTTCTTGCTCTTCACCGGCCAGACGTGCCTTGGATTACTATGACAACAGAGGGGGCTTCAATTCCCGTGGATTATGTCCCACCCAACGTGTTTTGCGCCGGGCCTATGTATCTCTCTGTGGCCACAGCCGCCGAACAGGACCCTGAAATAGCAGACTGGTTGAAGAACGCTCCCACTGTTCTCCTTAATCTGGGCAGTACTGTGCAGGTAGGGTTAACTGCTTCCACTTGACGAATTATGAACTAATAAACCTCCGTTGTCTTAGTACACAAATGAGCGCGCCGCTTGGATGGTTACGGCCATCGAGAACGTTCTCTCTAACACTCGTGTCCAAATTCTGTGGAAATTTGCAAAAGTCGGCGACTACTCCGACGACGTTCTCGACCCATTGCAGCAATTTGTTGCCTGTGGTAGATTGAGGATGGATAAATGGCTGAGTGTTGATCCAACGTCATTACTTGAGACTGGCGACATCGTGGCCTCGGTACATCACGGCGGTTCAAACTGCTATCATGAAGCCATAGCGTAAGTGGCCTTTACCATCAAGGATACCTCACTTGAGACTAACTTACATACAGTACTGGAGTACCGCAGATTATCTTACCTCTATGGTCTGACCTCTACAACTTTGCTGCTCTTAGTGAAACCATTGGAGTTGGTGTATGGGCATGTAGGGATACTAGCCCTGATTGGACCGCTACGGGTATCAGTGATGCAATCCTCAAAGTCGTGGATGGAGGCCAGACAAGTATTCTGATGAAGCGGAAGGCCAAAGAACTTGGAGACAGGATTATGGCGGGCGACAGGGGACGAGACATCTCGGCCCGTGTAATCGCGAAGTTGGCACATGTGGAGTAGAGAAATCATGCCACTCTGATGCCGAATCCAATCTATGCAATTAAACAATATCTCTAGATACACTACTATTCAACTAGAAGAGTAATTCAAAGTCTCGTTATTCCAATCTTGTTTCGGTCAGTCTTGATGGCGGCACGGCAGAGTAGGGTGTGGTGTATGATACAACCCTACGGTCCTCCCCCACCACCACCGAAGTCCGCCGCCAGCCGCTCGCACCAACAACTCTCCGTCTTACGTGGGGGCTACAGGCTCCCAAAAAGGATCATGCATTTCCGAGTCACTGGCAAGCTACATCTCACCGGGGTATGATAACCCCCTTTCATCGATGCAACAGTAGGCAAGTACACTGTGCGACGTCTATCGCACGCCGGTAACGGTACCTTTACTGCTACGCCTTCCGGGATTCACTGATCACATGTTAGTTGATGTTACACAAGCTCTGGCGTTATCACGACCTAATTATAGTAGTTCATTGGTTATACAACCTTCCTGAGCAGGCCAATTTGGAAAACCAATGCCAAATGATGGGTAGTTCGTAACCACCCACCACTTCCTCTATGTTTGGAAATTCATTCAATCTTCGGATTCATCATTCAGAGGGTTGAACTGTTCCTTTCGTAGCTCTAGACAACAACAACAACAACAACAACAACAACAACAACAACAAGAGGCAAGATTTTGATACATAGCTAAGTGACCAACGGTCGCAGACTTGGTTAAAAACTCATTTAACATTTTTATGTTCAACAGTAGGCCTGAAAAGTCACCCGGATTCTGTCTATGTAGCTTGCTTCTTAAACTTGGAAATTTTATCTTTATTTTCACAGACCGTCTCGTATTTTGATGGTACCGGATGCGCCCATGCCTACTCATGGTTCAACCTTGAGCAGGAGCCTGCTCTCAGATACCTACGAGTCAAACCTATACTCTTCATACTTTTAATAGTATGGTATGTAGCCTTTTGGTAATATAGCTCTCACAGATTTAAAATAATGAAGCAAATATAAGAGACAATAAAACAAGTCTCAGAAAATCGAATAAACATATAAGGCCATAAAGCAAATGTAAAACAATTCCAATCCTATAGTGAAATATCAAACCAAAGCATATGACTTACTTTGTATTGGGGCACTAACACTTTAAATTGTAGGCTCATCATAATCGTGATGTCCCGTAGTGTAGTATATGTTGGAGTATGAAAATGTCAAAGATGCCGTCGGAAGTGACATGCAGCGGTGCCAAACACCACTCATCAACAGTTCTATCTTACTAAATAGAGTTCAAACACTCTCTCATAGATTTTGTGATGAGTCTCAAGAGTAGTATGAAGCTATCATTCGAAACAAATGTATCAGTAGTTTCTCCATAGTCTCAATCTGTCTAATGATTGTAGTGTAGTTGAGGCTCATGGGCCCTATCCACGATGCTAGTCAACGGACATTGTGAGCTCAAAGTAGGCATCTTGGTAAATATGATTTTATCCAACAAATTTAAGCTTTCTTAGTCTATGCCATCATCCGCAATCTCACGTCTATAGACACACATACCAACCAGTCATCGGCTGTTGATACATCCGCCAGGTTTAGGTGCCCATGGCATAGGATCCATCAGGCAACATAAGCATTCATCAAAAGCCAGATGTGACTGCTAAGGAAGGTACTTGAGGGCCAAGTACCACCGCTTGTCGCTATGTGACGAGGATGGAGGATGGCCAACCAGTAGAATAGTTCAAGTCGTACCTTCGGAGATACGAGGATGAAAGAGCGCCTTACTTAGAGTAGCAAAGTTTATTAACAACTTACCGTTGTATCTTTTTGTCGGACATACGCATGCGAGGATGCTGCATGCATAGAGTGCTACACATCTCTTGCTATGACACGTAGGCTGATGTGGCTGTGTTGGAAATGGACAGTGTACGTGGAACCATGTACGCACATCTTTGGTCAACAACTGCCTCTGTCCCTAAACGTTTCAATATGATTAAAATTTACTTTCTATCTAGATAGCGAGTTTATGACTCGCACACTCGTCTGTTAACGTCAATTTGTATCATCCCCATGTGTCTTACTAAAACTTCGAGTTACAGAAAACACGGCGCTTCTCATGAAGCGTGGCTTTCACATCATAAGAATCAAAGAGTACAATTTGTAGCGTCAGTGTTTGACATACCTGAAAAAATGCTACGCGTTGTGTTGTAATACGTGTGTACAAGTTAGCCTCTTCTACTCTCACGCCTCCCCCTTAACCATCCCCTGACCACATTATGTATTGCCTCCTGATTATCCTTCACACCCCCTCCATCATCTATTGAAAAGGGAAAGAATCTCATTTGCTGCTTAGGGTTGGATTGGCACCTATAAAGTGGCTCTTCGCCATGGCGCGTGTAAAATCAAACCTATCTCCATTCTGGCACACGTCTTGTAACCCGAACCATTAATGGGGGATTAAGACATTGAAATTCATATGAAAATCCTATCAGGTTCCGAACTCACCCAAAGGCGCAATTTGAAGAGACGAGTCACGATAAAATACGCCTCGATGTGGTCGATGAACTAAATTTCCCTAAAATACAACCAATACAATAAAATGGGAATCAAGAAAAAGAGTTTTGAATCAGCGGAATACATTTGGGTTTAGAAAGCCCCTATATTGAACGGAAGACAATCGAATAATCGCAACCGCTAACTGCGCCGACTATCTAGCTCCGCCTTCTGAAGTTGAACACATGAACCAACAATGATTCATCAATGAAATAATGGATTCCAATTCCCGAAACTACGAAGAGGTACCCTCGACTACTTTACTCACGATTGTCATTGATCTTGTTAGGAAATTGTTGAACGTGGAAAAGCAGCAGGTCATCTCTGTTCAAAAAAGCTGGATCGCCAGATGTTGTAGGCATTTCAAGGCGACTACCTCTAAACGAAGATCAATTATCCGTTAGTCCGGATATCCTGGAAATATCCAGTTGGAAGGGAGGCTTTCTACTCTAAAACGCGATGACGAAATCCATGCGTCTATGGAGTGGCTAACTCTTCATCACCTCCCGAAACAACCGTCACGCTTGGCCCTTCATGTCTAAATAAGGAGAAACAACAGCGCCTATTCGTCTACGTCTCAATATCAGCCGGCTTTTTATCAGCTGCTGAGCCTAAATCTGACCCACGAAAGGTTACTTATAGTGTTACCCTAACCAGCCACAGGTACAAGCCCCCTATCAAATGGTTATTTGGTCTACCACCCTATTCTATCCAACTTGATAAATCTTGCCGACTTTTAACTACTAGATGTGGCGTCCAGTGACAACAGCCGTCAGATCTTATCCAGCCAGTCTTGGCCTTGACATCGTCCGGGGGACGAGCAGCATTGAAATCAGGCTCAACGACCATCATACATCAAGATTTCATCGACTCAATACATATCAAGAGATTGAGGTGGTTCCAGGAGGTTAATGGCTCCTACAGGGCACCATTCAGAACCTCCTCTGTGGCCCGGCTTCCTCAAATGCTAGGCGAATTAGCTAATACGCGATCATTATCTGTTTGGCGACTAAGTCTTTCGGCCTCTTCATCTTGCCTCAACTGACTTTGTTTCAGCACTTAAATACAGACACACCAAAGGCGTACCACACGTGTTCGGTCACGCGTGACAAAGAAAAAGCCCAAAATTCACCACAAGGAGGGCCGAATAAGCTGAAACATGGTTTGCGGACAAAAGGAAGACAGGAATGAAGAAAGCTGCATTCATTCCTCACTGAGAAGGATGCTAACACTCATAGAGCCTCAATCACGACCTCTGCTCTTTCAAGGCCCTTTGCCTCTGCAGTGACCACGATCTTGCCAGGTGAATATGCTCGAACAATCGCAAGAGCAAGTCCATTGAACAACTTTCGTTCGCGGGAAGGAAACTCCACGAAATCGGCCTGGAATCCATTATCTGTCGCGATAATTTCACCAGGACCTGAAAGCGAGAAAGTGACGGTGTCATCCGCCTCGGGTACCTCCCTACCTTGCTCATCAAGGACACTGACTGTAATCCAGGTAAGATCCTCCCCATTGGCATCGATCTTCTCAAATTCTGGAGTGAGATTAAGCTTAGCACCATCAGATGTTGTCGAAACCGTCTCATTCGCCCAGAACTCGCCGTCCTTGTAAGTTATTACATGTAGCTCGCCAGGCTCATATGTGACATTATCCCAACGGAAACGGTACTCCAACTCTCTCTGTCCTAACTTTCCCTGGGATTTGCCATTCACAAAGAGTTCGGCTTCGTCCGCTGAAGTGAAAACATGCACTGGGGTTATCTCACCTTCACGACCGGGCCAAGTCCAATGAGGAAGGATATGAGCCATCCTCACTGTAGGGTTCCAGCGGGATTGATATAACCAGAAGCGCTCTTTCTTGAAGCCTGCAAGATCAATCATGCCCGAGTACGCACTTCTGGCCTGAGGCCAAGGATATGGCTCTCCTAGATAGTCCCACCCGGACCATAAGAAGCCGCCAGCAAGGTAGGGTAGTTGATCTTGGACTTTAAAGACGATGTCGTGGGAAACACTCCAATTTGAAGAATATAGTTCATAGCCGGAAATTTCCAGCGTGTCCACGTCTCCACCAGAGTGGTCTAGAACCGGTGCTCCGTCATACTGAGTAACGGGGAAAATGAACGAAGAACGGCTGCTGAGCGACCAGGCGAACTCGCTACCAAAGAGAAGTTTATCCGGGAAAGCTTCATGGAAGGACTCATACAATGGCTGGCGTCGGGGTTCGGGCAAGACGGAGTAACCTGGATATTCCATGCCCTCGCCAATATAATTCAGACCAAGCACGTCGAGGGCTTCGGGGAACTTGTGGGATGCAGTAGCGGAGTTTAAAGAGGCCATGATTGGCCGAGAGGCGTCCTCTTCATGCAGGATTCTCGATAGCTCTGTTGCAATATCGAAACCACTTGAGCCTCCTTGTTCTCCGACTTCGTTGCCAATGCTCCACATGATAATTGAAGCATGGTTTCGATCTCTTCGAACAAAAGTCTTGACATCAGGTTCGTGCCAATCGGTAAATATTAAGCTGAAATCGGCAATATTTTTATCGTAGTTCCACACATCAAAGATTTCATCTATCACCATGAAGCCTAAGCGGTCTGTGAGTTGTAGCAGTTCGGGCGCTGGAGGGTTATGTGCCATTCTGATTGCATTAACACCAGCTTCTCGAAGAAGGTGTAATTGCCTTTCGGCAGCTTTATGATTATAAGCGGCTCCCAAGGCGCCTAGATCGTGGTGTTGGTTTACGCCCTGGAAGCGCAGACGTTCTCCGTTGATCCTGAACTCAGCACCACCGAAGGTGAGCGTACGAATTCCAAACTGCGTCTCGTATGTATCCACAACCTTACCGCCGTGAATGACTGTGGTCATAGCAAGGTATAAATTTGGAGATTGACTTGGAGGCGGGCCCCATAATCGCGGGTTTTGGAGGGTGGTAGAGGTAGAAATAGACTCTTGCCCATGCGCCGGAAGCACCGCTGAAGAGGATGGAAAACCAGCCACTCGTTGTGCGGGGCTACCGTTTGTAGAATCTATTTCAAAGATCTCCGTTTGAACAGTAACATTGGTTTGTTTCTCTGCATTGTTCTCTAAGTTGACGACGAATTTGATTGATGCTGAATCTCCAGCAACCTCCGAAGTGATATACGTGCCCCAACGGGCCACATGGACTGGCTTAACCTTGGTAAGCCACACGTTTCTGTAAAGCCCGGCGCCTGTGTACCATCTCCCAGAGTCCGGAGGATTATCAATTCGAATGGCTAACTGATTATCGCCCTCCTTCAAATGCGAGGTTACGTCGAGATGATATGAGTTGTATCCGTAGGGCCAACCGCCGATAACCTTGCCATTGATCCACACCGCGGAGTATGACATTGCCCCATCGATTTCAAGATAAATGGATTTACCGACATCGGCGGGTGAGAACGATAGCTTTCTTCGGTACCAGCCCACGCCATGGAGCGGTAGCGAGCCCATTTGGCCAGTAATTGGAGACTCGTCACCGTTTGTGTAGAATGGTCCTTTGATAGCCCAGTCATGAGGAACTTCCACATCCTCCCAGTCACTGTCATCGAATGAATCTTCGACATAGGGGATATCTATATCAGGGTCCTCGGTCGGCACTTCGTGCCTATCTTCAGCGTTCTCGATAAACTCGTTTGCCGTTGGAAGAATCCAAGGCTTCAAGATGAAGAGCCCCGACTCGTTTGCATATGGTCGAGGCTCGTACACCAAATTGTCTGGCCTGGATTCAGAACGCCAGAATTTCCAGCCCGTATGAAGTCTGATACGTTCGCGTGGGGAGTTGGGTTGGTTTCCATTAGTCTGTAAACCTATTGCTGAGCACAGATTGCACTGCATCACCATAAACAGCCAGGTCAGCACGGGTAGGACAATGCTGTCCTGGATTCCAAATCGAAGACGCATGCTTTATGGCGCATAGATCTATGTTTAGAGAGAACAAAAAAGGTCGGGGAAAAAAACCGGTTGCCAGAATTGGAAGCTTAGATATTTCCCTCAAATTGGGCTCTCGAGAACCGAAACCGTTCTCTGCCCAATGCTGAAAGCAAAGCGAGGATTCTTAGTGTCATAGAAGGCGACTTGCGATATGAAAAACAAATCAAACGCAGATCTATCGTCTTGGTGAGCATCCCGTGGTCATTACCCCTCCACTCAAGACATCGGCAAAATCCTTCATAACCACAACCCGAGAACTCTTCTCACCGCAATGAGACATTTTCATACATCCGCACCAATACCAGCTGTGTGTTTTAGCTGAGGATAAATGACCCGTAGCTCATTATTTAGCCATGACTCACCCCCTGTCGCCTTATGGATTTTTGAATTCTTCCGTAAAGATCGCCACATTATGTGACAGCGACTGGCAAATGAGGCAACTACCCATTGACAGATCGCCATTAACAAGTGGTCCCTTTACTTAGTTTCGGGAATATTAGAACCGAATGACTTTAGTCTAATCATCCCCGCACGACTATTCACTTTAAGGGAGAGAGCCATATAGTTCAGCACTTATTCAGATGCGAGCCAGGGAGCTTCCCATGTCCTTCTTCACGCCAGGCTACGATAGCCTGAAGCGCAATGAAAGAAAAACAGACACACAGAATTCGATGCGATAATTAGTGAGGTTCCAAAAATTCCCCTCCTATTGGAATAAAAGGGAACAGTCTAAAGTGGTCAAAGACCGGGGCGCGGTTAGCAGTTCCTCTCTCAGCTTGCGCATCAAGGAGCAGGAAACAACCCAAGCACACGGATGGGGAAAAGAGAGAAAAAAAAGCAAGGTTGGGAAGTAGGGAGAAATGACAGAATTCATAGATTTTCGATCCGTCTATTGCTGATGGGCTGGAGTCATTCGGGCACCCAAGGAGCGCGCTAGATAAACTGAGTTCGCGCCCCAGCGTGACTCATGATTAGGCTGACTTTATGCACCAGCTCTAGGCTCAGCCTTATTCTATCTACCTTTCAAGCAGTTAGTTACCCAAGAAGTTCTAGCACATTCAATATGCCATCATCAAAGCGGCAGTAACATAAGATTTTTCCGAATGACCACTCTAGCAAACTATAGCATTCGTTTCATGAGATTTTGAGTTGATGTGGTTTCTTGCGTAACGGCCATGGAGCGTCTGCAGGGGGCATTCGTTGTCTTCGACAGAGTCTATAGTACATGAGTCGCGTCAGCGAGGTAACTTTCTAATTGCAGCTTCAAAGTTCCTAAGCTTGGGGGGCAAACTTTGTATAAATTTTTTAGGATGACTATGGATTGTATTCTTAGCTTATAAATGTGGCTAAGTCGTACGTAATTCCAAATTGTTTCCTTCCAGCTGTTTAGGTTGGCATATTTCTCTTTCCTCCGTAACTTACATAAGATTTAATTCTATAGTCATAACCTCTCAGATAACATACGTGTAATAACATTATGTGAGTAATGAATGAAACAAAGGCCGGGAGAACCCAAGTAGCTAAAGGGCAACGAACGTCCCTTGGACAACCAAGTCGGCCACCTGACAGGGCTATAAAGTTTCAAGAAGAGAGGGAGGAAAATACACGATGAGTCATGATGAGAACTAAATAGCGAGTTCGCACGCCAAGCTGAACATCACAGCTGCGGTTGCAAGGTTAAGATAAATTGGGAGGGACCAAGCCGGAATAAGGGCCTTACTCCCGAGGCCTTCACTCCAGCCCTTGAGTTTTTAGAAGACGTTTGATAGTTTGATAGGATTATGTCTAGACATATCTTGTAAGACCCCAGATTGTATTACTAGGTTCCAGAATTGAATAGATATCTGCCTAGGTCCGTTAAGCCTTCCATATCATCTCCAATGAAAGACCCTTGCCCGTTATTGTAAAGAGCGTAATATTGCCTGTAGACGTCTTCCGTCAGTGGATTAGGTATCAACTCCCCTGGAGCTAAGACGATGCCTCCAGGATCCGATCGAAGGGTCCAAATGTTTGAGATTTCATCCCATAGATTATTATCGAGCGTCGCCATGTTTATCACGTTTGGGTCGTTGGCCACATTGCCAGTTATGTTTTCCTCAGTGTTTGGTTGTCGAAATGATCCAGTTTCCCATCGTGGAGGGCAACTGCTATTGTCGTTGTTATTTGTAGGGTTACCTGTCGCGAGTTCAGGCCTGTGGTCCAACTCAGGCACCGTATTGTGGCTGTTTGTTTCAGCACGAGCCCTTTGGAGGAAAGCTCTCGTCAGCTCCCAAAGTTTTTTAGCCTCCTGGAGCCGCTGGAAGGCAAAGATATTGCCCTTGTCGGCTAAGAATTGAAGCACTTCAAGCGCATCATTAAGTCCCAGCGTTGGATATAAGCGGTCTTGATCTGGGCACGCAGAGTTATACAGTGCCATAAGGGTCATCACGATAGCAGCTGAGACTGCTGATTCAAGGTCGAAAAAGCCAAAAATAACTGCGATGGTATCCAGTCAGTTCTCAAATCGATCGCTAGGGGGTCAAGATAAGGCGCAGACCTAGCATATTCTTGCTTTTCAATACGATGATAGCCTTCAGCATCCGTCTAGCCGCCTCTATGCAAGTTTCAGTGAGCTTCCCCATAGGCGACCTCGACAAATCTTCTTCTGTGGATACATTGCCCTCCAATATTAGCTGAGTAACGTGTAACATGATCGGCCGTATTGTCAAAAGTGTCGCCTAATATACGGTTAGAAAGCTGCCAAGACTGGAACTAAATGGCAACGGTTCTCTTCGCACCTGGTAGAGCATTAAATGTAGCATGGCGGTTGTCCTCAGAGAGAGGTCTGATCCAGAGTTCCACATACTGATGTCAAGTTCCGACGGTATGTTCTGTGATATATCGTATAGCGTCTGCACAATATCCTGGACGTTTGAAACGAACGACTGTTCTGTTTCCGCTTCCTTTCCATATAAATCTGGGGGGTAATTTAGCTTTGCATCGAAGCCAATATTTCTCAGTACAACGTACCACTGATGATTCTTCCCACCACTCTGCCTATCTTGATATTCGTGCACAGGGGTCCTGCAGGGCTGAATCCTGGCGCGTCTGTTGGTAGCGGCAATTCGATCGCTTCATCGTTGATACCTGATGGGTTACCTGTAGCAGCTGCTAGGCGCCTGACAATTAATTAGACTAGCAATGAGACCGAATTAATTCGTAATTAATCACCTCTCTTGCATGTAAACGGTCCACCAGAGCCGGTTAAGCCTGACCCTCTCGGAATGGGCAAACTTTTCTAATCGAGACTCGCGGTGGAACCCATGGGATATAGCCAACCTCAACGCAGTGCTTATCTGGTTCCTTAGGTGTCAGTAAGTTGATTTCAAGTGAGAGATTAGTATCCAATTGACGCACATATATATAAGCTTCCTCTCGCCTGTTTGAGTTTTGCATATATACCGCAACTAGTGCAGTCACTTCAACGCCAAGCCTCCCGAGGCTGTACAATTCTCCCAATGTCGGAAAGTTACCAAGAATGAACTCGAATAACTCGGTCCCGGGTATTTCGCCACCCATGTCGATTTCACCTACAAATAATTTTCCAATAGCTAAAATCAGAAGAGCCGCTAGCATCTCAGGCTTCGCCAATTCATCAGGGCCCAGAGTACTCTCTGAGAGGTAGGATATCCTATCAAGAAGCTCTCGAGCATCAAAATGGCATTGGGCCTGGCCAATATAAAACGTGACCGCTTCAAGAAGACAGAGGGCATTGTGAGGAGTCGGCAAGCTGGGTATTGTCATACTTTCCGCTCTTCTGGATCCTTGAGTAGTGGCATTGTTTGGTAATGGGGTAGATCGCACAGGATCAACCCTCGATGCTCCTAAAGGTTCTTCAGCTCCAGCATGATCCAAAAGCGTATGGATCCTCGATCCGAAAGTGTGACTGGAGCTTAACGAGGAGTCGGATGCTATTTCTGGCGATGATATTAGACTTTGAGATGGACGATATCAGCCGTGAGACTTACTTGATCTCTGCGTATGTGTAGCGGTAGAAGTTACCGTGCTTGGGGTGCCGACTGGGGGACCAGGCACGAGAGGGGTTGCGGGAACAGCCCCCAGACTACTCCGCGCCAGTCTCTCGTGTTCTTGAGCTGGTGATGCAAGTTCTTGTGTATTTCGCAGCGGGGTCGCAACCAGAACTGGGTTGTCAACTAAATGTGCTTAGAGGTAATCAGTAATTGCAAAACACCTATAATTTGATAATTTGATAGAAATCTACCCTCGTTTGAGAGAGCCAGTGCTCTTTCGGGTCGCTCGTATCTCGCGAGACGAGCTTGAAGTTGTTCGATTTGACTTGGAAAACGTTCGTGTGAGCTAAGATTGCCAAGTGAGATATTACCGATTGATTTACGTGTCTGAATATGTCCTCCTCGATCCTGCCGTTCGAGGGACACAATTTATTCCGCGCTTCTGACAATACTGGCATGGGATTGCGCCAGAACACTTCACTTTTTTCTTTCGACATGTGGCACATCTGTACACATTTAACGTCATGAATAAACACGCCTCAGAAACGCCGGACATTCAGCCGGTAGGAAGCAATCACTTACGCGAGAGGTGTTTTAGCGGTATTGCTTGCCGGCCTACTGCCAGCCCGCGGAGTCTGCGCCGAGCGAGAATCCTGCGATGGCGAGGGCCGCGAAGCTGTGGGCTCTACAGGCATGCTTGAATTCGGATCTCGGAGGCAATCAATCTAGTCGTATGGAAGCTCCGAAATGATCGGTATCAAGGAGGTCAAATATGATTTACGGTCGTTCGGAGCCTCGGAAGTCAGATGATCTCCTCGGAGCTACTTCCGAAGCCGGCCAGATACCGGATGTTAGCCTATCTCGAGCGAGTCCTCCTCCAATCCACGGGCGTAGCGTTATTTAGCTTTATTCTTGCTAGTTTGCTTTAGTAATTATTAGTTCCCCTCCTCTACCTCTCTTCGAGAATACAAGGAGCCATTTGCCAGCGGGACAAACTGCAGTCTACCTGCACCATTGCTATCGCTTACCCCTGAGGCGGGTCCGTTGATCCCACCCTCACTTGAGCCATATCCTCCTCCACCTGGTGTGTGAATCTGGATTCTGTCTCCGGCCTTCACACGGCATGTTGCCTTCCCTCCCATGTTAATCACACGGCCATCTGTCCGTAGCAGGAGATTTTCACCTCGGCCACCAGGTTGGCCGCCTGCCATGGGATACGGCTGGAAGACGCGTCGCTCCGAGAGAATACCTGCTGTCATGTCGATGAGGAACTCCAGTTCTCGCACAATACCCTCTCCACCGCGATACATGCCTCCACCTCCACTTCCCTTCCGAAGTGCAAATTGCCTCAACAGCACCGGGTATCTCCTCTCCATGATCTCAGGGTCCGTGGCACGCGTATTGGTCATGTGGCAATGAACGCCATCCTCACCCTCCCATGAAGGGCCTGCGCCGCTGCCTCCTCCGATTGTCTCGTAGTACCCAAATCCATCGGCTGTCGCTAGCCCGAACGTGAAGTTTGTCATGCAACCATTGCTGGCGGCGCAGATCTCAAGCGCCTTCAGGATGGTGTCTACCAGACGCTGGTTCGTCAGACCATTGCCACCAGCGACAGCGGCGGATTTTGATGGACTAAGGAATGAATTCTCCGGAATAATCAAGTTCACTGGAAGAATGCATCCTTGATTTAACGGAATATCCGCATTCACGAGGCAGCGTAGTGTATAGATAGTAGCAGAGTTGCAGACAGCTATGGGAGCATTCCAGTTTCCTAGTCGGTTTGGTATAGTCAGTAAATCTCATCTTTTCCGCAGATATTGGAAACTTTGTCTTACCGTTTGCTTGAGGGCTAGTTCCGTTAAAGTCGAAATCTGCGTTTCCAGTCTCCGGATCAATTGTGATCTTTAGCTTGATACGGGAGCCATCATCCATGAAATCTTCAGCCTCAAAAATATTTCTCCCCTTGTCTTGGCAGATCTTCTTGAGCGTCTCTCTCACAGCATTGCTAGATGCACTCTGGACCTCGTTCATGTAGAGCTATAATCAGTTAGTCAATATCCCATCAGGTTTGAAGTAACAGAGTCTTACGATGACGGAGTCAAGTCCAAACTCCCGGATAAGAGAAGTGATGAGATTCACTCCCTTTTGATTAGCTGCTGCCTGGGCTTTGATGTCGGTAATGTTGTCTTGTATGCATCGGGCACCCTGGCACCCGGGAAATCTCGCGGGGGCATATAACATTGCCTCAAGGACTCGCTCTTCTTGGAAGACACCATCTTCGACCACCTTCATGGCATCGATGACTGCACCTTCCTCCCAGAGCTCGGTGGAGTTCGCTGGCATAGAACCAGGCACAATTCCTCCAACATCAGCATGGTGGCCGCGTGATGCTGTCCAGAAGAGAACTTCCTCGCCGGCTTCGTCAAACACGGGAGTGATCACGGTTAGATCAGGGAGATGTACACCTCCGGCGTAAGGTGCATTTGTGAGAAATACGTCGCCCTTTTTAATATTGTCCTTCCAGTGATCAATTTGCCACTTGACTGAGAATGCCATGCTTCCCAGCATTGCAGGCACGTGGGGCGCGTTGGCAACGAGGCCGCCATCAGCCGAGAAGATGGCGCAACTGAAGTCCAGCCGCTCTTTGATGTTTGTACTGACTGATGTTTTTTGGAGAGCTCTGCCCATCTGCTCGGCAATCCCCATGAAGCGGTTGGCGAACACTGAAAGCTGGATGGGATCGATGGTGGCTTTAGCATCTGTATCCGCTAGGATGGGATCGACGTCAATAACGAGCATCGACGACAAGACCGTTGCCGTAGAGTCCGGAGACACAACAATTGTCTGTGTCTTATCAATGACCATCGCAGGACCAGCTATCTTTTCACCCACCGAGAGATCGTCTAAAAGGTATAGGGGAGCATCAACGAAGCCCAGCTTCTCGAAGAACATCCGTGTAGTTTTGCTGGAACTTGTCCAGCTCGTCGTCTTGAGCGTATCCAGCTCTCGGAGACCCACCTTGTCCTCTTCAGTTGTCTTTGCCGTTGTCCTGACTCGCAGATCATCTACTAGGATATTTCGTCCTGAAGGTGTGAAACCAAATTCTTGGTAATGCGTACGCACAAAGCTACCCTCGAAGTCCCAGCTGTCGTCGGGCTTCTCGATCATAAGTGAAGTATCGCTTCCGTCATATCGTAGATTCAAAAAGAATGAAGAACTTGTCTTCCCACATGTTGGGTCTATTTGCCTCAATGAAGAAACAGTCTTGCCTCTGAGCTGTTCGAGTAATGTCTTGGCTCGCTCCAACGACGACGTCGATAGGATCTCCGCAAATGGGAGTCGCTCTTCCTGGATTGTTTCTGCCAAAGCCATTCCATAAGCCGACAAGACTGACGAATATTTATGAAGTATAACACGTTTGATCTTGAGCGCCCGAGCGATCTCGCATCCGTGTTGGCCACCGGCTCCTCCGAAAGCAGCAAGATTGTGGTCAGCGGTGTTATGCCCCCGAGCTTCTGTTAACGCCCGGATCGGGCGACACATGGCCTCGTTGGCAACCGTAATGAAACCGCTAGCGATTTCTTCGACTGAAAAGCCAGTCCCTTGATCCTTGTTGATAACTTCCATCAACTCTCTCATCCGCTCGTAGGAGGCGTTCACGTCAAGTGGCTGGTCTTGCGTCTCACCAAAGATAGACGGAAAGTATTCCGGGACAATCCGACCGAGAATTAGATTGGCATCAGTGACTGTTGCAGGTCCTCCCTTTCTATAGCATGCAGGCCCCGGGTGTGATCCTGCACTCTCTGGGCCCACCGCCAAGATACCCTTTCGCCACGCGAGAACACTTCCTCCTCCTGCAGCAACAGTATTAATGTCAAGTTGAGGAGCCTGGACAGAAATCCCAGCTGTGGTGGTTTCGAATACATGCTCCAACGTTCCTGCGTATCTAGAAACATCTGTCGATGTCCCTCCCATGTCGAAGCCGATGACAGGCGTAGGCTTCTCAGGAATGTAGGACGTTTTCGCATACCCGATAACACCTCCAGCTGGTCCGGACAATAAAGCCCGAAGCCCGGAAAGCTTTGAAGGGTGGACTAGACCGCCATCGGACTGCATAATTCTCCAGTTCACGGTCTCGAGGCTCTTGTTTCCAATTCCAGCTTGGAATCCCTCCAAATATGACTGGATCTCCGGAGTCAGATATGCATCTGTGACAGCTGAGCTTGCGCGGGGCAACATTCTAATTGCTGGCGAAAGCTGACTCGACACAGATACTTGTATGAACCCGATCTTCTTGGCTTCAGCTGCAATGGCCTGCTCGTGGTCGGGAAATGTGTAAGAATGTAGCAGGCAGACTGCAACACTACGGTATCCTTCCGAGTATGCTGCTTGAAGTCCTTCTTGTACTTCTTTCAGGTCGAGTTTCTGGATAACGCGAACCTTCTCTCCCGATATTCCAACAATTACATCGTTATTTTCAGGTGATCTGAGCTCAGTTGTAGCAGCAACATTCTCGGTTGGCTGTGGACTTCCCTCGTTATCCTTCCGTTTATAGGCAATGGAATCATGCAGCGTCACTCTTTCTGATACTTCAACAACCTTGGAATATAGAAGGTCTGGCCGTTTTACATTGAGCGCAAACATGTCCGGGCGTGATTGGTTACCAATCTTGAGCAAATCCTATCCTTTGTTAGTTCAGGATTGCACATAACGGCCGAGGTTTCTTACCTTGAATCCTTTAGTAATAAATAAGACCGTCTTGGCTCCTTGGCGCTCTAGCAATGCATTCGTTGCGACTGTAGTTCCCATCCGGAGTGATTCTATAGAGGAGGAGGAATGAGTTTAATTCTATCGCATTATAAGTGAGAATAGAGAGGATCCAACGTACCAATGTTTGTGAGATCTAATGATACCCCTCTCGGAATTGATCTATCCTCGACCTCCTCCAGGATTCTCCGAATGGCCTCAATCGGCGCATCCTTGTAATTGCTAGGATCTCGGGACAGCAATTTGAACACTTTCTCCCTTCCGTCGGCAAAGAAAACAACTACATCAGTGAAAGTACCTCCCCTGTCTTTTTTTGGGGTTAGTCTTAAGATAACACCGTTTAATGTAGGAGTTGGCATACCGATTGCCACCCTTACGGGACCTGCGACATCTGATTGAGAGGTTGAGTGTGGCATTTTCAAGGTGAGCTCGCTTGGTAACCTCCGAAGTAGTAGATCTTTGAACGTAAAGATCGTGGTGAAAGGGATCTTCTCTGGAGATGGATTCGGGACCCTTTTAACTTGGTCACAGCAACTACGATACTCAATGCGAATGTGGAGGTCTCAGTGTGCATGTGGAGGTGAGATGTGGAGGTATCAAGGCTCTACATTGTCTACGATCGAGTTACTGCGCAAATGGCAAACAATTCCCTGGTGGCGCAAACTTCGGGGGCTCCTCCGAGGTGCTGGCAAGTGATCTTCGGCTCCGATTATCAGTGGTCTCACTCTGCATACGGATGAGAGGTAAAAACACTAAAAAAAAGATACCAGACCCGACATCTCAACACAATGAATACGATCTCGCCCTACATAGAGGTAAGCGATGTAAAATCGGTACATGCACTGCTTTGACACTAACAGGGGAAAGGTGCCTTATTCCTATGAGTGCCATGAGATGCGCGATATCTAGCGAGAATAATGTCCAGAGAAGTGCGGAGGAGTTCGGGGGATCGCTCCGAGATACCAAGCTCGGAGGCCATTCTCTTAACAGCTTAACTTCCGAAGGTGTCCCCATAGATTGTCACGATGTGGGATCCAGACCCAATTTATAGCTTCGGAGGTGACCATGACTCGGCCACCAGCCGCTATTATCGTCCAAGCTCCACCAGGTCTGACTTCCTGGACGCTGATTGCGCTTCAAAATCCGGGGTTTCCATGCATTTTGCGGGGAAGAGGGACATGGACTCATCGGCTTATCTTCCTGATGACTACCTAGCTACAGCTCACACCCTCCCTAACATATCCAGGGTCTATTCTCGGATCCAGTAAAGATAAGAGGAGGTTGTCATGGCTCCAGCCGGCTTTCCTCTTATAACTACGTCGCTGCTCGATGGATTCATCCTCATCTCCCTCATCCAACTGCTTCTCCCCAGTTCCCTGAACCATATATATTCATTGCGAAGATGGGGTTCAGTTTCAACGCCAAAGACAGTTCCGCGCCTCGCGAGGTGTACAACTGGCAACTTTTCTGGGTGATCTTGGTCGCCGCCGGAGGCTCCGTTATCTTTGGCTATGACCTAGCATTTATCGGGGGTGTTTTCTCATTAGAGTCCTTCATTCGTCGCTTTGAGCTTGCCAACAAGGATGCCAGTGCCATACAGGCTCATATGGTGAACACCTGTAAGTTGAACTCTTCATCGGGTCACACTGTACTAGGATAAGGCAGGCTCACCATTCTCTTAACTTAGTCCAGGGAGGTGCCTTCTTCGGCGTGATATTAGCATACTGGTCAAATGAACGATTTGGCCGTCGACGAGCACTCATGGCTGCAGCTTGGGTATTCAATATTGGCGTGGTCCTGCAGATGGTTTGCCAAGGGAACATTCCCGTCTTTTACGTGGGCCGTTTCATCAGTGGGCTTGGAGTAGGTGGCACCACATTTGTTGTGCCTCAATACCTGTCGGAATGTGCACCGTCGGCAGCTCGAGGCGGTATTATAGGTTGCGTAAGTTTCGACTCTACAGAACAGAACTCTGTATCAGCTTGCTAATTGCGTGATGTTTTCAGTTCGAGATTGGAGTCCAAGTTGGTACAGTTGTTGGGTTTTGGATCAACTATGGGGTCCAGCAAAATGTGAGTTATTTGATATTATGCCGACAATGGAATCAACATGGCTGACAAACGCAAGGTTTCGTCTATCGGAGACACTCAGTGGTTTATTCCTATTGCCTTCCAGTTCATTCCGGCCACGCTGATGGCTCTTGGCCTAATCCCTCTTTGTGAAAGCCCGAGATGGTACTATTCCAAAGGTCGCCGGGAAGAGGCTACGAATGCTCTCATCAGACTCCGTCAGCTTCCAATTGAACACGAGTACGTGGCAAATGAGCTCTCGGACTATGAACGCCAAATGGAACATGAGCTTTCTATTACCTCAGCTTCGGGTTTCAAAGCAATTGTGTCCGAAACCTTTACCAAGAAAATGGCTCCTCGGCTTATCCATGGCTGCCTGCTCATGATCTTCCAAAATAGCACAGGAATTAACGCTATGAATAATTTTTCCGTCACCTTCTTCCAGGTGCTAGGTTACCACGGAGCTGTGAGTTGACCTTTTGGCCTTTAAATGATACCCAGCTGACTTGAGCTCGGTGCCCCAGTCGGCAAAGCTATTCTCGACCGGAATTTACGGTATTGTCAAAGGTATCGTTGCCACAGTCGGCTTCCTTTTCCTTGTCGATAGACTTGGAAGACGAACTTTGCTGTTCGTCGGCTCCGTCATGTGCGCATTTTCCATGTTTTATGTGGGAGCGTTTGCCGCCATTACCGATTCGTTTCACACGTCTCAAGACCCTACAGCTGCATCCAATAGCGCCGTAGCCTTCATATACATTTTTGGAGCTGGATATGTAAGCAGTTGAACATTTCTATCCTGTCTTCCCTTCGGTATTTACTTGCTATGGCAAGTGGCTAACCACCTGATCGCAGGCTATCGGGTGGAATCTCCCATGGATCATCGCCGCCGAAATCTTCCCCACGCGGATCCGAGCGTTCTGCCTGGTCATGACGACTTGCTCCCACTGGCTCGGAGAATTCTATGTCTCGTACGCGGTAACATACATGTTCAAATCCATCACATACGGTACCTTCCTATTTTTCGGTGCCATGACTGTTCTCGGAGGTCTCTATGTTTACTTCCTCATCCCAGAGACGAATGGAGTCGCGTTGGAGGACATGGATATTCTGTTCGGGGGGAAGGGATTGGCGACTCAAAAGATGAAGGCATACGAGCTTTACAAAGCAGAACGTGACGGAACCATCATTCACTCTAAACTCGTCGAGGATGAAGGTGTTGTCCCAGTCACTAAGAAGTAAACCACCAAATTGCTGTAGTCGTCGTCCGCATGTTGTTCGTCAATTAGAGACTGAAAACATCAGCATACAATTAGATCGTCGCCCTGCCGAAAGGCAAAGCAAGCTACAGACTGGGATTAACAAAGAAACTCAAGTCGTTTCCAGTGCGCTGCTCTTCTTCTTGTGATGATCTGAGCGATGTCAATTCGAGTTATGTTGTTATCAAAACCACGTTGCATCATTAAGCTTGTTTACTGTTATTCAAACATCGATGACTTCAAGCCTAAGGAGGATCAGGGCCTGATCTCTATTTCATCATTGATGGGCGTAAGCTGCAGCAAATCACTCAATGACCTAGCAGAAGGCAAGAGACTCTTCGACCACATACAAGAAAACGAGTTTTGCTGGGGACTTCGATAAAGTAGTGGTGTGCGACGTGCAATGACGCGATATGAGTGCTACCATCAACCGTCATGTATTATCTATCTTCTGCCACTGATCAGCGATATGCCAGTACATCATCTGCGAGCAACAGGCCCGACGTCATACTTGGTCCTCCCCTGCTACATCTTTTCCCAAAACATGCCAGAATCTTATGTAATGACGTCGGTGATCATCGGCCTCCTTGTGTAGCTGCGATGCATTCATTAATTATTTAAGTATCATGTCTCGAGGATAAGTCAATTAGTCCTCTCCTAATTGTAATCTAAATGTCCAGTCTAAATTAACTCTATTTTCTGTACACAAGCGTCCCCAACCAACGCCATCAAAGAACTACTACCAACCTCTGCCATTTCACTGGCCCGCCTAATCAACATGCCTGCCAACATGTTGTCCCCTGCAAGTCCAATATTTTGCACTCTTTTCGCATTCGCATTCCAATCTCTCACAACGCTCGTCGATGCGGCCCCTAAAGGCAGTAGTACCAGCGGAGGGAAAGGCGGCAAGAGTTCGTCGAAAGGAACCTACGCTGGTGGAGGTGGAGGCGGTTCGGGAGACGACAGAAAAAAAAAGTTGAAGCCCGGGGTCATCGTGGGGATCGTCTTTGGTGCGATCGCATTTATTCTGCTTTTATACCTTGCCTTTTTTCTCTACCAGCGGCGACGTCGGTCCAACCAGCAAAAGAAGATTTCCGACAAGGAGGGCTCTATTCATTCATAAGCATTCAGCGGAGTCGGGGAAGCGATGGCGCTTTCATTCTTTGCAGATTTAATATTTGTCAGCTTAATTTACGTCGCGATGTTTTGATTGAATGCAGGTAACATGAGGTTTTTATTCTTCCTCTATCTCCAAATTGTGCTTCTTGTGCCAGTGCATTACCCAAACATCGCGAGATTATAGAGCTCCCATAGCTATGGTCTGATCACAAGTCGACAATGATTCCTGGGTAATATTACCATCGAAATTATCCACCATTTCCAACTGGGGCCGTGGGAACAGCAACGGACCTGTAAATCACAGGCAATTAATAAGGGCAATCTGGGGGTGGGCCTCATCCTCCACTTTGAACGTCGGCTGCGGGTTTCAATGCTGCTAATCACGCTGGCTGTTTGGGATAAAATAGCCTATCTACATTCCTGGCCTACTAATCTGGGCAATACTACCTCAGAGCCGAGACTGGTGCCGTGAATTGCACTAGTTCTGTTGCTCTTCAATGATTTGGAATGATTGATTTGGAATTATGAGTCACTGACGTCACCTTCATTAACTGTAACTGCCGGTAATGCTCATAGGATCGTTCTGTTCCCCGCACTGCGCCCAAATTCCCGGGATTGTGTAGCTCTGAAGGCCATGAAGAGCAAGGAATAAGCAAAGGAAGACTCTGAAATGCTGAAGCAAATCAGGTGCAAGAGACAACCCGACGCCACGAGAGAAGATCCGGCCGGTGTAGGGTAGCTTAAGGGCACGATCCGTCCTACATCCGGAAGTTTGAAGCAGCTTCGGAAACGATCCTCGGCAGAGAAAGAAGATGGAACATGGCGGTGGAAGCTCCTGGGTACTTGTTCCCGGGGAAAAGAGGGGTCTGTGGTAGCTCCAGCGAATGAGAGCGGCAGAGTTTGAAATAGTCCTGGTCGACTTACATGGTGTTTGTGAGGGGTAGCACACCACTTCGGCCTCGCTCTAGGAATACCACATTCCCATTGGCAAGTTCCGCTGCTACAGAGTTTGCTTCCGTCAATACCGGCCTTCATGACATCAGAATTAGACAGAGCTGTCAGGTATAAGTACGAGACCCCGCATTCATGTCGCCCGCCTCTGCGCTTCGTAATCCTCAACTGTTTATTTGCCTCTCGGAGTGGAAGGATCTGCGATATCGTCTCTCCGTCTTGTATACACAGTTGTCCTCGTTCATCTTTCGCCGTCCTCGTATAGTTAACTCGAGGGCAACGCCGTAGCAATCCAAAACAAACAATTGATACCCCCCTCGCGAGAATAAACAATGGGTCAAGGTCAAGGCGAGTGTCCCGTCCGCTTTAGAAACACCGGCGGAGGCGGTACCACCAACCGTGACTGGTGGCCCGACTCGCTCAGGCTCGACATCCTCCGCCAAAACACCAATGTCTCCAACCCTCTCGATGAGTCCTTCGACTACCGCGCCGCCTTCCAGTCCATTGACTACGATGCCCTCAAGAAGGACATCGCCGCCGTCATGACCGACTCGAAGAGCTGGTGGCCCGCCGACTTTGGCCACTATGGCGGCCTCTTCATCCGAATGGCGTGGCACTCGGCCGGCACCTACAGGGTCTTTGATGGCCGAGGCGGAGGCGGCGGCGGCCAGCAGCGGTTTGCTCCCCTCAACAGCTGGCCTGACAATGTCTCCCTGGACAAAGCTCGTCGCCTGCTGTGGCCCGTCAAGCAGAAGTACGGCAACAAGCTCTCCTGGGCCGACCTGATTATCCTGACAGGCAATGTGGCCCTCGAGACCATGGGCTTCAAGACCCTCGGCTTTGCTGGCGGCCGGCCTGATACTTGGGAGGCGGACCAGTCGACGTACTGGGGCGGGGAGGATACCTGGCTCGGTAATGACGTCCGCTATAACGTTGGCTTCAAAGGGCTCAGCGAGCATGGTGTTGTTGATGGCGATGAGCCAAAGCGACCGAGTAACCACAAGGGTGACCTTCAGTCGCCCCTTGCAGCAGCGCGTAAGTTTTCCTTGTGACAATAATCTATTGGACATCTTGCTAATTGAACGGCAGATATGGGATTGATTTATGTGAACCCAGAAGGCCCGGATGGAAACCCTGACCCGGTCTTGGCTGCGCATGATATCCGTGTTACCTTTGGTCGTATGGCCATGAATGATGAAGAGACAGTAGCTCTCATCGCCGGAGGCCACACTTTTGGCAAGACACACGGCGCAGCCCCTTCTTCTCACGTCGGCGCAGAGCCCGAGGCTTCCGGTCTAGAGTCACAGGGACTTGGATGGGCCAATTCATTCAACTCAGGCAAGGGAGCAGACACTATTACTAGTGGCCTCGAGGTCACTTGGACAAAGACGCCTGTCAAGTGGAGCCACAACTATCTCGAGTACCTCTTCAAGTTCGAGTGGGAGCTCACCAAGAGCCCGGCTGGTGCGAACCAGTGGGTGGCCAAGGACGCAGACGACATCATCCCTCATGCCTTTGACCCATCAAAGAAGCAGAAGCCAACTATGCTCACCACCGATCTGTCGCTGCGCTTTGACCCGGCATATGAGAAGATCGCTCGTCGGTTCCTCGAGAAACCTGATGAGTTTGCCGATGCCTTCGCCCGGGCTTGGTTCAAGCTCACCCACCGTGATATGGGTCCTCGAGCCCGCTACATTGGACCAGAGACCCCCTCGGAGGAGTTTATCTGGCAAGACCCCATTCCTCAAGGCCCTGCCTCCCTGAGCGAGAGCGAGATTTCCGCAGTCAAGAACGAGATCCTTTCGGCAGTGCCCGACGTGTCGAAGCTCGTATCTGTCGCTTGGGCTTCTGCTTCCACGTTCCGAGGCAGTGACAAGCGCGGCGGTGCCAATGGCGCCCGTATCCGTCTCTCTCCCATGAAGGATTGGGAGGTCAACAACCCCAAGCAGCTGGGCGAAGTGCTCCATGCTTTGGAGGGTGTGCAGCAGAGATTCGGAGCCAACAAGATCTCTATTGCCGATCTCATCGTTCTCGGTGGCTCGGCAGCGGTGGAGAAGGCCGCGAGTGACGCTGGCGTCCAAATCAAGGTTCCGTTCAGCCCTGGTCGTGGTGATGCTACACAGGAGCAGACTGACGTCCAGTCCATTGCTCACCTTCGACCGTACGCTGATGGGTTCCGAAACTACGGAAAGTCCGAGGACAAGGTCAAGACCGAGCATCTTCTGGTTGACCGGGCCAATCTTCTCACGCTTTCACCACCCGAGCTGGTTGTCCTTGTGGGTGGCCTCCGAGTTCTCAACACTAATTACGATGGTTCGTCGTATGGTGTCCTCACTAACCGTCCTGGCGTGTTGACGAATGATTTCTTCGTGAACCTGCTCGACATGGGCACCGAGTGGAAGGCGGTAGATGGTGAGCGCTATGATGGTGTTGATCGTGAGACTGGCGGCAAGAAATGGGTCGCGAGCCGCGTTGACCTGGTTCTGGGCTCCCATGCTGAGCTGCGTGCCATCTCTGAAGTGTACGGAAGCTCGGATGGCAATGCTAAGTTTGTGAAGGACTTTGTGGCTGCGTGGACCAAGGTGATGAACCTTGACCGCTTTGACTTACATGCCTAGATGTGGTTTCCGCTTTCATGATTTGTATCTCGGGCCTGAGGTTGAAGTTCTGAAACAGATTGTGATAAACGTCAAATAAACCAGTTCCTGTCGTATTCAATGTGTTAAGATGTCGACCTCTGGCATCTTCCATTGTTGTGTAACTTCCGACTCCGATTTTCTCACCTAAATCAGGTCCGTCCTGTGATGTTGTCCAGCAGTGTGCAGCACCGTTGAATACCTATTTGGTGATGATGTGCTATTTCAATGAGATCAACAGGATTTGTGAATCTATGCGCGACATCCGTATGGGGTAATGTACATGCGATTAATTTAAACCCTCTTGTTCTGCCTTGCATTCTGCCTGTTGCAGAAATACTCTCTTCATGGCTTCTCGGCAATTTATTGGCTCATTTCCTTGGCCACGTAGTCATATGAGCCACTCTTATATCGCCCCCACGACCAACAATGACCAAGAAGAGTGAGCTGCAAGGGCACACAGATGTGCACCAAAAGTATCTTTCGCATGCGGGATTAACAGTTAACGTTAGTCCATCTAGGCCTCAATACGGTCTAGATACCGAAAGACAAAAACTTATTCGCTTCGTAGTGATGATATCATCCTTTTTATGCCGAATTAGTGACCTTTTATCACTATATGTCAACTATCTAGAGGCCTAGCTGCCTGTAATCTTCCAACATTTGTGACATTTCGGTTTCATCGTAGATGGAGCACCTCCCACGGTGAATAATCATGCATCATGCAGCCAGTGAGAAAATAATACTTCGCGTGAAGAGGGAGACGCGCTCTCAGTCCACCACCCATCACTCACGAGGCATCTCAGTCCACACATCATGGAGGTAGCAGGGCTGGTCGTCGGCGTCGCTGGCTTGGCCGGCTTGTTCTCAACATGTCTAGACGCCCTTGACAAGACCCAGCAGTACCGCAACTCTGCCACGGACATGCACCACCTCGAGACGCAGTTCCAGGCGGAGACGCTGCGCTTCCAGCAGTGGGGTCGCGATATTGGGCTCAAACGCGGGGAAACCCTCAAGGAAGGCCACCACAAGGCACTTGAAGAGGAGGACACAAGGAAGACGATTCAAGAGATATTGCAGATCATATATACATTGTGTCAGCCTGGAGGGGAAGGCTCAACCCGGCTCAACCGCTCGCTGGGGCAGCACGTATCCTCGTCATCACGGAAACAGAGAGTCGCCTGGGCCTTGTGGGGGAAGGGAAAGCGAGAAGAGGAGGTGAAGTTGTTCAAGGATCTTGTTCAGAATCTATACAATCTGGTTCCTCCTGGCTTGCCAGTCCGTGATGCCACTGCTGAGCAGGCATCAAAGGCTACACTAGGTATTTGCCAATTACCGCTCCGGTTTTGAAGTGGTTCGGCCATGCTAACCTTTTGCACCTATATTAGCCGACCATCTAAACAAGGCACATCTGCTGGACGAAGTCAGGCAGTTTATCGCACGACGAGATTCAGAGCGAAAAGGTGAGTAGCCCGGCTGCGCATACAGTTAGGCGCCTCTGAAGATAATGTTTTCCTGGTGGAATATGTCTAATGTTGTTTAGTGGAACTAAGGCAACATCTGCAATCTTGGCTCTTGGGCTCCTATTCAACAAACAATATATACCACGAGGCTATTCAGAAACGACTGCATGGTACTTGCAACTGGCTCACGGGCCGACCTGAGTTTCAATCATGGATTTCAGAAAACACTGAATCCAGCTTACTTTGGATAAACGGTCCGGCTGGATTTGGCAAAACAGTCCTCTGCGCTAGGGTGGTGCAATACCTGACTGAGACCTTATCAACACCGGTAGCTCATTTCTTCTTCTCCTCGGATTTCGAGAGTCAGGCGGAGCCATTTGTGGTTATTCGGTCATGGATATACCAGTTGATCCTCCAGGATGAGGGTATTTTTGATCTAGTCTACGACGCATGGCTTGAACTGGTCGATAAACGGGCAGCTAACCACGTCATCGAAAAGCTCTTTGAGGATATTGTGAGCAGCGCACCGAACTGCGTGCTGGTATTGGACGGAATTGATGAATGTAAATCTCTGGATGAACTTGAACACACGCCGTTCGAAGTGATGAAAAAGGCTACAAGCAAATACGGCGTCCGAATATTGATTGTTAGCCGAAACGAACCTGATATCCGACATGCTCTTGAGGAAGACGACGGTGTTCAATGCTTCAACGAGTACAAAATAACCACCCAGGATGTTCGCCAGGACACCGAGTCGTATTCTCGCAGTATCGTGGACAAGAAACTTTCCAACAAAGCTGAAGACATCAAGAACGATGTGACACAGAGAATGGCCGCTCGGTGTGACGGCCAGTTTCTCTGGTTAAAGATGCAGGGTGACAGTCTGAGGCGCGGCATGAACAGGGTACAGCTCCAGCGAGCTATCAATAACACCCCCTCCGGCTTAACACATATCTATGAGCGGAACTGGCAATCGATATCAAGTTATGAACCCCCGGAAATGAACAGGGCATACAGTCTTCTCAGATGGACTGCATTTTCCGTCCGTCCTCTCACAGTCGGCGAGATTACAGAAGCAGTATTGATAGAAGATGACTCTATTGAAGTTCCAATCGAAGAGCTTCCTGACGCGTTTGACGACGATTACATCAACAGTGAGATTCTCGATCTATGCGGGTCTCTGATTGAGGTGCGTCAACCGCAACAAGACGCCCCAAATCAAAACATGACTGTACATGTTACACATTTCTCAGTTAGGCAATACCTTCTTCAGAAAGCATGGGGTACTGCACAAGTTTTGGGGGCCAATGGCCGGCTCCAAGCTTCCAACGAAGTCTTGGAGAACACTTTACTTGCAAAGAGATGTCTCCAGTACATCCAGTTTTCTGGGATGTGGTCAGAAGTGAAACGAGGTATCGAGTTTTCTCGGATGGGGTCATACGTGAAACACAGCTCAACGAAGCTCCCAGGACAGCAGTTTCGAGAATACGCATCTGATGCTTGGTTTACGCACGTGAAGTCAGGATCCCAAGAGATAATCGCTCATACAGTCAATGCATTCCTTGGACCTGATTCAGATTCTCTCCGTGGATGGATCGCGTGGATTGATCAGGAAATGATAGACCAAGAGGCATACGACAAAGGGTCAGGCACTTTGCATCGAAAGTTGGTTCACAACGTCAATTCTCTCTGCTACGCTACCTGGATGGGCCTACAATTTAGTGTCATTCATCTGCTAGAGAGCAAAGATTATGATATAGATGGACACGACTGGATCGGTAGGAGCCCTCTTGCGATCAGTTGCAGGCTTGGTCATACTGGAATAGCACGCATCTTACTAGACGCAGGGGCCAGCGTGACAACCAAAGATATCGAGCACCAAACGCCGTTGCACACAGCATTACGACACGGCCACAAAGATATTGCTCGCATGTTGGTTAAGCATGGTGCAGATTGTAACGCACAAAACCCGGATGGCTGGACGCCGCTTGGTGCTGCGTCTAAAAGCGGTGACATAGTTTTGGCCAGGACGATGATTGAAATTGGTGCAGACCTGAACGCCCTGAGCGGGGATGGTTGGACACCGATTCTGTTAGCTACAGACTCGGGCCACATTGAAATTGTCAGGCTTCTTCTTGGAAAGGGTGCAGACTTAAACTTAACAAACCAGCATAGATGGGCGCCAGCACTCGCAGCAACGCTTAATGGCTATCTTGATATACTCAAGCTGCTCGTAAAAAATGGTGCGAATATCAACAATCCTAGCTCGTCAGGCCGGTCCTTGGTTAATGCAGCTACTGAAAACGGATATGGCAGTGTTTTGCGGTTTTTGCTTGATCAGGAAGACGATATCCCTCGTTCCAATCTGAAGGGGTGGGCACCTCTTCACATTGCTGCAAGAGATGGGCGTACGGATATCATTCAGTTCCTTCTAGACAAAGGCGCAGATATTTCAGTTAGAAACCACGACGGCCACACGCCGCTTTCCATGGCAGCGAGAAGAGGTCGCCTCAGTGCGGCTCGAGTTCTTGTATCTAGTGGAGCGAGTGTGGATGTGAAAGACAATGCTGGGTGCACGCCGCTGTTTAGGGCTGTCTTTGGAGGCTATTTTGATATCGCCAATCATTTGGTCGAGCAGGGGGCATGTCCACATATAAAAGTCGGTCCTGGATGGACACAGCTGCATGTGGCTGCTCAATGTGGCCGCCTCGACGTTGTCAAATACATTTTCGAAAATTGGAACGAGTTGTACGTACAAGATGATAGGCTCTTGATGCCTCTTCACTACGCTTCACTCCTCGGCTATGTGGAAGTTGCCCAGTACCTAGCTTCTCAGGGTGTGGATGTGAACGCCAAGGACGTGGACAGCGAAACGCCATTACACAAAGCTTCGAAGGGCGGTCACTTTGAGGTTGTGAAGGTTCTTGTCGAAAAAGGAGCGTCGGTAAACGTACAATGCAATCAGTACTATACCCCTCTCTCGTTAACGATAAGACGTGGCCAGCTCAAGATTGTAAAATTCTTCTTGGACAACGGGTTTCATCCGCATTTACTCAACGACGAGAGATGCCCATCGCCTCCTCTTTTCATGGCGTCTAAACGCGGCATACTGGATATTGCCGAGTACTTACTAAACAATGGTGCTGTGGTTAATATTCGAGGCACCAAGGGCGATACTTCCACAATCGCTGCTGCTCGTGGGGGACATACAAAGTTGTTGCAGTTGTTGATCAACAAGGGTGCCGACATAGAAGCTGCAAACCTCGACGGCTGGACTGCACTCGAAGCCGCTTCAAACTGTGGTGAAAACAAAATAGCGCAATTATTGATTGATCACGGCACAAAACTTCATACTAGAAGTTCGATGGACATCAACATCAAGACTTCTATGGCTATTGGAAACAACCAGGAAGATGTTGCGAAATTACTTCTTGAGAAGATGGCCGGAGTGAGCCACCATACTTTGCATTCGGCGGTATCTGCTAAAGATCTTAATCTCGTCCAGCAACTGGTAGAGAAAGGAGCGGACATTAATCTCAAAGATGAAAACCAACTAACTGCACTTATGTTAGCTTCACACCATGGGTATGTCGAAATAATCTTGTATTTGATCGACCAAGGTGCGGATATTAATACCTGTTCGTCTGAAACCAAAGTCACGGCCTTACTCATAGCAGTGAAAGCGGGCTGGCGAAACGTTGTCAGGCTATTAGTGGAGAAAGGAGCCGACGTTTCTGCTGCAGATCACTCGGGTTGGACGGTTTTGCACTTTGCCTGCGAGCGCAACTATCTCACGTTGGCTCGTTTCCTGATAGCCCATGGAGCCGATCCCCTGGCTCGAACAACAGCCGGGTCGACCACTCTTGGGATAGCCGCAATAGGATCAAACCCCGGGTTTGTAGACCTGTTGGTCGGGTGCGGTGTGTGCGTCGCAGATGGCGATGCTGGTGGTTTGACACCTCTCCACAATGCAGCGGGAACCAACAAAGAATTAGAGTTCGTCCGACAACTTCTTGAGAAGAGAGCAGATCCTAATGTCAAAGCAAATAATGGTACTCAGCCAATGTTCTACGCTGCTTTCACTAACTATCTACCCAAGCTCAGACTCTTGCATGAATATGGGGCATCAATAGAGTCCAGAGATGACGATGGGTCGACTCCCCTCCACGCTGCTGCCCAAGAGGGCCATCATCCCATAGTTCAATGGCTCCTAGAAAATGGAGCAGATGTTTCTGCCAGCGACGAAAAGCGTCGCACGGCGCTTCACATAGCCTCGGGGTCAGGCCATCTCGTTACTATGAGAGTATTGATAAACCGAGGAGCTAACCTTGATGCTCCTGATCACGAGGGCGTCACACCCTTGTACTTTGCCGCAGGCCCACACCGCCATAGACTTACGCTTGTTGACGCTTTACTTAGAGCCGGCGCAGATCCCATGGTAGCAGCTGATGATGGAAGCACGCCGTTGCATCAATGTGCTGCTTGGGATAAAGGAAGCAGCTTGAAATTACTGCTAGATCATGGAGCAGATCTCCATTCAGAGGATCTTTCAGGTCTAACAGCCCTACACATGGCCTCGGCGATCGGCAATCTGGATGGTGCCAGATTCTTGTGCGAAGAGGGTTCATCGTTGACACATGCCACCAAGACCGGGCAGACGCCTCTACTTGTGGCGGCCTCTCATGGCCAGATAGCCATTGTCACGCTATTTATGGGACGCGGAGCTGATATTCATACAAGGGATAACGGTGGCTATGGCTGCTTACATTTCTCTGCCAGAGCGCACTATAATGTGACCAAGTTGTTTCTACATCTGGGACTAAGCGTTAATACGCGCGCCAACAACGACGACACACCACTACATGTCGCGTCATACGGAGGACACTTGGACATCGTCAAGCTTCTAATTTCGAAGGGCGCTGATGTCAACGCTACACAATTTTACCAAGAAACCCCCCTTACTGTGGCAGCCGCAAATGGTCATAGTAAGATTGTTAGTCTGCTACTTGAAAATGGAGCAACAGTTTGACAAAGCTGATATCCACGGCCTTGAAGCACTGCACTAAGCCGCAAGTAAGGGATATTACGGAACTATAAGGCTGCTGCTTCAAAACCAACACCCTTTCCACAAGACTGCAAAATTGTCAGTCCAACAAGGCGCAGCCATAAACAAACCGATAGTTATGACAACACGCCCCTTCACCAGGCATCTAGACAGGGACAATTCGATATCGTCAAACTACTACTCGAGAACGGTGCAGAGATAGACCCAAAGGATAATATGGCAGCACACCACTTCACTGTACGTCATCAACTGGCGAAGTGGACGTGGTAAGACTGTTGGTCGAACACGGTGCAGAGATCGTGGAGTCAGATACCATTGACGATAAAACAGCCTTCCATCACGCCTCAGCCGCAGGCCATTCGCAAGTAGTCGAGATTCTTCTAGAACATGGAGCCGATCCCCAGTTGAAGCATAAATTTGGGGAAACACCACGTCATTCGGCCGCTGCGCGGGGATATACAAAAATCCTCCAAGCCCTGGTGAAAGGAAGAGACGTACTCCAGATGTCTATTTGCGAGATAAGTGACGCTGGATTTTTTATGATTTGCAAGACGTACTATGATGCCGGCTTTTCATGTCGAGAGAAGACACATACGTCTAAGTATAAGGACTATACCGGGGAGGATATCATGCGGTCGCCTACACGTTTTTAACCGCCTCCGTGTTCATTACTAACTACCTCAATTTTCGTTCTGTAACCCTCTTTATGGTCATATGGTAAATAGTACACATAGTTAAGCAAAATCCAGATTTAGCAATCACTTTTTATACTTTGAAAAAGAATTTGGCCACGATCATTCGTCTTGATTCAATGCTTCATAGTAGCAGTCAATGTCTTCATCATAACCTGTGCGAAATGGCCTAGACAACCAAGTAATTGCGTATTCCACGTTTGCAGATAGTTTCTTGGAACTGATCCCTACACGACACTCCTCCCTTTGACATGAATTGCCGAACTGTAGAGTTCCGTCGCTGACTGAGAAACGTTCTCGAGTAGTTCTCCAGCTACATTTTCCTACGGAAGAGAATATTGACACTGCTTGTCTCCAAGATTCTTTATCCTCGGCTTTGAACCAATGAGCAAACTGACTTTGAGCGCCAAGAAAATGGCCAGGGGCTCGGCATTTCTACCAATTATATGAAACGCAGCAGACGAGGATAAAATAGCAACCATCGTTCATTCGCTGACGATCCTTGAACCTGATTCTTAGCTCTATAAACAAAATAAATAAGCAGACGAAGAATCGGGTCCCTGCCCCAGATGCCCATGAGTAATTGGGTGACTCGGACTGAGAATGCTGCTCGCTCGGATTTCGAACCCCCTACAGATTTGTCATTGGGTGAAATAGAACTTGGGTATCCCTGCAGCGACCAGCGCTGAATTGAAAGCCCTGGGTTTCAAGATGACATTGATCTCATCAGGTTCAAGCGCGTGAAATCAAATATGAACTGGAGGCAGCCATGGCTTATTAATAAAAGGAGGCATTATGATATCTCGTATATTTTCTTTCCGTTACTGTCTTTATTTTGCTTTTCTCTTCTTCAAGCTCCTAACGATCTCCTCTTTTAATCACTAATACTAATGAACTAGCAATTGGGCGTCCAGTCCAATAGCTGTTGACATCATGGGACACAAGGAAGAGGATGAACATGTGCTGTCTAACATACCTCGTGACTCGATCAGCAGGCGGTCGGGCTTTGCACAGCCTGTATCCCAGATCTTGGAGGATGAGAAAATGCTAGGATCGACAACGAGCCCGCATATGTCATCTTCAACGCCAGATTTCTCTTACCGCTCGAAAGTATCATCCGGCACAAAGTATCATGAGCTTGGGTTTTCCAATGATGATGGCTACCAGACACCTACGAAGAATGATTCGTTGCTCACAACAGACGTGCAACCGCACCATTCTGTCGCATCCAGACAACGTCGTGGCGCGGTTTATCATCTAAAATGCTGGATTCCTGAGATCATCTGGTCCGTCCTGACGATCGGTCTCTTGGCCGCTATCGTTGCTGTGCTGTCTCATTTTAATGGAAAGCCGATGCCACAGTTTTCTCTGGACCTAACCTTAAATACGCTCCTCGCATTCCTCACTACCATTTGTCGCACAATGACGATTATCCCCTTGGCAGAGGCTATTTCACAGCTCAAGTGGAATTGGTTCGCTTCGCACCCAAGACCTCTTCACGATATGTACCACTTCGACCAAGCAAGTCGCGGCCCATGGGGTTCGTTTCTTCTGTTGATCAAGGCGAGGGGAAGGTAGACGCAGGCAGCCAGATTGTTTATTTCCCCTTTCACTGACTTTGCGCACTAGGTTTATCTCCTTTGCTTGGGTGGCGGCACTCGTCTTTTTATCTGGCCTCTTCACAACGTTTCTCACTCAATCGACGATAACGTACAAGAAGGATTGTGGTAAACCCGGCCGGCACTGTCGCAGCTCCAATTGCGCAGTCTTACCCTAACCCAGCTTCAGATTTCGATGATTTTCAGGTTCAAGGTAGGACATTATCCAAAGCAGCTTCAAAAGTTCCCTAAAGAAATGAGACTAATTGGCCAGAAAAGCGAATCAAATTGGGTACGGCATGGCTCGAAGCGCGTACCAGGCTGCCATCTATACAGTGAATGAATCCTGGCCCGTTCCTCAGCCAAACTGCTCCGAGGTGAAATGCAATTGGTCCAGCTACAGCTCATTGGGTATGTGTGCCAGCATCACGAACGTCACTGACCAGCTTAATATGACGACAACATGGGCCCAACCATCGTCAGAAGACCCTTCAGTCAACATAACTGCATACAATATCACTTTGCCGAAAAACTTGGGATATCTTCGTTGGAAAGACGTCGACGACAGTATTCAACTCAACATGACCACTCCTAGGAAAGATCCATATGGCATTGTCACAGACCAGGATTCTCCACTGGAGAACAGATGGACCTCTCTCGGTGACTGGAACAACACAGACATTCTTTCCGCCACAGTGGCCCAGTCTTTCTACATCTACAGTAACACGAACCCTGACCGTTCCCAAAAGTTTCGCGCTATTGAAATACTCTACCACTTTTGTGTGTACAACTATGAATCTGAGTTCATAAATGGCACATCTACCACGAAAACACTCTCTTCAACCGTCCAAATTGACCAGATGAATTTTCCTGGCTACAAGTATGGACAAAATTACACGTCTTTTCGGATGAAAGATGCGGATGGTGATGCCGCATTCAACGTTACTGTGACTTACGCACACTCTCTACTTGCGCTCGGCCTGGGCTTCAGCGGCGCTTATACACTGGGAGACTTCACTGGCGGCAATGGTATCTACGGCGAGAATATGGGTCGCAACTTCTTCAACGACATGTCAAAATCTTCTTCAGATGCTGAAATAGACGAGAAAACATGGCGCAATGCTCAGAAGCTGACCAACAATGTTGCAGACGGAATGACGGCTTTGTGAGTGTCATCCGCCTTTACCCCTCCCCAAAGGAGAATGCTAAAGAAAAATGAAACTAACGGAGTTTTACATGACTCTAGTATGCGAAATGGAGATAACCACGAAATGGTCAATGACACTGCGTACAAAGAGGAGACATTCGTACGCGTGAGATGGGAGTGGCTGTCTTTCTTGGTTGTCCAAATTGCACTCACCATCATTTTTCCTCGTTGCGGTCATGATACAAACGGCAATCCTGGTTATGGATATCGTCAAAAGTTCAAACACGGCCGAACTATTCGCACTTCAAGGGCAAGGAATCGAAAGGGTTCCTACACTCAATGGGGAGAGTTCACTGGGCGAGAGGTTCCAATATAAGGGAATCAAGACGGGGGTCCATGAGGCCTCGGAAGGGAGATTGGTCCGGGATCCAGGATTTGGGTGGAAACTTCACATCCATTAGTGAGAAGAAGACGGTGTTTTGTTCTTCAGCATGGGAAGAAATTGGCCTCGTATCTTCTGCTGATGAACGGTTACTCCTAGCTTCGATGCAGTTACAAAGACTAAAATAGCACCACTTAATAATTTAATTGCCTTGAATGTATGCAAAAATCTCATCCGGCAGAAGAGGAAAATTCCCCATTCCTTATCCCGACTTCCGCTTCCGTTGCCGTTGCCGCTTCCCGTCCCCCCACATATGTAAGACCACACCGCAAACAAACAAGATCAACAAAAGGGAGTAATCAGCTCATGGCCCGTTGGGGGGGAAGTGGTGATCAACGGAGCTAAGAATCCTGATCAGCACCGACCAAGATCAATCAAAACCACCTCAAAACGAAACCTTCGCTGAGTTGCTATACTTAAGGCCACCAAGTCAGTTGTTTAGTCCTCTAGGCCTATCTCCTCAAGCTAACAATCATCTGCGAATGTAAAAATCATAATTACTCCATATGTAGAAGTCTTCCAGCTGTTTCATCAAGTGGACCGTGACGAGGATTGAGCGCTGGGATATCTTCTTGTGGGACTACTCGGGGTGGCCGCCGGAAGCTCGGCACTTGGAGGAACACTTAGCGTTCAAGTAAATGTAGTATTTTAGGCATCAACTTACAGAGATTTCGGCGATGATGCACCGAAATTTCTCTTCGGGTAGTTGGCATGGGTAAACTGCATCCATTCAGGGGAGAAATGGTTAATTGAGAGTGTCCGTATCGTTTCTGCGTGGCTAGTGTAGGCATCCCGCCTGCTCCAGATGCTTGACATTCACCTGCGAGCCGTTTCTGCATCTAAACGGACCATAAATATATCACGATAATCCACACAGTGACGACATGGACCCATCCAGGAAGCTGTTGCTAGATCCTACGTTTGCGGTCGGACGACCAGGATCCATATTCGCTGTTCATGTCAAGTCTCAGAATGGAGAACAATCTCAGACACACGTTAAAGGCAAACCCCCTTTTCTTTGTTTCTCTTTCCCTTGCTTATTTTGACTCTCACGTTTTCTATTTATCCATGTCTGCTTGCCGCTGCTTTTGTGAATTGTGTCTTGGCTCTGCAACCTTCGCTTCGTGAAATCGACAATCCCCAGCCAGGAGAATTCATCACGTTTTGCCTACGACATCAACGAAGCTCCTGCAATGTCCGAAAAGTCCATTCCCACCGCCACTGGTGACGCGGATATTGAGCCTGCATCCACGCAGGTCGTGGACACCAGATGGGCCTCCATATTCGGCGGACCGGGTGTCTGGGTCGGCCCTCGCATCGCCGAGCTGCCTGACTACGCCGCCAAGGACGTCCCATCAGACACCGAGAATGCAAACACCGCCATCCTGGACCAGCAGATGGCCAGAGACAAGGAGTCAGATATCCAGTTCCGCACCTGCTCGTGGCAGAAAACAGCGGCCTTGCTCTTCAGCGAGTACATCTGCCTCGCCATCATGTCGTTTCCGTGGAGCTACTCCGTCCTGGGTCTCGTGCCGGGCATCATCGTCACTGTTGCCATCGCGGCCGTTGTGCAGTACACCAGTCTGATTCTGTGGAAGTTTTGCCTACGCCACCCTGAAATTCGTGATGTCTGCGACTTGGGCCAAATGCTCTTCTGGGGCAAAGAATGGGCTTGGTGGGGGACTGCCATCTGCTTCATCCTCAATAACTCTTTCCTTCAGGTACCATGACTTGTGAATTTGCTGATTCTCCTTCCATTCCTCTTGTTTTTCGTGCGATGATCGACTGAGCTTATTATTTTTGCCGTTGTACTAGGGCCTGCATGTGCTGGTGGGAGCCAAGTATCTCAACACGATGACCGAGGCTGACGATATTGGCCACTGCCGCACTGTCCTATTCTCGGTTGTGACTGCCATCATTTGCTGCTTGTTTACGCTGCCTCGCACCTTTGACATGATGTCCAAGCTTGGCACCGCATCTGCCCTGTTCACATTCGTCTCTGTCGTTCTCGCCGCAGCCTTCTCCGGGGCCCAGGGCAAGCCGGCTCTTTATGACCCTGTGAAACTGGGCGAGCCACTCGTGACGGCCTTTCCCGTCAAAGGTGCGTCCTGGGTGAATGGAATTTCTGCCTTCTTGAATATTGTGTTCACTTTCAGTGGACAAATCACCCTCCCCAGCTTCATCGCTGAGATGCGTGATCCTCGGTAGGGAAATCCGGCCAGCCCAAACCTGAATAATTAACTTATGTGAAAAACATGGTGTAGTGAATTCCCCAAGGCTCTCTGGCTTTGCACCGTGGCCGAGGTGTTCGTCTTCAGTATTGTTGGCGGTGTGACCTATGCCTACTCTGGAAATCAGTACATCACCTCTCCGGCCTTTGGCTCCCTTCAAGACAAGTACAAGAAGATCGCTTTTTCGTTCATGATCCCGACTATCATCTTTCTCGGATGCCTATACGCTTCAGTGACGGTACGCTTCGTTTTCTTCCGGCTATTCCGCAACTCCAGACATCTCAACAGCCACACTGTTGTGGGCTGGGCGTCTTGGACCGGAATAATCATCGTTATTTGGATCTTTTCGTTCATCATCGCCTCAGTCATTCCATTCTTCAATTCTTGTAAGTTTCCCTTTCCTCCATGCTTTCATATGGCCTTCTCTAGTCATAAGTGATTGTTAGTCTCACATAGTGCCGCAGTGCTGAATGTCATGTCTTCATTATTCAACCCGTGGTTTGGCTTCATCTTCTGGGCAGTTGCGTACTTCAGAATGCGGTCTGCAGACAGAGGCGTAGGCCGAAAGCACAACGCCATTATCGATCGGGTCGGTATCGTGGTCAACATAGTTCTGATTGGCGTGGGAATTCTGCTGCTTACAGTCGGCACTTATTCCAGCGTCAGGGGCATCATGGACGAATACGCCGCGGGAACGGTTTCAAGTCCCTTCTCGTGTGCTAGTAATGGAATCTAGAGTCCGTATTTTGCTTGGGGGAACTTTCTGATTTTGAGCTCTATGCATAGCATTACTGTTCTTATTAGCTACTGAGCATCTTCATCTCTACATATTAAAAGCAAGTGACATGCACGGTTGACGCCTCGGTAACTGGTGAAATCCACCGATGCGCTGTCATATGTAACAATATATATAGACCAAGCGAGTGATCACGTCTGAATTAACCACGGCTAACTTAAGCATAACGAATGTAGCTGGAGGTTCACGTTTCCGGCCTCTCGATCCCAAATTAGCGGAGTAAGGGGACACTTTAAAACATCCCCGTTGTAGGTGCGTATCCCGGAGTAATACAACCGATCGCTTTGCAATGGCCAAATTGGTATTGTTTAATAATAATGGCCCGGAGTTTATATTCCCAGTCCAATCAACAAGATGCGACTCCAAGGTATAATTTCAGCAACGAATCTATTCACAGCCGCATAACAACGAGTTTCCTCATACACCTCACAATGAAAAGCAAAACCACTGTATCTCACCCTTTTGGCAACCCAGCACCATTTGCCGAGCCAGCCTGGCACAATGTGCTCGAGTCGCCGTACTACAATGACAGTCATCGCAAGCTTCGAGCCTTCGTGCGTGACTACCTCGAGAAGCACATAGTTCCTGTTGTTGAAGAGTGGGAGGAGACTGGCGAGGTGCCTCTGGAGGAAATCGTTCGTTGGGCCCGGTCTGGCCTCGCTTTCCAGGACATGCCAGAGAAATACAGGCCAGGTATCGGCCTCCCAGCTGGCATCCCCGAAAAGGGTATGACGCGACAAGTCGATAGAGTGGATTGAAGCTGATTCATTACTAGAGTGGGACATCTTCCACTTCATCATTCTGCATCAAGAGACCGCACGCGTTGGATATGTCGGATGTCTAGGTGGTGGGCTTACTCCATAGACCGCCACACCTTTCGACAGCCACTGTTTCGGCATCAAGTCATCCGGCATAAGCTCGCTAAGATGGCACGGTACATCGAATCTCACTGGGCTTGGATTGAACAGATTGCATATCATATCAAGGCCACGGGCGGCATCGGTCCAGAGTTGTCCTCAAGAATCGCCCTTTGCAAGGTGCAAGGTGGAAGGCTGCTCGAGCTGGCGAATCGAGAAGCCCAACAGATATCGGGTGGGAACGGATATCAGCGTGGTGGTATCGGTGGACGCGTAGAGCAGATCAGCCGGGATTTGAGAATGTCCATCGTCGGTGGAGGGAGCGAGGAAATTATCACAGATCTCGCGGTTCGCCAAGAGATGAAGCACGCGAAAGCAAGGGGCTCAAAGCTGTAAAGATGTTGGCTACTCAAAACTCTAGGAAATCGTTCAGTCTAGGTATGTAAAACACAAAAAAAAACTAGCAAATCAGCCCAGATCAATCTAGGATTAGGTCGTGTTTCGCGACCATAACAGACAGAAGTTACGCGTGCCTGGCCAGCCCTGCCAGCCCTACCGACCAACAAAGACCGGGCGCGATAACATGATACACGGGGCGTATGCCGTGCGATAACCGATGAGATTGCTACGTAAGGGTTCTGCAAGTCGTGGCGGAGACGGTGACGGACAGATGCGTGCATCAGAGCAATGTCTCATATTCAGTCCCTGGCATCGGAATCAGGCGTCCTGTGGCATCATTGTTGTGCAAAGATAAATCAAAATTAAACTAATCTCTAATTGGCTAGCACTTTCCAATCCTCTATTACGTCACGGTTGGTCAACACGTGTTTAACCAAGGCTGAATGGCGAAGTTGGCTCTTCAATCGCGAGAGAGTTGGACATCAAACAAGCATTTACCACACACCACATATAAAGGAAGTGATATTGTTCCGATACATAGACCTACCTAGGCATTTGTTTTAGCATAATAATTATGTCCCACTATCCTATTCAACTGTTATCTGCTTTGAATATCACAGCTTAGGGGCAACATGTTGGTTGGGAGGTCGAAAAATATGTGGCTTTAGGGTAGTCAATATGCCGGCAAATGCAGAGCTAAATTTGGACAAAATGATTTAACGGGATCGGGAAACCCGCCGAAGACTGCCAAAAACGTATAACTTTCATAAAAAGCAGACCTTTCCTAGTATGGTAGAGACCTTCCTCATAAATTATGCATAATTTCATAGATGAATCTGCGTACGCTGCGAAATGATTCTCGCCTGGGTTTAAAAAGTAATTATACTTGGAAAGTCTAGTGAGTCATTCCAAGGCTTTGACATTGATAAAATGTGGCACGGCATGTACATTGGGATTCTAGCGATGTCCCATTATGCGTTCAGCGAGCTCCGAAAACGCCAACTTGGGGAAGCAGTTCAACTTGTTGTCAAACCTCATCAACATTGAATGAGAACATGAGCTTGTTTAAGGGGGCGCGGCCAAATTTCTCGATCGACTGACAAAATGAAAAAAATCGATTAGTGCCGATTGCCCTCTAGCGCCGTCTTCTGATAGGATCGATATCGAAGCCGATGCAGTCAGTCTCGAACCGGAACTGGGTAAGCCTCTCCACTGACAAGCGTCATCTACTGTCGTATCGGCCGCTACTATTGTATTAAAAAAGTAACGAGAAAGGTAATGCACAAATCTTCAATGAAGACTCTCGTTACATGGATCAAAGGAATAGCCAGCTGCTATAAGGATAACTGTTAGGAGCAAAGAATGGCTGTGTTTTGTTCACGACCTCGTCCTATCTTGATTGTTGCACCTCAAATAAGGTTGATATATATATACATGGTTTAGTGCTTATTAGGTGACCTCTGCGGGCGGCCAAGGACCAACTAAATTTGCCTATAGAATTACTTGAGCTTATTCATTGAAGGGTAAGGGATGAGAGTACGCTGACGGCCATCATCGTTAACTATTACTAGCCGAACAATCACTTGGCAGCCCTACCACCTAGCAAGAAGGACCAGATCTTAAACTCAATTTAGAACTCTGCCTCAAGGCTGCGATTGGGCCATTAGGGCCCTTGCATTCCATTGCTAGACAGCAGGTAATCGCTCCAATTCCTCGCATCGCTGGCACGAAAGAGGTTCCACTGGAGGCCGAGAATTAAGATTCACATTCCCCATGTCTTGTGGCGTATGAGCCCAATCCGTCGATTACTCAAGCCCTACCAATATGAGATGGATATATTTAGTCTAGGTGCTACATGATTCGGAGGTGTCAAGATAAAATTCCCCACCAAGCATCGTTCCATGGGCACGTGAGCTGTGTGGCTTTGGTGTTGACGTTGACAGCATCTGACTGTATCTAAGCTCAGAAGAACACGCATATGCCCCAACCTTGTTTCGACTGGCCTTATATTCATTTCTCAGTGACGATAATTTGTCCGATTAGCCTTTTTCACACCTTCTCCGCCCACCATGGACGCTCGAACCGCCAAGTTGTCTGGCATCGCGCCAGAGAATCTCTACGAGCTTCCCAATGGGTCTTATGTCGATCGTGGGATGTTCAAGACCTTTGGACGTGGCTCTAACTGCACTTTAGATAAGACTAACCCTCGTAAAGTAGTTGATTCTGCTATCTTGCTAACCGCCATATACAGCTCTGCCCCATTGACTGGACTGTGTACAAGTACCGCCCTAGCCTGCCTGCCAACGCGCTCTTCATAGCTCTCTACGGGGTTGCTCTGCTTTTGCATATTTACCTAGGAATCCGCTGGAGAATCTGGGGCTTCATGACCTTCATTATCATCGGCTGCATATGGTCTATGGTTGGCTACGGCGGCCGTGTCATGCTATGGATAAACCCCATGGTCATTTACTGGGTTTCTGACCCAGATGATATGCATTACTGGCTGTCCGGTGTTCTTCACCGCTGCTATTTACATCACACTGTCCCGAGCGTGAGTTAGGCTCTCATACGTAGCCTGGAGAAATAATGGTAAATATTGATAACTCATTCTAGAATTTAATTTTTCTCGCCTGAGATGAGCCGTCTGCCCCCACGAGCTTTTTACTGGCTCTTCATCAGCTCCGACATCATTTGTCTCGTGCTCCAATCCATCGGCGGAGCTCTATCCTCTACATCTAGCGGAGCCTCCGAGACAGGCCTCCACATTGCCATGGCCGGTCTCAGCCTGCAAGTGGTGGTACTCGTCGTCTTTTGTGCCTTCTTCGCCGACTACATGATCAGATATATCAGAAGACAAAAATCGAGGCTGCAGCCGGGCGAAAAGGCCATTGCAACAAGGCAACGCATCTTTTTTGGGGGTCTTGCGTCTGCCATTACTCTAATCTTTATCCGATGCTGTTATCGTGTGAATGAGCTCAGTCAAGGCTACCGCAACTCTGAGAAGATAACTAAGCAGGGGATGTTTATCGGCTTAGAGGGAGTGTAAGTTATCCGATATTCCGAGGAGCACGTCTACTGGAAACATTGAATTAACCATTTGATGAACGCCCTTAGACTTATTTACTTGGCCGTCATATCGCTTCTTGTTGGGAATCCTGGTTTCGGTTTCCAGCAAAAGAATAAGAGAAGCAGTCTCCAAGGCTCCGACAGCGGTGGGAAATCAAAGGAGTCTACTTGAGTCTTATGTAGTAGTGCTTGATGGAACAGTGATTTATGAGTGGGAGATATTTTTCGTATACACTTATGTGAGGGAGTCTATTGGTAATATTTATAACGCTTCGCGATATTTCAAGTAAAGCTGAATTTACTCTCGCTGTCTATCCTAAATTTAGATCCTAAATACCCGACTCGACTAGTTGCAGGAAACCGCTGCCAGTAAAGCATAGCGAACAAATATATGAACTCTTCGACTGAAAAGATCTCCTATGGACAGTTGGAGTTATTTGTTGTCTTGTATATCCATATTGTACTGCTCGCTAGGAGAAGACTCGGCTCCGGCGTGTTTTTTGTGTTGCCGTTTGCGAGGTAGCCAGGGAATCTCCAGCCGAATAAAACGACGACAAAGAACATCAGAACTGCGTCAAATATGTACAATGGCCACTCATTGGCGAGCAGGTAGCTATCGTGCCCCATAATGTACTCCACGCCTCGGAATATGGATCGAACCATGATAAGTCCACTCACAACATACAGCATATGCATGATCTTCATCCACTCCTGATTATTGGCCGCGTAAAGGACATGTTTTACTTGAGTCGAGTTGTATCGCTCGTGAAAAGTGGCCGATGTGATGACAAAAACTCCAAAGACGATAATCTGCACGAAAAGGCCACCAAGGATGATATTCTCGCCCGTTGACATAGTACCTCCTGAGGCCATAATGCCGGCCCCGCTGGCTTGGACAACGAAAGAGATCACATCACCCGCAACGAAGATCTTGGTAAGCCACCTTATGGGAATGATCAACAGTGATTCGGCGTTCAAGCTGCGAATTATACGAGCTAACCATGTAGACGGATGCCGCGAATAGAGCTGGCGAGACGAGGGTGAAAGTGCTCTGGATGGCGTAGGGCATGAGCTGGTCCGTCTTGTTTCTAGCCACGGAGCGAGCAGCGTAGCCGACAACTTGCACTGGGAAGGATGGGTTAGCAACTGGCGTAGAAACCGCAAGATTGGGATGGGATATAGTAACGCACATAGACCGCCTATGATGAACACGGTGCAAAACCAGGCTCGCGACTTAATCATCCTCCATGCCACGAATGCTGTACTGAGAACGAAGAGAGTGGTGAATATAGCGCCGGCTACAGTTGAAGGAAGGTAGAGCCAGAGATAGTAGTCTCCGCGGTAGGGCTTAAGCTCGGCCATAGTGGGAAGAGTTGATTCTGGAGTGTGACTAGTTACCAATTTTCAGAGGAAGAAAAAACGAAATAGTATCCATTCGCTTTCATGGAGATCTCATGGAACTGCATTTGTGTATCCTGTATCTTTTCTTGCAAAGTATCAAGGGATCAAGGAATCAGCCCCAGGCCACGTAGAAAGGAGTAACAAGAATTGAATCGCTACTGGTAGGACCCTGCTTGAGGATCCACTTGGTGCAGTGCCTAATGCCTTAGCACCTTTCTTGTTACGTGTATGCGAGGCTGATGATGAAACCGAGGATCCCGAGACCGAAACTGTGGGGTATCAAGAGACTTCCGATGTTCTTAAATCTAACCCAACCCGAAGCGCTCGCTTTTCCCATCAAGCCTTCCGAACTCTCTCACATTCATTTTGACTCGAACGCGATGGCTCGATCCGTGGCGCGCAGGTCGGAGCCGGAAGATCCGAGTCTATCCGTTCGCCGCTCTCACACGAAGTCAAGGAGAGGATGCATCATCTGTAAGCAACGGAAGGTCAAATGCGACGAGTCTCGGCCTCGGTGTCGCCGGTGTGAATATGGCGATCGGCCGTGCTCGTACCAACATGACATTCGAGAGGGCGAGGCAACGTCAAGCAAGCCAGCCACCACTCCAACCTCCACCTCCCCTGCACTCCCGACGACAACAACAACAACAACAGCAACGGCGACACCTGGTGCCTCCAGTACCACTGACAGCGCTGCTAGTGGTCCTTCCTGGAGCGGTAACCTAGTGCTTGCGAGTCCGGCTGAGCACGCCGCAACATTTGACCTGATCCACATGAGGCTGCTGCACTATGCACACGACCACCTTGCCGAGCTCTTAGGCATTCAAGGTGATACGAAGGCTATAATCGACACCATTATGGATAAGGCCGACCAGGAACCTTACGCCCTTGACCAGCTCCTAGCCCTGTCGGCCTTGCACCTCTCGAGTCAGCACCAGGATATACCTGTGTACTCTCAACAGGCTACAGAGCTGCAGACTCGTGCTCTGAGTGCCTTTAACCGAGCCCGCTGTGCGATCTCGGATACGAATTATCTCACAGCTTTTCTATTTGCGAGTATGCTCGCCATCCACGTATTCTACGACTCACTGGCCTGTCTAGAGGACAACCTGAGTACTTTCATTGAGAAATTTGTCGAATACATGCGTCTCCATCGAGGAGTCCGCGCCGTTACCGGCAGCCACTGGAGGCAGATCCTGGAGTCCCAGCTCCAGCCGCTGCTCTACGTCTCAGAACTAGCTCTCGAGGTGGAGAAGCTGCCGCCTGGGGAGGAGACGGCCCCCCTTGCCAACTTGCTAAAGTCGGGATCTAGTTCCACTTCGAGTTCTACTGACGCTTGTGTGGGGGCTTTGAACTCGGTTCAGTGGATTCTTGACATTATCAAACTCGATCCAACACGACGTGACATCGCCATCCAAGCCATCGTTGCATGGCCCGTCGTAATCTCAGATGACTATATCGAGGCGGTGTATCAACATAGACCCGAGGCCTTCGCAGTCCTTGCGTATTACGCCGCGGCTCTCCATAGGTGTCGTGACTTTTGGGTATTCAAGAGCGCTGGCTTAGGTGTTGTGGAAATGATTGTGCGGCATATCGGGCCTTTCTGGGCTGAGGCTCTTCGGTGGCCCCGGGAGGTATCCTTGCCTTAAGGATATCAAGAACTGGTAGGTATTAATAGAGATACTTCCTAATGCCCTAAACATCTTTAACCTTTTATTATTCCCTCTTCAATTTGCCTTCAAGGTATATCGTTCATAGAATGGCTCGAAAGATGGCGTCACTCACTACTCATCTTGCTCTCCTGGCTTCCCTAGCCACAAACAGTCTCGCAAGCGATCTGTGCAAGAACCACCCTTACAGTCCTCATCAGCCAACTGAAAGCGAGTGGCATTCGTTGAACCAGTCGACTCAAGGAGCCCTGCTGGCCACTCCGCTGTTACGAAGGGAACCCCCTAGGCTCTGATCTCGACTGTGATACAGTCCAGGAGAATTGGTTCCTTTCCCAGTTTCATTCAGAACAGCCTGCTTCGATTGATTACTCCTACTGGGACAACAACTCTTGTGTGGCACTAAACGACTATGCCTTCGACGAACACAAACCGTGCCAGCTTGGCGGTCTGCCGCGATATGTCTTGAACGCGACTGATGCCGCTCAAGTCGCGACAGCCATGGCATGGGCTAACTCACGCGATATTCGTGTTGTTATCAAGGGCACTGGTCACGATCTTAATGGAAGGTGAGTTTCTATTCGGTTGTGGATTTTGCGGTCGATGATCTCTGCTAATCCTTTGGTCAGATCCAGTGGAGCATACGCACTCTCTATTTGGACGCATCATCTACAAGATATTGAATTCAACCCTCGTTGGATTCGCCCCGCGTTCAACAGTATCGAAAACGTTGTCATTGCCCAGACCGGCAATACATGGGGCAGACTTCTCAATGCCGCCAGCGAGGTGAATAGAACTGTCGTTAGTGGTCAGGATGGCACAGTTGGTCTCGGCGGATTCATTGGCGGTGGCGGGCATGGACCTCTGTCAAGTTCTTACGGTCGATCCGCCGACCAGATTCTGCAGGCCACTGTTGTGACTGCTGATGGTTCAATCCTTATCGCCAATGATGAACAAAACCAAGATCTCCTGTGGGCTATCCGCGGTGGTGGCCCGGGGTCATACGGTGTTGTCATTGAATACGTCATGCGAACCTTCCCTCTGCCTTCCAATGTCGTCGTTGGAAGTCTATCCGTGTCCACGCAGGAGAACGGCACGCAGGAGGCTTCCTGGGATGGGCTCTCCACTCTGATGCGAGCCTTGCCCGACCTCATGGACTCTGGACTCTCCGGATTCGGTATCGGAACCGTCTCACAGGCCAAGTCCTCCAAAACCTCAGCCGTCGGACATCAGGTAGACATCAGCATGCTTTTCTACTTGTTCAACTCGACAACGGCTAAGTGGACAAGCTTGCTAAGTCCTCTCCAGCATCAAATGGCGTCGTTCTCGGATAAACGCTCCATTCAAGTTACTTTGTCTGAACTCAAGATACTCTCCCAGTATCTCGATTTATTCGATATCCTTAATCCTTCGGCGAGCAGTTGTGGGGATATTTCACTGTCAAGCAGCCGCCTTCTAGGCCGCCGGGAGCTTAACGATATCGGCCATGATGCGGTAAAGTGCTATCTCAAAAGAATTACAACCACCCAAGTTGAAGGCCACAGTGCGCGTTTGGTTATGGGTCAACAGGGCGGGCAGGGGCCTCGCAACGTCGAAGACAGTATGCGTGGCGGGCTGACATCTGCATGGCGGGACGCGTACCTTCACGTCCTAGTGACGGGGTCCAATATCGATTATGAGAATACCAGTCCTCGATCCGCTCTACAGGTGGCTGCCGACTGGACTAACGCTCACAAGGAATCCGTTTGGGCTGAATGGGCTCCAGATTCGGGTCCTTATATCAATGAAGCGAACCCTTTTAATCCAAACTTTCAACGCGACTTCTATGGAGCCCACTACGGTCGGTTGCTAAGTATTAAGGAGAAATACGACCCTCGGTCCATATTATACGTCCAGTCTGGTGTGGGGAGCCAAGACGGGGAGTATAACCTGCAAGATGGAAAGCTTTGTCGGAAGTAGCATTGTCCTATTTTGAAGCTCTGAGATTGTTGAACACCTTGAAGCAATTGTAGACCTGCATCTAAAGAGAGTCCAGAGAACCTGCGGACTCGGGTCATGAACATTGCAAAGTCAGGTCGGTGTCAAGGAAGGGGCAGAGTTGGGAAGTTGGGACTCATGGCTATCAGATAGTTTGTAACTTGTTTAAGTCTAATCTATGTTCTTCTGACATCACTGACGGCTTTCTTTGCGTCTTGTATCTCTCAAAGCGAGGCTAATTCCGAGGTTCCTCATAAAGCTCACTGATTCTCTCGTTGGTACCACACGGTCACCATGATATGGCGGCAAACTCCGAGCCATCGTCATCGTCATGTTGGTGTTGATGTATCTAATTCGCCATGCCTCCATCGTTCGGTGACTCCCGGAGCAGTTCATCAGCAACAGAGATTATTATATGAATGTTTACCGACCAGCCTATCATGAAATATTACATATTAAAAGATCGCTATCTGGGGCGTTGGCATCTGTTGTAAAGATCTATAAAATCCCCGACGCCAAGCCATACGCCATCTCACACGAAACTGGTTGTATTCAATGCCTGTAGATCCTCATTATTGTGTACCTAATTCTTAAATATCCTACCGAGCTCTCGCCTGATCTGTTTCTATATATCAAAATAATAAAGAAGAAGCTAAAGCAGAGACCGCAGGTCCTAGTAATTATATCTATTATCTAGACCAGCCAGCTGGATAATATAGAAATCCTAACTTGACCAAAACCTGATACAAGCGGTTCTCTGTCTTGAAATGCTCCTCTTCAAAGGAGTCATTTCTACCAAGTATCTCGCTTCCTAATTTAAAGAGATTAATTGCCTGTTCAAAGCTTAGCTCTGAAGGCTCTTCAATCTCCAGTGTGCCGACTGCCTTAGCAGTCCTACAAGCTTATGATCGCTTGTATCAGGTTTTGGCCAAGTTAGGATTTCTATATTATCCAGCTGGCTGGTCTGGATAATAGGTATAATTACTAGGACCTGCGGTCTCTGCTTTAGCTTCTTCTTTATTATTTTAATACATAGAAACAGATCGGGCGAGAGCTCGGTAGGATGTTTGATTTTGGCAAGGAGTTGGGTGTGCCGATGAAGGCAGCGATGTGCGATCGATTGATCCGACTGACGGCGAAGGTAGCGATGAGTGGGAGTCGACTGATTTGACTGAGTGGCGATGTGTGGCACTTGGCTTGTCTCGACGAAGGCAGCGATTTGCGAGCAGATCGTCGATTGCAGATGGACTTGACCTGTGCGGTTCATTCAGTGAAAGGACCAGGCCAGAGATAGCGGTCTTTAAATAGATGAAAAGCAGTATCTTAAGGTTCATGGAAGGAGTCATGCCGACGAAAGAGTCATCGCCGGGTATAGCCTTTGGATTTAAACCTTATATGCGGCTGGGTACAGCTATTATTGGTGTTGAACCTTGTATACGGCCGGGTAAAAAGGCTGAAGTTTAATGTGTTGTGATACTGGGTATAGTGTCAAGTTGTTAAATTCTTGGTATTTGGGAATTTCCCCTTTCTTTTCAGCAGCTGCATAGCTCTCTCAGTTACTTACTATCCTCATTATTGTGTCGAAAACAGCGACCTGCTACAAGGTGCTTGGGTGCATGTTCCCTGTTGATCGCCGTTCCTACTCGCCTCGGATTATATGCGAACAAACCGAAGTCGCTCGGGTTCGCAAGGTTTCCGAGGTTTGCGAGCTTCTACCCTAGTCGAATCCACTTCAAATGGCTGCCCCAATGTCTGATTGAATCATCGAAAGCGTGTGGAAGTCAATATATACAGATGAGGCGAATTATTAGTATCAATGTGATCAAACTTTTGTATTTATGCCAAATGTACGATACATTGACCACTAGCCAATATTTTACAGACTCTCAACAAGATCGACTGACTTGTGATCTTCGATGCCGGCGACGAACCGTGCAATGAGGTATAGCGATGGTGAATTGTTCGAAATCTGACAGGACTCCGTGCGCCGTCCGTACACTTGTGTTGCCTGCCTGTACATTGATTGATATCGCTTGAAAAGTCACTTAGACAGCAGAATACTTCTTGATTCTCGAATCAAGTACAATTTGGGCATCAAAGCTGGCATCAACTCTCCAGATATGCTTTCAGATCGGCGGCGTGTTGAGCAAACTGCGCTTGTAGATTGTCCTTGAAAGGAAGCAGCACCAAAGCCCCCGGACCCGAGAAGTAGGTCTCGTACGATATGCAAAGTGTTGTTCCATCACCTTGATCAATCAGGATCGTGGGATGCTCCGTACTCAGAAATGCACCTTCGAGGCCATCATCGTACTTCCAGCTCACCATGAGATAACCCTTGTCAGGCGAATCCTTCATGACCGTAACCATCTCAGGGCTCGTCTTGTTGACGAGAGGGAAAACACCAGTCGAATGAAAGGTCATGAGCAGACCTATGTAGACGTCGTCGGGCGTCTCGCCGACGAAGTCATCGGGAAAGTCAATGTCGATGACGAAGCTGCTGAACGTGGGATAGCGCCGGAAATCGAGGAGAGCCTTGTAGACTTCTTGGGCCGGCACATTGATGACGTCCTCAGTGCAGACGACAAAGAGCCCCTGTCCAGACCCGTAGGTAGGAGTCGGAAGTGTTGTTGATGAACCCTCAGGCGGGCATCTGACGGAGCCCCAATCTGTAAATGGCGGAGGGTTCGGGTCTGAACGCGCGACGGGAGCGTACAGACAGAGAGAGATAATTAAAGATACAGCGACGCTGACTCTCCATTGTGAAAGTAGCTTCATCTTGGGAAGTTGGTTTTGAAATAGGACAAAACCCCGCAACATCGGAAGGGAAGATTCAAGGTGTGATGAGCTGAAATGCAACTGTCTAGTTTTAGCCGAGCGCAATGCAGGGTGACGTGGTTCGTGGACCAGGCATAGCCAAGCGCACAACCCTTGACCAGGGCCCCGGCTCGAAGCCTCGGGCCAGAACTCAGCTGGACGTGGGCGATCTACTTCCGCATCAGAGTCCGAACCGGGCGAGCGTGGTGCGTCGAGAGGGATCCTCCCCCCGTACATGTCGAGGATGAAGTTTCCCTGGACGTCTGTGACGTACTCACCTTCGCTGTCGGAGATTAAGCCGAGTATGTCTTGCGCTAGCAGTTGTAGCATCTGTTCTGTCTTTGATGGTACGAACATTAGGTTACTGATATCCTCCACGTTTAGAGGATGTTGACTGTAGACTGCCGTTTCAAAGCAAAATCGGGTATTACATCGCTAGAAAACGGCCAATGTATTACTTCTTTACTACCTAAGTATGATTCGTTCGCAGACAGGCTCATGTTTTATGTGCGATTGGCCGGTTGCTCGTATACCTTTCCGCCAATTGTTGTAGTCAGCGTCCCCTCTGCCTCCAACACGTTGACTAAGACGTCAATGGTGAGGCGAAAACCATCAGCGCTCGTCTTTTTGGTAGCATTGACGCTACCGGTTTGTACAATATCAGAGAACCAGATGGCATTCTCAACAGTTACAGAAGGGTTTATACGAGTGAAGTTCTCATACCCGTTCAAGAAGGTTAAGCCATCATCAGAATAGTCTTGATAATTGACCGCCACGCTCTTGATTGTAGCCACATCGGCATTATCAACGATGGTGACGTTCGCATGACCGGCCTCGGAACCGTACGGGGTATATTTCCCCTCAGCTGGACGTGGAATCGAGGGTGCATCTTCGCCGGGAACATATGGTGTGCCCCATGCTACCGTATCCGAGACAGGGTCTACCCTAGCAAGATCTTTGGGCTCACGACTGGTGAGTTCTGCGACCATGAAGCGAACGTGGCGACCTCCCTGATATGGCGAGTCATAGCAGGGTAGTGGGTTCTCCCCGCCACAGGCTGGAGACGCCGTTAGATCTTGCCAGTATGCAATCTTCGTTCCGTCGGGTGACCACTTTGGGTCTGCTCGCCCGTTCCACTCAGGGTCGTTGATATCAGCGCTTCCTGGGACGCCAGAGCCCTCGTCATTGATCTTCTGGCCATAGTAATCTCCTCGGTCGCCATAGCGGTCGATGAGCCAGGGCTGAAAGAATCGTCTCTGGAAGTTATTGCGTGTGGTAGAAGCGACGGAGGTTGCAATCAAATCAATCAGTGACGGGACACCACGCATACCGGCCATGAACATCTGTCGATCGGTGCGACGGGTGTCCATGACGACCGTCCACTCGTTATCTGGGGAAATATCGACCGGATCGACGTACTCTGGGTCGGAAGTTAGGCGGCGTACCTCGCCACTATCTAGCTTGACGGCAAAAACATCCACATTGCACGACTCGACCGAGGTTCCGATATATGTGACCTCGTCCCCGCGGCCGCTGAAGCCACGTAACTCGCCGACATAGTTGGTCAGTGGATTCCACGACAATTTGTCGCCGTCTGCCACAAAAGGTGGAGGATTCTTGGGGTTGGATAGCCTCGTGACGCTTTCTAGATCGTAGCGTGGGACTAAAGGTTCGCCTGTTGTTGGACTGGGATTGAAGGCAAGGCGAGAGAAGTAGCTATCCTGGCCTAAGGAGTGTCCGTCGACGCGGAAAGAGCTGAAGCCGAGATGAACATCGTCTGGATGTAGTCGCAATTCCCGAATGCTCCCGCCTACTCCCGAGCCATCCGGCGAGGTGTTCCACCGGATAGGATAGATGTAGGTAGTCTCCGGGGTACAATCATCGCTTGTAAGGTCGTTCTCGCCGCAATCCAGAATGTTGGTGCCGAAGAGTATACGACGACCGTCCATGAATGAGTTGGGATAATCAAAGGTATTCGAAAGCCCCTGAGCATTCTCTGCGGGTACACCGCAGGTGAGACACTTCCACGGCGCACCATTGGAAAAGGAACTGCCATCTGTCTTGATCAGAATGATCTGTTCCCCTGTGAAGATACTGGCTGGGTCGGGTGCGTCCGGGGCACCGCTATAAGTGACGTGGGCAACAATGTGTTTACTATCAGGTAAGAAGCTTCCGGCCTGAAATCCAGCACCATATTTGCCTTGAGAGATACAGCCAGTGCCATTCGGACTGAGCTCTATGGTACATTTGTCGATGGCAACTGGTGGCAAAGGCAATTCGGTGATACTGATGGGTTCAGGTGCTGGTGGTGGTGGCACGGCGGAAAAGACGACCTGACTTGCGAGGCCGACGGTGAAAACGAGAGGAGAGCTAGAGAAGAGCATGATTTCGAACCACATACCCGACGGCCTTGTTGAAAAACATAACGTACCAATGTGGCAGCGAGGTTTACTTATATGCAACGCTGGTTCCACACAGGGGTGGAAAAAATAGAGGAGCCTCCCAATACGGGAAGTTCGGATCAGCACAAAGGGAATAGAGCGATGTCATTCTTGGTTACCCCGCGAGACCGTTTCTCGTCTAGTGTCAAAATACCTCAAAAAAAATGCTACCATCCACTCGTCAAAGTCGTATGCCCTGATCGCATCGCGCTCGGTACATCGCAGCTGGCACTGGCTGAGACGACGTATGGTCAGGTCTAAGGAAGGCCAATATCGCGAAAGCTCTTGAAGCATCTTGAAATTGGCCTGAAGAACTAGCTGCGCAAGTGTCATCCGAATAACCGAACATGGCCGTTTGAAGCAGGAGGGACGAGGAAATTACCGTGCTGTCTCCTTCTTGTCCAATTGTACAATGGAATATCACTAGCATATCTGGCTTGATCCAACATGCATCACTACTGACCAGCCAAGAGACTACTTGCGTTGTTAGAGCGAGTTTTCTCTTAACTAGGGCTTTCAAAAGTATATCTTTACATGTTAATCAATCTGTCATGAGTCTACGTAATTATTGGCCAAACTTAAGACTTTTGCATTGCGCCACCTCGTATCAAAAGTAACCCTGTCTGACACCTATGACCACTCCTCTATACGTCAGAGCAGACTAGCCGTAGCCTGCAGTGCAGCCTTATCCCGAGAGCTAAACCCGACTTTGAAAGTAAAGTCACCTTTTGGGATCACCCACTGCTCGCTCTTCTCATCCCAGAAGCTCACATCTCTCCTCATCAAGGAGAATCTCACCGTTGAGGTTTCTCCTGCTTTAATAAAGACCTTCTGAAAGCCCCGGAGTACTTGGACAGGTGTTTGGGCCGGCGTGGTGTCCTGGGGGAACGCAGCATAAAGTTGGGGCACCGCATACCCATCAGCCACTCCTATATTCTTCACCTGTGCATCTACAGTGAGGACCTCAGTCCATAAATCTTTGAGCCCACCAGGTGCAGTACCCTTCGACTTTTCTGCGGTCGGGGCGAGAGCGCCGCGCACTTGTACGCCAATCTCTCCTTCCAGCTCAAATTTGGCATAACTAAGACCGAAACCAAACTCATACTGAGGCTCGCATTGGCATCGAAGTGACGGTAATCGATCATAAGACCCTCAGTGAAATTCGTCTACCATACATCAGGGCTCGCGGTAGGCGTTGTGAGGTTGAATATGGGCGGCCCGTAATCCTCCAGAGTCTTAGGGATAGTGTAGGGAAGACGTCCAGAAGGGGGAGTAGCTCCCCAAAGAACGTCGACAATGGAGTTTCCAATCTCCTCGCCAGGGTAATGAGCCGAGAAAATCGCGGTCACGTTCTCATTGTCAGCCCAGGGCAGAGTGACTACTCCAGGGCTATGTATAACGACAACCGTGTTGGGGCAAATCGCGGCAGTGCTCTCTACCAACGCCGTGGAGTTCCAGGGGAGCTCAATGCTCGGCCTGTCAAAGCCCTCGCTCGCGTAGGACTTGAGAAAAACAAGACAAACGTCCGGCACAGGTTATATAGTCCGGAGGCGGCCATCGGCGATGTCATCATTTTCCATCACCACTTGCAACCGGCCACCGTAGGATTCGACGTGTCGCTGCACTGCTTGTAGAGGAGTCACGAGATGTGTATGCCGCACAGTGCCAGAGCCGCCTCCTATATCGATTGTACCGTATTCGTAGCCTTCCGGATATTGATCTGCATCTCGGAATGTGGAGCCAACGGTAGGGTAGGAAATAGCGTTGCCAAACACGCCTACCTCGCTGTTATTCTTTAGTGGCAGGGTGTTGTTGACGTTTTTAAGGAGAACAGTGGCGGCAGCCCCAAGCTCACGAATCAACCCCTTATGATTCCCGCGTACGTTGCGAGCTGGAAGCATGGGGTAGCCACCAAGATGAGGCTGAGCTTTGTGACCGATTTGGTAGGCTAGAAACACGGCACCGCCCGAAGGGTCTACAGTTGGAAAGTCCTCGTCCTGGTTGAGCAAGAAATAAGGTCGTAGAACACGCTCCGCCATGTCAGTTAGGCGATCTGTGGTCACCGTCCCGTTCTGCACCATTCTGAGGAGTGCGTCGCCGAAATAGTGAGATCCAGCCGCAGCACTCGTATTTCCTGGCATCTCTATATCCAGCCCTGCGTTGGCGAAGCTGGCCGTACCGTGGGTGGCATACCAATCTGATACGACATATCCGCGAAAGTCGAGCTCTTCCTTGAGAATAGATAAGGTAGCAGAATTCTCACAGGCGTAAAGCCCATTGACTCGATTATAGGAGCACATAATACCGGCGGTACCAGCATGGATAGCGTTGGCAAAAGGCCAGGCATATAGCTCATGCAAGGTCCGGTTGTCAATGTTTGAAGAAATGGCCTCAGTAACTGTGCCATCATTGCTGACTGTCGAAGTACGCTGTAGCTCCTGTTCGTTACCAATATAGTGCTTGGAGCATGACTGGACACCCGTGGACTGGATGCCCAGGACAGAGGCATTCATAGCTACGCCAGCCAAATACGGATCCGGTCCGAAACTCTCCCAGTTTCGCCCGCCAGCAGCATGGCGGCCTATAGGACCTGAAGATGGCTTGTATCATTGGGAACTCATTAGCTAGATCCGGCCTCGCCAAGTTCGTAGAAACGTACCCCAGGTGAACATGGGCACCCTTTCCTCTGAATTCTTCCCCCAAAGCCACACCGCGGTTGAACATAAGATCAACGTCCCAGCTTGCCGCTACGGTGATACCAGACGCGAATACACTGACTAGGTCAGATCTAGCGTAGCCAGCTGGTCCGTCAGAGAAGCATATTCCCTCAAAACCTAGTCGGGGAATTGCGCCAATGGAGCCTACGCATGCAGGGCTTGGTTGTCTATAGCCACCCGACACGATGCCTATCTCTTCATCGACGGTGAGCTGAGATACAAACTCCGCTGCCTGCTGAGCTGCTTCAGACTAAGAATAATCTAATATGATCAAAAGAACTTAGAAAAGGCGTTCAGGAATCCAAGGCAGTTGGGGAAAACATACCGGAAGCCGACGTGAACTTCGGGCTCGAAGCTCCCTTCCCAATACATGAGGCCGCGACCGCGAGACAAACTTGGTTAATCCGCATGATTTCGAGTAGAATCCAGTCACAGAGCCTCATATAAGAGACAAGATTTATGTTTAAGTGTACTCGGGACCACAATATAGCAAGAATCCAGCCTGCTATTATACTTTAGATGCGCAACACAGTTCGCCGACATCAAGGCTCAAGCGGGAAAGGAGAGATAACAGGTTCCATTGGAGTGGAACTTGTATCAAGATGAGATCGGATCTCTCTGTCGGCGCAACGAAGAGGCGAAGACACGCATTACCCTGGCTCGGTTAACGCATGCATCTTAATGCCTGTGCCCAAGATCCATGAGGCTACGGGAAGCAGCTATGCCTCTTCAGTACGGTACCTAAGATCAAGCTCTCGGTTACGATCCACTCTTTGCGTCGCAATCCTCGCTCTCATATGAACCCGAGCTTGCCGAGGTCGCGTTTCCCCAAGAAGCTGATCCGCCTCATGCGAACCCGAACCATCGCTCGGGTCGCTCCGGCCGGCTCCCCTTATGAGTTACAGCCTGTCTTTATGTCTTGCATTATCACGTCTCGGTGTAATATTACTTTTGCATTTCGCCCACAGTTCATGAAACAGCCATATTTTCCTCCCAGCCTTTGCAGTCGTCACTTTGAGGCTGTGTTCAGGCTGCGCAATCTGGTATCTCGGCTTCGTTGGCTGAATCCGATGTGGAACAGCATCATGGATCAAAACTCAGACGTAGATAATAACAAACATTCTTTTCCGCCGCAACATATAATGCAGCTAGTTTATCTACTTGAAGATCTTAGACAAATCATCAAAGCCTTGCCTTTCTTTTCAGAAACCACTTCTTAACCGTTGCGATTCTAGTTTCCCATCCTCTTTGCCCCTCGATTCATCCCTCTTTTTATCGGTACATATCGAGTATGCATACTCAAATTCGAGCTGACGATGATGGAGGCTTCAAGTTGTACCACTATACCCCGACTTTCGGTGGCGCAATAGCTTTCGCTGCGTTCTTTGCCATCGCATCAGGTCGCCATATTCAGCTCTTGTTCAAGAAGAGAACGTGGTTTTTCATACCTTTCATTGTCGGTTGCTTATGTAAGTGAATTTGCTCTCATTCTCTCACCTCAGACGAGGGAACTGATAATTCATCTAGTTGAGACGATAGGTTACGCCGCGAGAGCCTACTCGTCGAAACAGACTCCGGATTGGACTTTGATGCCTTACATCATCCAGAGCATGCTAATTCTCCTGGGCCCGGCGTTCTTTGCAGCATCTATCTATATGCTTTTGGGGCGTCTTGTGGTGCTGATTGATGGGGAGCAAAATTGTTTGATTTCAACCAGGTGGCTTACAAAAATCTTTCTGTTGGGAGATATTTTGTCTATTTTTGGACAAGGCGGAGGTTCGTGTCATTTTTCTCTCCTCAGCAGTGCATATTTAGCGACCTATACTAACTGTTGATTCTGTTAGGTGGTGGATTGCTGGCGGCATCCAGCTCCCAATCTACTCAAGATACGGGAAATACCATTATCATGCTGGGCCTGGGCATTCAGCTCGTCTTTTTCGGCGGGTTCATGATTGTCACAATGCTGTTCCATATTCGAATGAACAGACGCCCAACAGTGGAATCACGTGGAACACTCATTCCTTGGAAGATGTTTTTATATGTCCTCTACGTTGCGAGCATGCTCATCATGGTGCGCTCTGTTTTCCGGCTGATTGAGTATGCTCAAGGCTACAGCGGCGCACTACTCCAAAAGGAGATTTATGTGTACGCTCTCGATGCCTTTCTGATGCTTCTTGTGTCGGCGATCTTCGCTTGGTACCATCCAAGATCATTGTATGTTCATGAATCTCAAGAGAGATACGACATGGCCCAAGAACGATATAGGGAGATTCCATAATGCTATTATGCAAAATACACAAGGCATATGTGGCCGAAGAGGGAGTGTTGGTCTTGGGGAGGATGCATTAACATATAATATGGTATCGTCAATTAGAGAGGAAGTTTGAGTGCATTAGTCGGTACATGCATTGATGGATTCTGAAAAAGGAGGATTCAAAATTTCAAGCTCTGCTAAAGAATCTTCAGGTCACTGACAGACTCTTATGACTACCTTGTACCGAAAATGTGCATTTACGAAAATGGCCTAGCATAGAAACCGCTCGGGCCGTTAGATACAACGGAATCCAACCAAATTTTCAAGCCGACTAACTGCCCCCTCGAATTGCATAGATTGACTTAGATTGGTTGAGTTGCGAAGTGGGTTTGAGCTATGGAAGAAAAAAGCTGGGATCATCCAGACAGCTAGAAGGAAACACCTTTGCGTATTTGTGAGTGGGATCTCCTGCCTCATACAGTAAGCACTCAACTCCAGAGGAAAATCCTCCAGTCTGCATGGATCGCAAAAAGTAGATTACTCAATGTTTAATGTATGGTGCTTTTGATGCCTACATTATACACATGTACAGTTGATTCAATACCCGCAGTCTCAGCGAGATCCATCCTAACTTTTGGCCTTAACCTGGCTGTTTGCTCTCCAGATGAGCTGTGGACTTAACGAGGTGTTATGCTGCTGCGGATCAACTGTCACAGTGCGTGACATCCTGGACCGCTCCATAGTACGCAGTAGATAGCCTACCTAGGTCCAAAGCGATCACTCATCTTAACCGAAGACAGATATCCTTGGCTACTCTTTCCCTAGTGGGGGGCCGCTTCCCGTGCGCGCCCACAGTGATATGGCCCCTGCAATAGGCTGAGGGCATGATAATAACGCCTACCCTAGATTCAAAAGGATATTCTATATCTCGTTGGTATAGCTAATATATTTGACGGGTATCTTCTCGTTAGATTTAAGAATCCTCTGCTAGCCTTTCAGGCACCTAATCAGCAATAATGGAAACAAATATCAGCTGACTATTTCCAACGGGCAACGGGAAAGTGTATTATCTCTCAGCTCAACACGAAGTCCAGTAAATAAAGTACCCAGTTGCTAGCTGTCGATCTTGGAACTATTTATATATTCTAGCACATTCTTACGTTACGTATTAACTAGCATCTTGGCTACACCAAAGAGATGAATAGATCACTCATATCAACAGAAGACAGTTCGGTCAGGTCTACCGCGTAGGCTTGTCTCTATAGAACATAGACATTTCAGAGGTCCACGGATCGTCTATCTCAACAGTAGGCAGAGAGGCCAGCGGATCGATGCCAAGTCGCGATTCGCTCTCCGTCGAATCATTGGTACTTCCATCTTAGTAGGCTCACCCGCTAAATCCCACGTATTTTTAACTTGCTGGGCATTCAATTGGTTGAACACCCCGGTTTCAGTGTCTCCGCTAGGTAGGTAATGAGCAGTCAGGGAGTTACGTACACCTACCAATCTAATATATGCTTAAGTAGGCAAGGTTCTCTTGAGTTGATTATCCCGCTGACTACTGGGTCCAGGCTGCACACAGGGACTCATCACAACAGCCGACCACAGCACTCACCAGTCTTGACGGAAGACAGAAGGTGCCACGATCCGACGGCTTAATCCAAGTACGTACCTCAACCTTGTCAAGCTTGTCCCGGATGTGGTGGTTGACAATTTCCCAGAGGTCCACTTGGTTATTGGCCAAGAGTTTCAGGACACCACCGGTACTTCCGAGATGCCGGCAGTTCCCAAATCCCAGCTGTGCCAAGACAGCCTCATTAGACCGCTCAGCTACGGGCAAAATAAGGGCGTAAGCACGTGGGCAACCATAAACGTCCCCACTAAGTGCGACTACCGGCATGCTTTTGTTTATGCTTTTTTTGGTGGCCGTCAGCAAGCGAAAACGGACACTCCCAGATCACGCTATACGCGTCACGGCACCACAGGACTCATATTTTCTTCCATGCGGATAGTGGTCAATACCTAAACCTACCAAGCACAAAGAAAAGGCATCAGTATCAACTAGACCGGGCACAGGAATCAATGTCTCCGAAAACTCTACTCAGTAAGGGTCGAAATGGCTCGGCCATGACCTTTAGAAAAGGGATGTCCCGATGCTCACATTCACGCTTCCCGTCGTCAAAGTTCCTAAATCTTGGCAGTCATCTTTACCCCTGCCAGCCAGGACCCGGTCAGACTAGTGGCCATGTTTAAACTTGACGACGGGCCTATGCCTATCTATATACAGAGGAAGATAATTTGCTAGTTCGCGGGGGACGGGGAGTAATCGTGCGACCCCTGGAGACTGCTGCCCATAAAATTATGCGAGACCATTCTGTTTTGTGCATGAACATTCCAGAAAAGAGATTTCCGCTTAGTTAACTTCTATTTACAGGGTCCGACCATGGGGTGGGTGGTCCGACTAGATCCCCTGACCTTCTCACGGTCCCAACGGCGAGGGAAGCTCATCCTTGGCTCAAGACACCATTCTCGAAATAGAACGATAAGAACTATTGAAGACATCGGGCTCTCGAGAGGATGCATTGGAAATGTGTATAAAGGGAGACTATTCCTCTGCCCAAGTCCTCTTTCCTTCTTCTCATTCATCACAAAAACCATAAAAACATCATTCAACACCTAGAGCTGGTCTCTTTCGCTTCTTTTTCACCCTTTTATTAAATATTTTTTTTTATTGCTGGCCAATAGCTCTTTTTTGTTGAACTTTTATCTTTCCGAATATCTTCATTCTCTAATCCTTTTATTTTATACCTCCTTCCATTAATAATCTTATCAATCTTTCAAAATGGTCTCTTTCAAGCAACTTTCTCTTACCACCGCTGTCGCCCTCAGCATTGCTGAGACTGCAGTCGCCCTTCCCATTCGCAGCAACGGCAACGATGCTGATCTTGCCGCACGCGACTCTGAATCTCTTGCAAAGCGAGCGTTCCACAAGAACCTGCTCAACAACTCATTCAAGGCTCTCAACCTTGGCAACGCCATCGCCGGCATTGTCATGTCTGAACGTGACAATGAGGAGCGTGCAGTTGAGGAGGACGTCGAAGAGCGCGACTTTGAGGAAGACCTCGAGGAGCGTGACTTCGAGGAGGAAATAGAGGAGCGTGACTTCGAGGAAGAGCTCGAGGCCCGTGATTACGAGGAATACCTTGATGAGCGCGATTACGAGGAAGACCTCGAGGAGCGCGACTACGATGATTACCTTGCGGAGCGTGATTTCGAGGATTATCTCGAGGAACGTGCTCTGGAGGAGCGCGCCAAGGGTCGATTTAGCCCCAACATCGGCGAGAACATTGGTAATGGATTGGATGCCGCTTATACCATCGCGACTACGTACGGCACCATCAAGAACGTGGTCAAGTCCGCCATGGGTGGAGGCGAGGGTAAGCGCGATGTGGAGGAGCTCGACAGGCGTGCCTTTGAGGACCTTGTCAGGGAGCTGTACTATTAAGGGTTTAGAGATTAGAAGTTTTTTATTCGAATAGAGATAATTTTTCTTCAACTGGCATGAATAGCGTGAATGATTCCTGGAGGATCTCGGTTTTCTGACGATTGATTTAGCCAAGCCTAGCATCCAAACACAGTCAAGGATATCTCTCGCACCATTTCTCTCACCCCATGTTGGTTATCGTCGAGACACCAGTGGTGGGAGTACGAGGGAATTCTATCTGGGGACACATGGGTGTCTTACAAGGATTTCTTGCATCCAAAATGGGTTCAGAATGGTCTATCAAAGTCACCTGTCTGTCAGTTCATTTCCCCTTCCCTTGCAGCTTTTACCATGATCACCAGTCAGCCAATCTCGCCCTTCGCTTCTTGTCGCCTGGATTCTCCATGACTGAGGTTATACGGTTAGCTCGGGAATCTTCACAGCTGCATACGATTGGTCCTGGCGAAGTGCCAAGCAACGTCCAACATGGGAAGGAAGAGGAGAGTCTTTCGGTAATGCCACCGGATTTAACATCGACTCTAATCAAGCTACTTTGGGTGTAGCATTTTGTTTCTTTTATTGATATTTATTATCGACTCATCTGATCACTTTTGTATACGATCTTACTTACCAAAACATGCTCTTGTATCTTTGTATATTGTGAATAGAAAGCCATCCCATGCTCAATATTACCGACGGAAACAAGAAGCGAGGCAAATTGGGGGCCATCGATAGCCGGACGGTGTACCATGCAAGAACCGGCTAGACGGTTTCACAGGGATAGAGCTCCACCCTTCATTTACCGGCCGTGGAGAAGAAGGATTCACAAGCACAGGCACAAGGTTTTATGCGAACTCCTCCATCGGCTCACGCTACGCAATCCATACATACCGCGTCCCTTGTCGATGGATGGTGGAGTTGTTCTGCCAAGCATGAATATAAAAAAGAACTCGAGAAGGACACATCATAGCGCTGACGCCAAGCCAACAACAAACCATGTCAACCCTTCGCCAATGTTGATGGCGTGGCCACCTGTATCCACCATGGATTTCGTGTCATTTGAAAACAGGACGGCCATTACCTTTTCTTCAGTTAGGCAGATAGCCCATGCTCCCTCCAAACACCAGACAAAGAACCTAAGCCATCCGCCCATCATGTCGTACTCGGAAAAGTCTCAACCGCCGCCGTATCAAGTTGGCGGGCCATCGAAGGGTGCCGGCCAATACGAACGTGCCGGGCACTTTGATGGCGGCAGCTACATCATCAACCATCGCGATGCTAGTTCCACCTTGACCATTTCTCTTCATGGAAACAGTCGCTTCACCTCTCGGATAGAGTCATTGACTCATATGTCTAAAGGCGTTAAGGTGGACTCTGCAGACAAATATTCACTCGCGCCAGAGGGGCGCGATACGTGGACAAAATATATGACTTTCTCTGGTCCCGGCACCGTGACGCTAGGTCCCGATGTCCTTGGAGATATCATCGCTCTTCCTATCGACAGTGCGACGGACAGAGAGCAGTGGTCAGTCCGTACATCATTGATTCTAGCCTCCACTGCAGGCGTAAACGGCAATCTGGTCAAGAAAGAGTTCAGTCTCGGGATGTTTCATGAACAAGAATTTAATCATTATACACTTTCCGGCAAAGGTGTCTTCTGGTTAAGGACCTACGGTGTTGTTGATCGAGTTGATGTAAGTACAGCTATCTTATCCTCACTTCCATATGCCCCTTCTTCTTGATTGTATGCCTGCATTCCCCCTCTTCCACTTCAGCACTGGAACACAAAAGCTAGTGTAAATGCATATTTTAACAAAACCAATAGCTCGGAGCAGGCGAGGCCCAAATTGTTGAGACTGGCCACCTAGCGGCCTGGACCAACTGTTCGCTATCGCCAGTCAAACTCGGCGGGAAGAAGCCAAGTTTTGTCGAAGTCCAGGGTCCCGGAACGATTTATGTGCAGGCTCGAAAGGTGGAAGACTGGATAGATCTTGCTAAATGGGCTTCGTCGCATTAGAACCAACTGAACTATCTTGAACATGGTTGTCCTCCTGTTCCGTGAGCTCTGTATAGGTATACAACAAATGTTCTTTCCAATAAACTTAATATTTTTAGTTCTCGGAAAATCCTCCTTACTCCAAGAAATATTTATCAGCTGGGTAGAGAGCTGCATGTGCCTACCCAATTATGGTGCTCAAGGCAGAGTCTTATGTAACCAAGTTCCAACAGCAAGGCTGACTGGCGTCTATGGATGGATTCTTTCGATAACAGCTGCCCACACACTCCCAAGATGGAAGTCTTTACACCTCATTGTCTCCATTTTCACAACCGCCGCCCGCCGACATGGCGCAAGACGGGGCACCAGACTATTACACCCTTGTGTCTGGATTTTATGGCCCTGGTGCTTTAGCCTGCTGGTACTTGAGCATAGCATCTTGCATATTTAATTCCCTCACTGCGAAGCGGGACGAAAATTCCCGTCTCTTTGGGCTTTCAATCGAATTTGTCGCTCTGATGGCATATCCCACCATCGCGATCGGCCATCTGCTCATCCAAATCAATGGATTTCCTGTGGACTCTGAGGAATACCTTACCCAAAACTTGCTATCCTGCCGCGAGAGATGTGACAAAGGGGTGCCTCTGCCATACGATTCCCCCGACGGCTCACATCTCGCTACTCACGCGGAATTGTACCCCCAAATTCTGGCAATGAACCCGGCTCTGAGAATCCAGGATTCGTTCTTCTATATCTGCGCCGCGACACTATCGTATGGCTTATTAACACCGACGAAGCCCAGGACTGTCATGAAAAGTGTTCTCTTCGCGGTTGGACTTGCGTGGTGCTGTGCTGTGAAAATCGCCTTGATGGTTAAACTTAGCCGCAATGGTGACAGCAGCAGTACTATGGGATTTCCCATGGAAGTCTTGGTGGGCCTCGTTTTACACAGCTGTTTGCCTCTGACCAAATTATACGCCGCTCTTATTTCGCCCATTTTCGTTCTGACCATTCCAGCGATCATGTTGGCCAACTTATACTTGACGCTCATCTTCTTCTCTACAGCTATTGGCTTTATGTGGAATATTCTTTTCGTTAGGTTCCATTCTTCAACCTGCTTCGCATTCTTGCTTCGCCTCAGATCGAGGTTGACATACTTTTCTAGTCCGACTATCACGTGGGTCGGCTGGGTTTGTATGCCATTTCTGATCTTCTTTATCACCATGATCGCTTATGGAGCTTGGTATCTGTGTTATTCTTGGATTGGGATAATGTTCGAAACTGAGGTTTCTTACTTGTTTTTACCCCGGACAAATATCTCAATAACGGATCTAGACCAGGCTTTCGCACTTTCTAGTGGCTTAATATCTTTCCTGTGGCCTATTTTGTTTGATTTATTGTCTCGATTAAAGTCTAAAAGAGCCACAGAACAACTGGAGGTTTAAGTAAACCTATTTGCTGATAATAGCGTCAGACTAGTTATTTTGCTCCCTGAGATCTGTAATATATAAATAGTTGAACGTCGTCTTAATAGTCAGTGAGATACCGTAGTAGAACAATAGGCAGACGATTTTGCCTTATACCAAAGGAACACAGATAAAACATGTTACTTGTACCGATGTTACCCAAGGCTTTCGACAAGCAAAGTCAGGGGAGTACAATTACATTATCTATGCTAATACTTCCTATTGATGCCTGATTTTAGGTCTCACTCATTATGGCCCGAGTGAAACTGCAGAAAGATTCCTTAAATTTCTATCAAATTTAACTGTCTTTCTGTGTACTTAAACCCCTAGTTGCCTGTGTTTATCTGCGTGACTATTATCCGTTGCATATCAGGCACAAGATCTCAGGGAGCAATTTGTTGCTGATTGAAAAAGGGTGTTAATAGATCTTGCTTCCCAACGGGTACTCCTTTAGAACGAATGATATCGTAGGCGGTTACAAGATGAAAGTACATGTTGGGTAATCCATAACCTCCAACGAATTGCGAAACTGTGGACGTGATGTACTTGTCCGGACCATAGTTGAACGTGACAATCGCTCCCGCTCTCGAAGTGAACTTATTCCTATCCGAATCATTGACGACATCCAGCGTTTTCCTGACCAGTGTATTCATGCTTTCAAGTGTTGTCAATTCTGCCAGTTGCTTCTCCTCTTCAGCGCCGAAGTTCTTTGCGACATCTTCAGCGCCTTGGCAATGGCTAATGATGTCTTTTGCCATTCGACAGACCATGAAGACTTGGAAATCAAAGGGATACATGTTCGAAATGAGTCTGGCGTTTATATATTCCTCAACGGGGACATTGGCTGTTGACGCATGGGCTTGAAGCAAATCGAGAAGGCTCAGAATGGCATTAAGAGCTGAAATGGCATGAGGCACTGTGGCATCGTAGAGGCTATAGTCGGCCATTTTATCGAGTCTTAAGTATTCGGATGGTTATAGTCTCGGTGGTGCGGATAGGTTCCTTCTGATAGTTTGAAGAACGGCCAAATCCACGAAACTGGTTATTGTGACGTGTCCAAGACTTGTCCATAAACCCCGCCTCACCAACATGCCAAGCCGCTTATCAGCCCCCTTGATGTGGTGGCAGGGGTTTCTTGCCCTATGACTACTCTAAAACACACATGATAAGCCCACAAAACCCTCCTACCTCTGTCAATAAACGTCATGTTATCAAGTTTCCAAGAGAAGGTTGAGTGGGAGAATGGTCGGGGGATGTTTTGCAGATGAGTAAAGAAGCGGCAGTTAAGGCGTCATCGTTGAATGGTTAGTGGTTACTAATTTGGTTTTCCCAATGTTTGAACTTCAACATATTCTTTGTCTCGTCAACCTCAAGTCTTCCTAAAGTTTCAAAATTTGAGTGTATCTTAAGGTGCTGTGGCTTGTAGATAAACTTCATCTCATAAGAGGAAATATTACAGCTCAGATACTCGAATGCCGTCTTTGGGCTTGTTCTTTTCACTACACACCATAGTGTACTTTGGGAGGGCCACCTAATTCTGGCCCTCTGCCAGGGTACTGAAATCCTATCCTCAACTAGACTTCATTCAAGGGAGTCTTGGATATTTAGATGGAGCTTAATCTAGTTCATTCGTATCAGACTTGAAATATCGCTCTGGTCTTCTTGACCTGCGATGATCACATCGACATGGATATACGAGCGTCAATGGCCGACTAAGTTGTATTATGTTGGCTTTGTGGATAGGAGTGCAGTAAACAAAGAAACCTAATAGAATTATCCCTAGCCCCAGACCTGTATGGAGGCCACAATGTTCTAGCATATTTTCCAGAAATTTGACTATTGTGTTCGCTATGTTTACCAATAAGGCAACTTGACGCACGTGCTGACCTGAAGTAGATGATAGAGGCAAGTAGACCTGAATTTAATTGAGGAAGCTGATGTCTAGAAAAGAATCACAGAAAAGTACGTTTATGTTTATCTCAGTCAAAATTATGAAAAGGTGTGATACATTAACTCTAAGCATCTAATGAAGGTCTAAAACTCCAAGCCCAAGAAAGAAGGTAAAGTCTATGTTAAAATATCTACAATGAATTGCACGACTGCAAAATCCCATAAGGCCCAGTATATGAAGCCTCGCCGTCAGTTTCCGTCATGATGATTGAAGCTCCTTGAATTTAAAAGCCCCCATTAGGGTTGGGATTGGGGATGACTGCGCCGCCCTGAACCGTCGGGGGGATAATAGAGACACCAGTGCCAGCAGCAAGCTGTCGGTGCTTAGCAAGACTGAACAGCTGGTTATCAAAATTTTGGTTGATAACACCAACCATGCCCTTCTGGCAGTGGTTGCCGTTGGTTTGAGGGCAGTAGTACCAGATGGGCTTCTTATCCTCCACCACAATCTGGAAAACCTTGGGGGCCTGGTTCTCTTTGGTGGCGAACTGAAAGCCAGAATAAAAGCCGGTGCCGTTGTTCAGTGGCTTGCAAGGTTCAGCGAAGGAAGACTGCGCGACGGCGTGATTGAGCGGGAGGAAGTGCCACTCGACAACATCGCCGATTTCAGCAACGACATTATCCGGGGAGAAGTTGAGACCGCCAAGACCAGCCGTAACAGAATGGGTGACTCCAGTCAGCTTCACTGTGGTTGAGGGGGCTGCCCGGATGGTTGGTGTCGGGACGGCGGTGGCCAATCCGCTGACAAGGAGAACGGTTGCGAATAGCGTAGTGAAGGCCATTATGGTGTATGATTATGAAGAGATGATTAAATAATTTGAAGAAGTTAAGGCCTTGATGGATCGTGGAGATGAAGGTTGAGATTGGAATTAGAATAAGGTACTGATGATATGATGTAGAATGTTGATGCGGATGATGGTGGGAATACAACACTTGATCTCGACCATGGCCAGCTTCTTAAATACATCATCGCCATCTTTGAGACTGAGAAGCATTCTCCAATCTCAAAATAGCCATCTTGCTGCACTAAAACACCGCCTCTCGGATGAGCTTGGTTCCGATAAGATGGCGGCGGCGGCGGAGTCGATCCCGCAAATGCTCTTACTCATTCTTGTCATTGAGTATACCGCATCAGGCCAAGCAAGTCATCATTGGCACCAAACTAAACTTGCCGTGGTTTAACTTAGTTGCTGACGATGACGAAGGTCGAGTGCCGCAGCGACTGCCGATGCATTTGTCTCCCAGTCAGCACCGCCTGCACAGCCACCATGGAATTATTCAGAAATGTGGCAGCGCCACTCTGGGCGGCCGACCACGCTCAGAATAGATATTCTCATCCTAATTTAGTTAGTCTCATAGAATTACAAATTCAATTCATCGTGCTGCTCAAAGCCATGAATCTACACGCAACAAGACATTATGAGGACTACCTTGCCAAATCCTGTAAGTCTTGTGACCATCTTTTTCATTCTATCTTATGTTTCTTTCTAAATGGGGAGAGTCTGAGCTTTTCAGGGCTTTCTGTTCAGAGTCTATTGTGTTGAGCTGTTAAGCCGCGCCAGGTGAACTTCTGGAAAAATATCAAGCAGATGTGAGGCCACAAATGACTTAGCATCTCTTCATTGAGCCGATGCAAAACATGATGTGGATAATTTAAGCCGGCCCTGAAAATTATCTGGCCAATAAGAAAAAAACCTATTCTTGAAAGACCTTGTTCAAACCTGAGCCGGTGTGAATCTGACGAAAGGGCTGGGGTAGATTAGCCCTGTTGGAATGAGAGGGAAACAGGACCGAACCGAACAACAAAAAAGCAACCTCTTCCCACTATTACATTCAGCTAATTAACATACTTGCCATGATAGAACCAGGTTATGACCTTCTGCTTAAAAGCAAACCCTTTTACTGCGTCACTAAGCCGCGAAGTGCTTGCCGCGCATTAAGTTATTGAATCCACGTAGTCCGAAAATAACATGCTCTCCATTGAGAACTAGCCATACTTGATGAAGTCTGCTAGGCTGGCAGTATCTAGGTAGCTGAAACTTTCTTCCTACTCGTCGAATAGATTTTGATTCTACAACAAGCAACTATAAGCTCGACCGAGAAAGGACATCCATTTGTGCTACAAGAGCATTCACCCAGGCAGAGGGGCTGCTCTGTTGTTAGTCCCAATTAGGGGCACGAGGCATCGTACCGCCATCTGACGTGACGTGCATTGATAAACTGACCTTTGTACTTAGGGTTTTCCACAAGGGATGATCAATTCCGTATTTTCTCACAGATTTAGCGATCCGAAATCAACAAAAAAATGCATGCAGTCCGACGGTACCTTGGCTAGTAAGCCTAACTCATTCGTTTCTTCAATTGAGTGGCGATTTGCACAATTACAACATGGACACAAGCTGGCTCAGAGTCGTCCGAGGTAAGAAAGGGAGACATCCTGATGATATTGATACATACATATACTGGTGCTCACTGAGTTGCTTTGGGCTCATGTTCAGATCGAATACAAGATGGGTGTATGAAGGAAGCTGCGTGTGAGAGGCAGCACTCCAGCTCGTCCCGATCACAAGGGGGTAATCAACATTAAGTTTTCTCCTGCATAACTGTAGACTTAGGCTAGCAGGATTAATTGATGTTGTTCGTATTCACTATGTTAAGATTCCGGGTCTAGCATCTTCTATTGCTATTTTCTGCTAAGTCAGTCAAGCTACTTGAACTCTCACACGCGTGACGCGTATGTGAGATGTGCTGTTGTCTGCAAGAAAATATATATATTCTAATCAGTAATCCAAATCATCCAGAACCGATAGGACCCCTTCTACTACCAAGCTCTAGTGTCTTTCACTTTTCCCTCCTTCTCCTATACCTTTACGAATTTACTTCCTGCAACTTCATCTACCCCCTGTTCGCTGAATCTTGACCATGGTTGTCACCCACCGAGTCGGAGCTGCGGCAGCTCTTGTGTTATCCTTAGCAAGCAGCGTTGTCGCAGTGCCTGATGCTGCCCACGGACTTGATGAGAATGAGGTCTCACAGCGAGACCTGGGCGAGTCTGTTGCTGGCCCTGATATCGACTACAAACTTGACGACCGTAACTGCGTCGACGAACTGGGTGAGCGGGATTTCGAGCTCTATTTTCGTGATCATCTTCTCGCGCCGCGTGCCAATTCTGATGGCCTTTTCCCATTCAATGGTCCTGGACAACGCGGTAGTCCTCGAAGAGGCGGGATCACCTTACGAGGCCGCGGAACTGCACGAGGCCGCGGTACTTCACAAGGATGTGGTACTTCACGAGGACGTGGTGCTTCACGAGGACGCGGCGCTTCTGGAGCTTGTCGCCGAGGGAGAGGCAAGGGCTTTGGGGAATTTGGAGGCATGGACAAAGCTGGCCCCCCCGAGTCAGGCCACTTCGGCGAGGCTGACGACCATCCCAAGGCTGATGAACCCCTCGAAGCTGGCGGGCCACCCCCGACTCACGACCACTAGGATGGGAGCGCAAAGCCTGTAAGGGGCATAGTAGCTCTGGCTTGTGCAGCCTGAGAATTGCAGGGCAGGTGTGCCTCTAAATATAGGATTCCTATTGATAAGTGGCTACTTATGCCACCATCCTTGTTCATGGCGTTGGAGGCCATTTTACTTTAACAGTCAAAGAAATGGTATCTACCATCTTAGAGAGTTGGTGTCGGATCCCAGAATGAAACAAACAGGGAAATGGGTCATAGGATATACGTGTCAATATCATGTGAAATCTGGTGTCCGCTAGGCTCGTTCGAAGAATACAAAGTTCCATTCACCGATTCTTCATCTTTGATTACCTAGATCAAAACGTAATGAGCTATTTCACCTCCAAAGATCGGCATACTGTTCCGAGCAGCAATGTGCGATATTGTCACCCTTCACCCTCTACATCGAAATAAACAATGGACTGAAGGCCTAAGAGTCCTTGAGCTTCGTGCTACCTAGAGGCCCAAACACTCCCAATACGCTCAAAATCCTTGCGGCATTGAAGAGATTGTCCGTGATAATCAGCCCCCACATGCCAGAGTTCCATTGACTCGGGTTCCAGAAGTAGTCTTTCCCAACTGCCAGGTACGCAGAGTAAAGATAGAGAATATCGGCGAGAAAATGGGAAATCATGAGCCATTTAATCGTGGATGCGCTCTTATTGATCCACACACCGATGACCTGAGACGCTGCGATGCTCAACATAAGAGCAGCTATGTTCAGTGAAATCACGCGCGTGTACACCTCTATCTCATGAGGATGGTCAACTGGTTTTGGCACTTGATGCACGTAGAAAGCTGCCGGGTCGGAAATTGCGGAAGCAGCCGCCAGGGTTCTGATCCGCGTGTTAGTTACTTTAATAAAGGCGCCGAAACAAGATTGAAAATTGACATACATAGCCAGTGGATCAATAATGCCCAGGATGATCCGAGGGACGACGGGGAGACAGTAATTGGACATTTTAGATCAGCCGGCACAATCGTAATCTTGTGTTGCAAAGGTTCTGATGTGAGAGTAATGAAGGTGTACCATGAAGAATGATAACAAGTATATATTTAAAGGACAGAGGGATGGATTGGAACCCTTATTAAGTACTATTACAGAGGAGGATACAGCAGGTCTAGTGCTTATGCTCGGAGATAAACGGGGTTGATCATCCTGTATTGCATATGTAAGCCCGCTTAATAAATATTGTAACCTTCAAGTTTGTTTTCATTGGCTTCTGACATGGGGAGCAAGAGGCCTGAGTTGTGCGCTTCATCGAGCAGGGGCCTGCCCGGTCGACATCGAAGAACCTTGAACTACCCTATGGCAGAGGTGTAAGATGGTTCAAAAGTGAACGACTAAATGACACAATGTTAGTTCAGTTTTGCCTTGTGCCAGCATCAGTTTCTGAAACTTCCGGGTGTGACTAATAATCAGTCTTCTAATGCTCATGATTAAGAGGTGACACTTTATCAAAGACCGTGGACCTCTGGTATTTGGACCCTTAACAACTACATCTTAGACGAACTTGAAGACTTTTTCTTCAGGGGAGGCGGAGGATAATGGTAACAAAACATGAGACTGATATTTGAAGAATAATTAAAATCGAAGCTCCGATCAATCGAGCTAGAAAATGTTCATTTAATACGCTACAGTCAGGTCCTCGTTTGCTATATCAGGGCTAATCGTTCAGTATACATTCGTTTTTGGTTCTTTAATTCATTATCTCCATCCGCAATCTCAAGCTGCATCAGCGCTTCCGACAAGCTGATCAATCTTCGTCACCTGGTTCCCTGCCCGAATGATACGGTGACCTTCCGAATCGTTCACATATGTGACATTCTTATTCTCATACTGTGCCCGCTTCCATACTTCGACCTCACAGCCGCCTCGCAAGACACCGACACGCATCGTCGAGAGGAGGTTGTGGGCAGCGTTGGAGTGATAGTAAACTCCTCCGTTGAAGATGGCCGTGGCATCCTTACCGATGGCGGACTTAATTAGAGCCTTACCACCGGGATGCTCAGCGATGAAGCTCGACACATCGTGGATGACGCCAGCAATAACAACCAGGGCCTTGCCATTCTTGGTGCTGCCTTCGACGAACTCATCCCAGTCGATGACGGGGAGCTGTTCCAAGGGGATTCCCCAGTCGAGAGTAGCACGCTTCTGGTCGAGCTTCTTCTGCAACTGCTGGACACGGCCCATCTCGATCTCATTCTGACGGAACTGCTTGAGGTCGTACGCCAGTCCGAGCTGCTTCCAGACCCAGATGAACCATTTGGTTGGGTCATACTGGTACCAGATGATGGCATTGCGGTAGTCGGATGGGAACTCATGATGGAAGTTGTGATAGCCCTCGCCCAGAGTGACCAACGCAGTGATCATGTGGTCACGAGGTGAGTTTCGGTCATCAAAGGGCTGCTCGCCAATCCAGTGAGCAAGCGAGTTGATGCAGAAAGTGGCCTGCTGCACAAAGCCAACCCGAAGCAGACCAGCGTAGACCAGACCTCCGACCCAGTCACCCCAGCCAAGGCCGGCAACGAGAGCGGGGAAGATGAAAGCCATGGTGACGGCAGACTTAATGTAGTTCTTGTGCTGCCAAACGACGATGGGGTCTTCGTTGAGATCGGTGATATCGGTTCGGCCCTGGCGCTTAGGGTTCTGCTTGAAGATGATCCAGCCAATGTGGGAGTAGAAGAGACCCTTGCGGACCGAGTAGGGATCCTTGTCGGTATCGGTATATCGGTGATGGACTCGGTGTCCGTAGGACCACCATCGGATAGATCCCTCGACGGCGCCGGCGCCGACTGCTGCGAGGTAGAGCTTCAAGAGGGTGTTTCCTTTGTAGGCGGAATGCGACCACATGCGATGATAACCTGCTCCGGGTTAATATTTACGGGGAGAGCGGAGGGCTTTCGGGTGGATGCTTACCAGCAGTGATGCCTAGACCTGTGTTGAAGTAGTAGATAAAGGCCCAGATGGCTGTGTATCGGTGGAGGGGAACCCAGTAGGAAGCGATGAGCCCAATCATGGGAATGAAGACGACAAGTGTGGTATTGAGCCAGTTGACATGCTTGTACCAGTTTGATAACGTCATGGGCGTTTCGGAGATGTGGACGGTGCTCTTGCTAGTTGCCGCCTTGGCCTTCCCACTCTCTCGGAGGGGGACGTAGTCGACGGTGCCATCAGGGAAGGCCGCAGCCTGTTTGGCAGCTGAGGCCTGCTCAGACATGGTGAATGCTGCCTTGTTGATAACACAGGCGAGGGTGTATCGTAGCCAGAATCTATGCAAGTGCCGCAACTCCTACTATCAAGTGATAATGGAAAGAATCGCGCCGCAGACCCAGAAACTCTTGTAGAGAATTAGGGAGATGAATGAAGGCAGATTGGGGATTTGGTCTGATCCTCATGCCTTGTGTTATATGGCAAAACTGTTGGCCACTGCCTTTGCACACATTGCCTATGATTACGCCGCTGGCCCGTAACAGGTCTCCCGGTCCGTTGGGCTGATCCTCTTTTGACATCCCCAACAATGTTCTGGGCCAATCGGCGAACGACGGCTGCGGAGGTCCGGACACGATGGCTGGCTTTTCCCAGTCCTCCCCCAATTCTCCACAGGAATCACATCGGCTGGCATAGAGATTACCGAAAGACTTTTTTAGTCTTCGCCATGGTACGATTCTCCCGCTACGAATAGAGATGCCGCGGTGGCCTGGCTCAGTCTCGGACCCAACAAATCGTCAGAGTAGGAGAAGGAAAATTGAAACCTTGCCAATACCCACTTGCGACCCGATTTCTCCCTCCCGGCTGGCTGCTCCGCCTATAAACACCCTTGCCGCCTCAGATTCATCAGGCCACTTTCGCTGTTTATGTGCCCTTTTTCTCAGAATTGTTGGCTCGCTTCCTCGCCTCCAATTAGGGGGTCCATAATGAGTAAGGATAGACCTACCGGGCGGCGCATGTAATTAATACTTGCGGCAACGAGAATCAATCAGCGATGATACTGCCAGTGTTAGGTGTCTAGTACTTGTAGCTGGGCCACGTTGGTATACGTTAAGGGCCAGGCCGTATCATGAGATTTGTTGGACAATAATCCGTACGCTACACGAGATTGACGAAACATGTTACAAAGATTCCGTGACGGAGGGGTAGATGTAATCCTCTCAATTTACTATCTACTGTTCGTCGGCTGCTGAACTCATTGCCTTCCGCAACGGCTACATTGGTCGACAATTCTACTACCCGGTGCATCCGATGCTTGATGAATCGGCCCCCAATCAGCTCAGAAGAGTGACAATTGAATTGTACGCGGCCTTCGGGTTAAAGTTGCTGTCGAAAAGCAATGGGTTCGCCCCTGTCCGCCAGGAGTCCTAGGAGGAGTCAGGCTTATTTTTCAACCCATTCAGATATCAGGACGGGCTTACCTTGTCGCTGATGCCCCATACCGTAATACCGTAGCACTTTGGCGTATTCAAACATCCTTGCACAACTGCATTGTAGTCACTGGTCGGCGCATTGGCGATATCAAGCTCTGTAATCGCTACTTCTGTCACCGCTGCAGTGGCAAGTTGCTGAAGTGCGCCCTGGACAGCAGCACCTCCACCTGCACTGAGATGTGTTTGAGTTCCTGATCCAGCGAGGTCAGCCCTGTAAATTCTTTATGGAGGTTTTAGTGGTTTATTGCTAAGATACTGACCTATTCCATCAATGGGAACCCCCTCGGAGATCCATTTGTCAACGTAATATCGCATCAAGTTGACCTTGCTGGCCCCGGAACGATCTAGGTTGTAGTCGTTGATGTAGAGCCGGCAGGAGGGGTCTGCCTCTCTGGCCGCACGGAACGCAATAGAAACAAACTCTTCCCCTAATAATCTAGAGAAGACGGAGCTTCGGAGTGTTCCATCCTCATTGAAGATCTCATTCACAACGTCCTAGCAAATGTCAGCATAGATCTCATGTAGCACATCCAAGAGCCAAGACCAAAGACTAACCCATGCACGGATCTTCCCTTTATACCTTCCAACTACAGTGCTAACGTGGGTGCGGATAACTTGGCGCAGAGTATCAGCATTGTTGATATTAGCCACCCATTGGGGGAGTTGCGAATGCCAAACAAGAGTCTGCAGGATCTGTTAGCAGTGCTCAGTTTGTATTAGTTGATGGAACTCACATGTCCACGAATGGATTTCCCATTCTGCTGCGCAAAATTCACCAGGTAGTCGGCATCTCCCCAGTTGTATTGGCCTTGAGATGGGTTCAAAGACTGCCATTTCATGCTGTTCTCAGGCGTGACCTGGCCAAAGTTTGCGTTGATGATCGCCGCATTCTTTTCCCTCTGGAGCAGGCCACGGTCAGTAGCAGTACCAAAGTAGCCCTTGCCACGATTTTTAATCAATTGGTTAATGCTAGATGATGCCTGACGTTCTTCCAAGTCTGGCATGCGCTCAGTGATGTTAACACGGCGGAGGGCAAGTTCAGGATCTAGCTCAATCGAGTCGACAGGAAAGGCTGCCGCAAGAGTTCCAAAAAGGAAGACAAGAAATGGATTCATGGTTAGTGAAAGGCGACGGAAACTCTCATGTGCCAAAATAATGAATTTATCTTGAAGGAATCGTAGTGAAATCTTGGTGTCCAACGCATTCAAGTTCGCTGCGTAAACAAAGAGAACATATTTATATTAACATTGGGACCCGCAAACTACCAGAAGAAGATTCTTCTTACTCCTCCGCTAGAATACTACCTCGGCGTCAGGTGAGACTATATCTCTCTTCATTTTCTCGTAACGGTGATTACCTCAAGAAGGTCTCGACCACCGTGCAGCTACCTAGCGGCTCTAAGAAGTGACCCTGTCCAGTAAAGCACGGTCAAATCGAGTCACGCTATCCTGTTTGTGATAGTTACATTACTAATTACAACGCTGAGATTCGCACAAGGCAAGAAGTGACGGATCAAAGGGAACCGGCTTGGCGCAACTCTGCACCGCGTGCATGGGATTTTTAGTGCAAGCCCCTTTCTAATTCCAGAGAATGGCTGTAGATAGAAAGTTCGTTCACTAGATTTGATTTACCTAGGCTTATAAGGGGACGGAGGCAAGAATCCGTCTTACCGAAGACGCCAATAGAGCCAGCAGCCGGTCACAGGCTAATTACGAGGTGTAAACCTCAAGGAATAGGGAAACCATTCTTGCGAAATTCAGTTTTGCAACTGCAATTCGTGGGCCTTAGTATCTCCAAAAAAGATTTGTTTAATTTCTAGAACGCGATAGAAACAAAAGTTGAATTGAATTAGATAGAGGTCGTATGAATGCGCAAGATATTAACTACATCCATTCCCCAAACCTCTAGAAACTCATCTCATTTCTGAATCGGCTGAACATATTAGCCTAGTTTCAAACACCCAAAGCCCACCTACCCACCTAAATTAGCCTGATGGGAGATTGCCTCGACAGCAAAGTAACCCTCTTCTTTCAGCCTATAGAGTCCTTAGTCGTGGACACGACAACAGGGAGCAATTTTGACTGCCATCGACGAAGTCCTAGTCCGACTGGGAAGAGTGTAACATGGGTGCTTAAATGTTTCTCTCTGCTAGTTGATACTTCGTCCATGCGACCACGCCTCTAATACCGGGTTAGAAATGCCTTTGTTGTTGGTTAAGAACTGGGTTTCTGATAACTGCTTCCAATGAAAGCGACGAAGATGATGAATTAGGCGCTTAATATATAAACGAATGGAAAGAATCCTCACTTAGTCACCTAACGGGAGTGAACCTTCTAATCAATGACTGAATAATTCATGCTGGCTGTATATCCATGTGTCTATCTATGCTCCATTCTCCAAAATGCCGAAGCTGCATCGCTCTGAACAAATCTTTATCACGCTCGCCGTTTCAATGAAGCCTGAATTCCACTTCTTCATGCCCCCTACCTTCCACAGCTTCCCCATACATGATTCCATAGACCAGGCAATCAGCAAAAAGGGTAAAATCCAGACCACCCTCGGAAGCCTCATGCGTGGAGTCCACAGGGCTGAGGAGAAAGGGAAGCGTGCTACCACCAACAACCCATACTTCATGTCCTGGCTGTGCGTTCTTAGGTCCAATGCCAAACTTGCCCCCCTCCGTGATAAAGAGGGATTGGCCTTGCACCATGTCATAATGGTAATCTGCCATCGCGCCAGTGTCGTCCTGATCAGGTGCAAACCTCCCTGCAGCAACACTGCAGAGCTCTCGAACCCAACCACGACGAAGCACTCCTGGCCGTTCTCTCTGAAACCTCTCAACCACCCCCTCCCATCTTTCCACCACGCTGAGACTCCTTGCCATTTCTGACCCGTGATCTGCCTCAGACCGGTCGTTGTCGGGCCTCTCCACTACGGCCACCTTGTCCACGTACAGTCCGCATAGACACAGGATGTCTTCCCCGATCATCTTCAGCCCGTCTCCCACTCCATATAGTCCCGCATCAGGGGTGAAGTCATACCAGTACCAGCATGCTTCATGTTTCCAATACTGCGACAGTTTGTGGCTTGGATCTACCGGCTCAACCCAATCAAAGACCCATGAAGGGAAGCCCTCAGGCTGCCTCGCAAGATCGGATGTCTCCCCGCGACGGCCAATCAGCGGCAAGAGACTGCCTTCGGCACGAATCAAATCGGCGGTGATGCGTTTGAAAAGCGTCCTGGCGTCAATCGTGTAGTCGCATGATTTCACCGTCGGCAGCGATAAATCTTCGCGGAAACCCATGAGACCGTAGACTTTGTCACGGGGGTCAGTCGCGTGCCGAAACCTCCATCGAACAAAAAGCTGCAATGGCCTCTCATTCTGCGAAAAGGATAATCCACGCATAGATGACGTTAAATCGTTGATGGCATTATCAGCGAACAGTTCGTTTGGGATGTTGGGACAATCATCATCGAAGATGGTGTCGGCAGCTTTGTAGAGGGTAGTTCGATCGATCGAGAGGTGGCCCCAGAGGAGGGTGGCCTTGGAGGGGAGAATCGTCTCCTGGACGGTCCAGATGCGATACCACCATGGCAAACGCATGAACCTTTTCAAAGTCTGCCCAATGAATTCACATCTGAAACTGTCTCCTGTCCATGCAGGCTCATCTTGCTCACCAGCCATCCAATAGAGTAGGTCGAAGACGGCTTCGGCATCTGAGGGTTGAACCTCGCCCAGATGTCCTAACCAGACAACTGACTGTTCGCATTTCGAGTATATCTGATCCATCATATCGACTTGCAAGGTTTTCTCTTCGTCATCAGCCTGGTTGATACAGAGAGCGTCGATCCACATATAACGATGTCGATCTAGAAGCCGCAGATGCTGAATGGCATCCAAGAGGGTTGAGGTGATTTGAACATGACCATTATCGATCTTTAACAGGCGATCGTTGTCGGTATGAGGGGTTCCCCAAGCGTATGAAAGGGCCTCATAAGTCAAATTCAAGTCTGTGAGGTCGACAATGTGATATTTGCACTCAAGTGCAGAATCCTTGTCCCCAGACTGGATCTCCAAGACGCGAATTTCGGCCTTTTCTGGATCCAGGCGAGGGAATTGCATTTGGGATTCAGCAGAGTCGCCCGCCATATTGACTCAAGGCTGGCTGTTGGTTGCTGACTGCTAGGGTTTGAATAGGCAGACGCATGCTGTTTCGACGTGATTAAAACCAAATTTCTGAGAATTTGGAGTGAGGGGGTTATAACTTGGGCATCGCAAAGGGCTGACCAGAATAGTCCGCAGTACCCTGTCGTCAGCAGTGCTGCACTAGCAGAGATGTAAATATATTTAGCAACCTAATCCCAGCAAGATAGCATACTTGCAGCCCCTCCTTCAGTATCATAGCGGAGCGTGGTAGGGCTGTGTATGCAATCCTCAGCCCTGATAGAAATGGAAATACCACTACGCCGTACACTAGCAGGGAGCCCAAGCATCGAATTTCCATATCGGCACCAATTATCTCATGGACCGATTTCAATGTAGAAAAAAAGAGCTTGATAAAGATCTCTGACCTAATCACGATGAAGGGCATCCGCCGAACTCTCAACGCCAGTCTCCAGAGCGCCGGGTCCATGCATTCCTGAGACTACATTGCTCTGGGAACCCACAAGGAGTGTTCTTCATCGCGATGACAATTCGATAAAGAACTCAGCTCACCAACTGGAAAGAAAAGTTAAGATCAAGACCAGCGGCCTGGCCTCGGAGCCGACGGATAAGGCACCAAGCTACCCCGATACTGAAGCAGATGAAGGTCCACTGACGCAGGTACATATTCCAGTCAGTCATCGCGAGTTGAAAGTGTTCCGCAGACTCTTTGACCCCGAGTCTGGAACCGGAACTGGAGAGGTGGCATGGAGCGACTTTGTCTACGCAATGACCGGCCCCGACCTCTTTTCAGCAGGGCATTTGTCCGGATCAGTCTGGCAGTTTGCGTGAGATAGTGACTCAGCTTTAAGCGTGAAGAGGAGAAGGATTCTGTTCCACCAGCCACATCCCAGTAACGAGATGAGCATCGTTACCGCTCCGTCGATTGGTGAGAGGCTCCAGAGGCGTTTTGATTGGGATACCAATGAGTTGTTTTGAGCGAGTAGAGGAGGTTTATGTGGCCGATGGGTTGAGACACTCGTGGCATTAGCCCTTGGATCAACTACCTACTCCAGAGTGGGAGGCTTATTCCTCTTTGCTTTCCATATCGCCCTGCCGCCAAGTCTTACAGTATCCATGATGAAATCAGCAATTTCTTGAACATGCTCAGCCTCAGTTGGAGAGATTTTGTCCGCAGGGATAGTTTGTATCATATTCATTGCCGCCGCTAACGCTGCCATGTCGCCCTGTGCGTGGTCACTGTTTGGATGGATCAGGACATCGATGAACAACGACATGACCGCCACAGGAGAATAGAACACGACGTTCCTTGGAGAGTTAGTACAATTTTTGTTCTTTTAATCTGTTGGATTACAGGGCTACACTTACCAAAATGCCTCCTCTCCTAGCAAATCAATCGCAAATTTCAGCAAGATGAGCGTTGACCGGCTAGCTTCCAAAAGAAGGTCGATGCTTGAATGGAGCACGAGGTGGAGATCCTCTGGCAGGCTTTCAGATTCCGAATACTCGGAACCACACCTCCTCACTGTTGTGTGTATCGCCGTCAGCGTATAATGGTAGTCCAGTTGCAATTGTAGACGAAAGACACTCGGAAGGAAGTTTGCCTTCGTTCTATCTGGAAGAAATGGTCGATCTGGCGGTATAGACAGCCTAGGTCGAAACTCTGAAGGGACGGTCAATCTCCAGTTCTCTAGTTGATCATCTAGTTGCCGTATACGCAACAGAAGCTCCGCATCGTTCATTTTCAAGGCCGTCGGCGAGTAGAGCAAACGAAAAGCTTCTTCTCCGATGATGCTTAGGCGGACATCTCCTGGGACAACAGTATCAAAAGTACATCCCTGGTCAGCTTGTGTATCCTTGCCATTATCCAGTCGCAGGAAGTGGTCGTAATAACAACTGTAGTCTTCCGGTAGTGCTAAGTCACAGTAGTCTCCAGCCAATGACGGCGGTTGCCCAGATCGAAGTGAGACGTCTTTATCCCTGATGTAACAGATCCAGAAAAGCCGTCGAATGTGGTCAATCTGACGATTACTTTCGTGTTCGCCGAACCCAAAAGACGAGGCGGAATGTTGAATGTGACCTTTCAGTTCGCAAACCATGCGACACGCAAGGCCATGTAGCATATTTGCACACTGCCATCGTCCACTGGCTCTCCTATATTCTTGCTATATGCCAGTGCGTTAGATCCGAAATGTCATGGGATAGAGGATGTCTTTCTTACTAGCATCAAAACAGCTTGAAGGCTCTCTATGGTTGCCTCGCCAGTGAGGTAAGGCAAGAACGCCTGTGCTATGTCCGCAAATTCAGTATCATTTACTGAGGTTGCCAGAGCTCGCACGTCCCGCAATCGATTGGATATGGCATGGAGACATAGAATGCAAGCAGCTGCGGATACCCACGGCGTCCCGGGGTCCTGGTTGCTGTGATAGGCCATCAAGATAGTTTTCTCAAATAGAACGTGATCTATGACTGGAAACAACAGCCAGGTGTGCGACTGGTGAAAGCACTGCAAGACTTTTCGAGTCACGTTCTCGCCTGGCAATTGATTGAGTCCGTCCAACTTTCCGAAGGGCTCGAGAAGAAACGGTCCGGGTGTGGATCCAAACAGATGATGCCGCTCCAATCCCGTCGCTTGATCTGTTTTGGATGCTATCCATACGCGGCCCCTTTCTGATAGAATAGGCATTCCCCTGTAGTACCAATGATGGCCCAATACATTTCCCGAGGGAGTGGTTTGTCTTCGGGTTGTATCCCCCGGCGACGTTGGACTAAGCGATCCTGATTGGAGATTCGATCTACTGCTCCCAGCATCGGCGAATGGAACCGTCACGGCCGGGGAAGGCTGGCTTCTTTGCACATCGTGGCTAGCTAACAAGGCGCCTTCGAGTTGGTCAATACGACGCAACAATGCCTTGATCTCGCCAGACGTTGCCCTATCTCTAGGTTAGACTGGAAGTAATTTAACAAAATAGCCCGCTCAGCGAAATACCTAGATTTTGAGACTCTGGGCACCTCGCGATCAAAGGTACACTGCAGGTCGTGATGGCTGCACCAATTACATGGCGAATTCGGGGCAGGGATGGAGCATTGGATCTGGATGCCGTCAGCAATTGACCAGGGCCAAGGTCCGGAATTAGACGAGTTTGAGAGCGCGTAAGAGTCAAAACCAACCTTTCTCTTGTAGCATGTGTCGCATGCTTTCTTCGGCGGCATTGCACATCCTCAGCATTCAATGAATGGTGGTGAGTTGAAGAGTCGCAGGCCTCGTCGGAACGATCAGTCCGCTTTGTCATCAAACTGGAGATTGAGGCAAGTGCGATGATCACGGAGACGGAACAACTGCTCCCGCTTACATAATACAGTGAGCTTCCCAGGACATGCCAGTTGATGAGCTAATCGGCGCCGAAACCTCCGATGGGGCCATCCCAGAACCTGCTCATGCGTGATTTCACCATTATGCTCCAGCAATGGAGCGGAGGAAGAAGAAAACGCGGAACCATTTCTACATGTTAATCAAATAATCCAATTGGACCATTTGTCCTTGTAAAAGACCGTACAATGCATTTAAACCACGCGTTTGCCCTCGGCTTTGACTCCAAACTGGCTTCGGATATCATCACCTACCCTATATGCGCCTCCTAGCAAAGACGATTCACCAACTCGTCAAAATGCCTGCCAACAAAGCAACTTGGACACGCATCGTCTCGTCCGCGAGCCTTGACCGATCATCCCAGGCTGCATCTATTGTCAGTAACAAGCTCTACATTTTCGGTGGCGAGCTTCAACCCCGCCAACCAGTCGACAACAAGATCCATGTGATTGATCTCACCCAAGGCAGAGGTAAGCTCATACAATACCGCAGCCACTTTCCCAGCTAACCGTCGTGCAGACCCTACGCCTCAAAGCCTGAACACCCCCTCAGTAGCACCCAGCCCACGCGTCGGAAGCCCCAGCACGACCGCGAATGGCATGACCTACCTCTTCTCCGGCCGCGGCGGCCTCGAGATGACGCCCCTCGAGGAATCCGGCGCCCTCTGGTCCTACGACCCGGCCGCCGCAGAATGGTCCCTGATCAGCCCCTCCGACCCGAACGCGCCCTTCCCCGCGGGTCGGAGCTACCACTGCGTCGCCTCCGACGGCGCGGACAGGATCTTCGTCCACGCGGGCTGCCCTGAGACGGGCCGTTTGTCCGACCTGTGGGCGTTCGACCTGGCGGGCAGAACGTGGACGCAGCTGCCCTCCGCGCCGGGGCCTGCCAGGGGCGGCGCGTCGATCGCGTTCGCCGGCGGGAAGCTCTATCGCGTGCACGGGTTCGACGGCAAGACGGAGCAGGGAGGATCACTGGACGTGTTTGACCTTGAGGCGCAGACCTGGTTGAGCACACAGTACAAGACGGACCAGGTCGACGGCCCAGAGGCGAGGAGCGTCGCCACGTTGTTGTCTGCCACCGTGCAGGGCAAACCGTACCTGGTCACCATGTTCGGTGAGCGGGATCCTTCTCCACTTGGCCACGCTGGCGCTGGAAAGATGTTGAAGAACGTCTGGGTCTACGACATTGAGCAAGGAAAATGGAACATTGTTGAGACTGAAGGCGATGCCCCGGTGGCCCGAGGATGGTTTGATGCGGATGTGACGACTGGCGCGGGTGGTCAAGATGACATTGTCGTCCATGGAGGATTGAGCGATGATAATACCAGGCTCGGAGACGTCTGGCGCTTGAGCTTCATCTAAATTATAAAATATCTCGATTCCAAATAGTTCGAGGGCAAACCTATTAAATATCAAACATATATTGAGTTAATATAACCCGCTTCGTGAGCCGGCAAAGATATCTTAAAAGATGATACTACGAATATGAAGGGATGCCCCCTCCGTATCCCACCCTGAAGTATGGTTCTAAACTTTGGTTCCATCACAACGTATTGCCATTGGCCTTCTCATTGACCTGCTTGTCAACAGCCTTGCCGCCCTTGGGCTTCTTGCCACTTCCTATATTCCACTTCTTGACCCTGAAGGCCCAGTATGTCACGACAGCAATGAAAATGTTGAACACAATGTACGCCCACATGATCCCATAATTTCTCCATCTTTCGCTGTAGTAGATCTCGCTCGCTGCTAGGTACTGGTCCGCCACTCGCAGGGGGCAGTAGCGGCAATTCTCGCTAGCTGAGGGGTTCTGCAGCGTACCGGGCGCCTGTTCGAGGAATGGCTTTAGGTACTCTTGACATGTCGTTCTAGACGGAGGGTTGAAAATGGATGTCTCATCCTCCGAGCATACGATAGCGCGCCCATGGAGCTGGGTGGACACAATGCCAGAAATCCAGTAGCTGAATGGACTGAGGCGCCACATAAAAATCCAAAATCCGGGGAGAGCTGTGGGTGTCTGAAGAACACCGCAGAAAGTAAGACTCATGAGGACGAGAAGCGTCACGAGGGATGAGGCTGTCAGGGCATTGGGTAGCGCTGCAATGGTCATCTGCGCGAACGAGCTGGCGTAGAGAAGCAGCTGGATACAGAACAGCAGGACCAGACCTTGACGGGCGGAGGACTGAATGCCGATGATGGGGTAGTAGAAGCAGGCATAAATGAGCACGGCGGTGATGATTTGGTACGGAATCTCAACAATGACGGCGGAGATGACGAAAGCCTTCCAAGAATACGCTTTGCTTGGCCGCTCGCGAACTTCGTACAATGATCGTTGGGTGAGAAAGTGTGGTTGAATCTTGAGTCACGTTAGCTTCGTTACCCAACAGTGAAATAGTGAAAGGTGAACGAGTGCGCCTTACCTGTTGGACCAGAGTAGAGAATATGGTAATCACCATAAAAACGCCAAAGATGACATTTTGCATTCCTGCCAGAGATGGATCCGCTTTCCAGAATGAGAAGCCGATGAACAGTCCCGCGGCTGTTCCTAGGAAGAACTTGGCAAGTACGTAGGAAGGCATCCGCCAGTACTGCTGGAAGATGCGACGCGTCACGTACCACAGCTGCGAGATGAATGGCATAGCGAACTCAGAATGTTTGCCGGCGTCATCATCTATATCCGTATGTGATCTTCGTTCGGTGTGTATCCTCTCAATTTCTTCCATCACCACCTTGTATTGCGGACTCTTGTTCCACACCTCATGCCAGTCTTCTCCATCTGGAGTTGTGCCGTTGTTGACAATCTCGAGCATGTACTCGGCAGGGTTCTCCTGGTCGCCGCATTTGCGTGCACCACGAGACTCAAAGTACTTCAACAAGGTGCGCGAGTTGGCCCCGATATCCCCAAAGTATACTGTCTTGCCACCGGCCGCAAGGAACAGCAGTCGGTCGAACTGTTGAAAGAGCACCGCGCTTGGCTGGTGCACCGTACACAACACAGCTTGGCCGGCATCGGCAAGTTTCCTCAGGAAGTTGCAAATGGCCCATGAGCTTTGGGAGTCGAGGCCGCTTGTAGGTTCGTCGAGGAAGAGGAGCAGCTTGGGCTTTGCGGCAAGCTCTACTCCGATGGTAAGTAATTTGCGTTGCTCCACGTTGAGTCCCTCGCCAGGGATACCAACGACAGCATCTGCGAAATCACGCATGTCGAGCATGTCGATGACCTGCTCTACATAGGAGAGTTTTTCCTGCTTGGAGACGGTCTTCGGCTGTCGCAGCATCGCACTGAACACGAGACTCTCACGAACTGTTGCCGTAGATAGGTGAAGATCTATGTATCAATGAGTCAGCACATCTTGGTTCAAATTATGAACGCCACACTGAAGGGAATTTGCAAACGAACCTTGCTGTTGGACATAACCGGTTTTGCGTTGGAAGCTGGCATCCAGCGGCTTCCCGTCGACGAACATATCCCCACGGAGAACACCTACCGTTGTGCGTTGCGCAAGGGCATCGAGAAGTGTAGTCTTACCAGCTCCACTGACGCCCATGAGCGCGGTCAAGGTGCCAGGCTTAACCCAACCTGAGACGTGGTTGAGCAGTCGTCGAGTGCCCGCCTTGACGGGAACGTCGTAAACCACATAACGCCAGGTGAAGATGGAAGTCTGCGCGTCAAGAGCGGCGGCGACTTGAGGGTCTGATGCGACCTCTTCAGAGGATCCCCCATTCTTGGTCAGATCTGTGGTAACAGGTGGCGTGCTATCTGCCTTCTTCAGGTGGTCTGGGGCCTGACCACGACGGAAAACAAGAACTTCTGCGGTGCTACTTGCTTCCGATACAAGCTCCGTAGCGATAAAGTATAGAAGCATGAAGAATACCAAGAACCCTATGAGAATACCGAAGTTTCGCCATACATGGGAGTAGTAGTACTCGTAATTGGTGTTGATGAACGAGTCTCCTGAGACTGTATCCTGGCCTGCAACCGCCCCGACAACAGGGCAAATCCAAGAGCTGCCAATCCTAGGCTGGTATGGCGGGACGACAGTGGAGCATGGAAAGCGTTGGCCGTGGAACTCGCTGGCGATGAGAATCTCAAAGGCATAGTAGATGGGGTTAATCCATCGAATCCAACTGAACCAAGGGTGCATTTGGGGCACGCGGATGACGAAGCCCGTGTAAATGACGAGCGCGAGAACCATGACACCAGCGAGGGCCATGGCCTGCGAGACGGTCTTGGTAACTGCAGCGAGGGTTCTGAAAATACCACTCATAACAAAGATCGACGTATACGTGATGAGGAAGTAGAGGAAGAAGTTGCCAGCCTCGCGACGAAGACCTGCCATGAAGTAGAGTATGACGTTGAAGACGGTCGCAGTGACGAACTTGATCGGGATGTCAGCCACGACGCCAGCCATAGCCTCCGCAGCTGGATGGTAGTATGCATATGAGTTGTGCTTCTCAACAATGGGTCGTTGAGCATACTGATTGTTGATCTCCGAGATGGCTGTCAGCGCGTTGAGAAGAACGGCCTGGAAGAGCACAGAGCCTTTAGCGAAAAACCCGTCGGTTGTGTTTGGTGTGTCGAAGAAAACTGAGCCAATAATCAGCGAAAGAACGACCTGCATCGCCACTTGAGTAAGGGTAGCAGATTTATTCCCCCAAATGCGTTGGTAGGCTCTCCGGGTCGTGAGGTAAATTTGCATCGGAAGTGTCTGCAGATAAGGGGACTTCCGCCACGCGTTCTTGGCCTGCCTTTGGCTCTTGCGCTCCCTCAGCTGCGTTGCCCCTTCGCCCTGCGGATCAACAGGGAACTCCTGCAGATCCTTCTCAATGACGTCGTTCAAGGCGCGGTATTCGGGAGAGCTGTGCCAATATCGTTCAAACTCCTCGGGAGTCCGGGGAACCGTGTTTGTCATGCCTGGGCGAGCCTTTCTCTCCACCGGATTGGTCACTGAGGTTAGGAAGTCGCCTGTCGTCTGTCGCTGGGGACATTCCCAGCCCATGCGCTGAAAGTAAGACTTGGCCGCATCTGCGGGGCCAAAGTAGATCTGGCGTCCCTCATAAAGGACGACAGCCTTGTCAAATAAATCGTAGATGGCCTGGCTCGCTTGATAGATGGCCACGGCGTGAGCGCTTCTACCATAGTCGGCGGCGACACGAAGAGACTGAACAAACTTGAGCGCCGTGGCCGAGTCAAGGCCACGAGTACTGTTATCCCACGCTCCGATGGGTGCACCAGCCAACATCATCTCCGAGAGGCTGACGCGTTTTCTTTCGCCTCCGGAGACGCCACGGACATAGTCGTCGCCAACCTTGGTGTTGTAAGTATGGCTGAGGCCACAAATGGCCATGACGATGAGGGTTATGTGTTTGGCGAATTGGCTACGAGACAACCCAAAGAGGCGGTGCGAGGGTGTGCGACAAGCGGCGGCGAACTCAAGAGTCTGGCCGACGGTGAGATGGGGGAAGTGTTTATCGATCTGAGCCCAGTTAGTATGATTGTTAATGTCGGAAGGTGGGGACTTTGATGCTTCACCTCTTGATTGTAGACCGTTTCACCCTTGAACTCCTTCATCATGTTGGCTTGTGGCATCCCGCTGTAATGAATTAATGATTCTTTGCTGAGAGTCAGGCCATGAAGCTGTCCAGTTATTGTTTTCAGAAGTGTGCTGCATCCCGAGCCAGGGCGACCGAGAACGACAAGAAGCTCACCGCTCTTCAAAAGGCCGTCAAATTTATGCAGTATCGTCTTGGGCTTCTTTTTACCAAACGAGAAGAACTCCCCGAGCCTGAACGGCGCCTTCAACAATGATCCCAGAGTCTGCTGATACTGTATTGCATCTCCAGTACCGGTCACCTGAAGATTCCGGAAGGAGACGCCAGTATTTGTCACTGTCAAGCCCTCCTTTCGAAACTCTCCGACAATATGCTTCAGCCATTTCGAGAGATCAAATTTCCCGCTGGAGGGATCCAAAGCTGGGTCGGTCACCTCTGGCGGCAACGGCGTTTCGCTTTCAGCTATGCTTGCAATGCTAGCTCTTCGTGCTTGGGAGCGAGCGGTGGCAAGTCGGCGGAGCTCTTGGCGATCAGACTCGTCAATCATCACGATTGAATCCTGGCGCTGTAGGCGCGGATACGGCGCGGGTTGAGGGGCCATCCTCGTATCGGCCAAGGTGTCGGAATCCAAGCGGGCTGAATGCAAGCGGGACGATTGCCCTTGGATCTCCTCATCTTTGAGAGCAGGATGACCTTTGTTGTCATCTTGCCCAGGCTGGAAATCTGAGAAGTCACCAAACGGTTTTCGTGAAGATCCATTCTGTGCTGCTATTTTTGCATTTCCTCCCACAGCACTTGGGGCAGCCTCATGAAACGATCCATCGTGATAGGTCGGCCTGCTCGTCGATTGATTGAGTGTTTGAGCGTCGGAATAAACGGAGCTGGTCTTCCGGTGATGTGATGATCCACCAAAAAGAGGTGCAGGTATGGGTAGAGGGTCGTTGTCTATGGGGTCTTGGATATGCCTCGTCGCCTGTGCGTTGGAAGCTGCATGGGAAGATATTCCTTGGCCTTGTTGGTCAGATGAATGTGCAACATGGCGTTGTTGGTGAGCTATATGCGATTCATGTTGCGCATGTTGCGATTGACTGGCGTCGAGAACCGCACTCTGAGCTAGGTTGCTGGACCCTTGATGTAGGGAAGGATCCGCGCGTGCTTCAGTATTAACCGGCTGGGAAACTAATGCTGGTGCATTTGAAGCTGCATGGGAGGATTCTCCTTGGCCTTGCTGGTTGGATGCACGCGCAACATGGCCTTGCTGGTGAGATGTGTGCGATTCACGTTGCGCATGCTGTGATTGATTGGCGTCAAGAATCGCACCCCGAGCTTGGTTGTTGGATCCCTGGTGTAGAGAAGGATCCGCGTGAGCTTCAGTCGTCACTGATGGGTACGCGAGTGCCGGTGCATGCACCACTCCAGCTCCATCTTGGTTCGCGCCATGGTCAATTGTTCCCCCTGTCCATCCCGTGGTCCCCGAGTATGTATTCCCGCTCGCCGTGGTCGATCCGAGGCTTGTAGAAGCTTGAGTTCCCTGCCTCAATGTAGAGCCGAGGCTGGAAACGGTGTCGCGGGCCTCTTGCTGCTCGGATGAATGCTGAACCGTCGAGCTCGTGGTTTGTTGGAACTCGTGCAGGTATACGATCTCGTTGTTCTCGCCGTGCGTGTGCGCAACTGCATTGGAATCACACAACGCGCAGAAATCACCGCTGTGGCGTAGGATCTCCTGGGAAGAAAGCCGCTCCATGATCGAAGCTGGAGGGAGCCGAGCGTTCCTGCCTAGGTTTGCGGTCCCGATGGACTGGTCGAGAGGAGGGCGAAGGAAATAAGTAGACTCGGTAGCTCTTCAACGAACGGCCGCTTGGCGAAAGCAGTTGAGAAGGCCCGAGGTGCCTGTCCACCCTCCTCCCATCGAACCGAAGACATAAGCTCGAAGCTTTGATACCCACATAATGCGAAGCTTGTTATGTGAATTGCGGCGTCCAGCTTCCACTAGAGCGAGGCTACACTGAAAGCGAGGTCTCCGGATGCGATACATGGCAGATGATTGGACCAAAACAAAGTTTAAGCTCTAGCTCAGCTGGTAAGGTGTGGAAACCGGTGACGGATTTGCCGGCTGTGAATGAAATTCAATCCATGGCTATTGCTAGCTTGTTGGAAAGCTTAAAGGCGAATCATTATCCGAATGGGCTCGGGCGTCCCGCAGAATCCCCATGCAGCGGCAGAGTCGGAGGAGGGATGGTCCACCATAGTGAGTTTAGCCATCGTGGTCCAAGTTGCGTGGTGTTGATGGGCACATGCCAATGGCATAACGAGGATGGACCAGCTTAGGCGTGCGGAATGGTGATGCTTGTGTCACAGGATATTTGTTGCTTTGAACCACAAAATAGAGGGAAAAGGATGAGTCGTGTGAGACAACATGCCACCTCAACCAACTGGGCACGTGCTTGGCTCCCTGTCTCCTCCGTAGACAACGCCGGATCCGGGCTCTGCCTCCATCCGGCCCGATCCACCATCCTTTCAGTGAATGTGCCATCTCAAAGGCAGGCGGCACTGTTCCGCGAGAGATTTCCCCGATGTTGTACCCACTGATGGACAATGGGGCAAATCCTCTCCCGCGCTGATGGGGCGAACCTGTTCACAAGCTTCCGGCTTCATTGTTGACCAACATGGTTCATGTTGTGTTGGTCAAGAGCATATTGGCAAGCGAGGGGGACAATTGCCATGGTCGACATTGGGCTCGGCTGTTTGTATGGTTTGGTGCACTCCCCGCCGGGCTGCAGCTTCGGAAATTGTTCACTGGGGCATGCATGTAACCATCCGATGGCCCTGTGCTTGTCAATGTCGGCTTTGGCTGGCAGGAAGCCAGAATGCAAAACAACATGACGGAGAATAGATGATGCGTCCTGCAATCAATAATGAACGGGAGATTAATCGCCCGTGAAACAGCATTGGTTTGAGATGACGAAATGGTTTCCTTGACCGCCAGTTACACCTGTAGCTCTCGTTGGCCAGGAAGAGGACAATTGATGCAAGACGATATCACAAATGATATGTCTCAGTGGCTGGGAAGAAAAGTGTGTACCGTACCTCCATGTAGAGGGACAATGGCAGGATACGCAATCAGGCAGACGGATGCGACGATAACCCCTCCTGCGCTCGTATTGGTTTCTGTGGAGATTGGGAGCACTGATTCGACGAGCTGGTGCAGCTGAAGTGGGATGTCTCATTTGATGCTCATGGTGGTTGGACGCCAGGTCTTGGCTGTGTGTTGGGTCGGTCGGTCGGCAATGGACTGACAACCCAAAATGGGCACCACGGGCGCACGCATGATGGGCTGGCCAGACGAGAGGAGGGCGAGTGCCATGACCTGCATCATGTACTGCAACGTCCACTCTGGGGCATGACGAGAGGCGGCGACGAGAGGCGACGAGCGGCGGGGATTGACGCTGCTGTGGGAGCTGCAAGAGGCCCAAGAGCACTGCGGGCGCTGGGAGCTGGAAGCTAAGAGCTGCACCTGTTCGGCCGCTCAGCCTATGAGCAGAGAGACAGCCAGCCACTCCGCCCCTCGAGACGCATCCGGACCAATTGTCTCGACGAGCAGCCAATCGCAGCCGCAGTCACAATCACAATGGTGTTTCATTGCTTTTGCTCTGCTCGTGGATTTGCTTTTTCCGCTCGCCACCACGAGGACCGGTGAGAGGAAGGTGCAGCCCAGAGCAAAAGTGCAGGAGCGACACGGGCGAATCACGCTCGGCAATCGGCTGACTCAGCGGAATCACGATAACGTAACGCCTTTTGCTGGGCCAGTCACAGCGAAATCTCAGTCTCCCCGCAAAACCAGGTCAAAACTCCGCGCGGGCCGCCTCGACCGTTTGGCCACTCGAAGCAAAGCCCAGCGCAGTCTCGACACACCACGCGCGAGCCGTGCTCTGGCTCAGCGGCGGCCCATTGCAGTAGTCAAGTGTCGTGCCGTGCAGGACCGCCAGATGCCGTGGGGTACAGGTACATACCGCCCTCTTGTCTCTTGTCCCGCTGCTGAGGTTGCAGCTGCACCATCACCAGCACCACCCGTGCAACCACCTCTCCCGTCCCCCCAGATCAGATCAGCTTTCTCTCCGGATGTCAAACTCGACCTTTCATCTCCGGTCCTAGAGACCTCAGGGCACAACACCCGCAAGCACCTGGCCTCGTCCCATGTTGCTTGGTCTTTGCCTTCTTCTATCATTTCGTCTTGAGCTTCCTCGGGCAGAGCCCAGCTCACTATTCCAATCAGCATAGAATTGTGCGTTCCGGCACTGCCTGACTGAGAAAGACAGTGCCGAAGCCCCTCACCTGTCCTTCTTCTCCTCGCCTGCCCTCGCTTCATCGCCCTGGTCAGCTAGGCATGGATGAATCACCACAACCCACGCGGCGGAGCGAGAGGGTTGCAAACCGGGGTCCAAAGCCGAGATCCCCCTCGCCGTCAGTGTCCTTGATAACATTATCATCGTCACCACCGCCGCCGCCACCACGACGGCGTCAAAAGGCCATCAAGCGGCCTGCCGTCAAGAAGCCTGATGCGGCGGCTCCCCAGACACCGCGATATGGGGACTGCATCACGCTCAGCCCCTCGCCATGCTTGAGCTCTACACCACAGCCCAGAGTCCCAGAGGAACTTTCTACGCCGGCGTCTACCCAACAGAAAGTCCGGTTCTTGGGACGCAGCAACCTCTACCGGTCTCCGGTCAAGAGAGGGATCGAGGATGATGCAGAAATGCCTCTCGCCAAGAGGGCTCGACCTGACCTGCAGAAACCAACACCGACCCCATTGGCTTTACAGAACCAATCCGTCGTGTCGCCCGACGGGGAGGTGATCTTGTCCCCAATAGAGCCCAGGAAACGATCACGAATGCCAAATCGACGGGGTAACGCAGCGCCGCGTGAAGATGAGTCTCCCACAATGTTGAGGGGTGCGACCGATACCTCACAACCACCACCGCCAGTGTCAGAGGAGCAGAGCCCTGCTTCTCCCACCCCAAACCACGCTCCAGAACAGAAAGAAGTCGTCGATCGGGCCACGAAGGAGTCACAGATCAAGCAATGGCTGAGAGGCATGAAGGCGGCATACACTCAATTGACACCTCCGACTAGTATATCATCCTCCAGCGTTGGTCCAACTAGTCCAGCCCCGCCGACTGCTCAGCCATCCCCTACCCGTCGTGTCCCTGTTCAGACACCCAAGGAGGTGGAAGTAGTTTCGATCAGCTCTGATTCGTCATCTGAACCACCATCTGACCTCATGTCCGACCATTACTCCGTACACTCCTATGTGTCTGCGCCGAAGTCCGCCTCGAAGAAGCAAGGGTCTGAATATGAGTCTGCCCATGAACTTCTTTCCACGCACGAAGGAGCCCACGTCGAGGACGACAACGTCGGGGAGATGACCAACGCCAAGGGCTCCGAGCCCGGTTCCCCTGTCCTCAATAAGGAAGAAGAGGCAACCCCAAGGCGCCACCCGGCGCTTGACATCTTGTCGTCAATCTTCTAATCCAACCCCATCCAACAAAACGTCAATGCTGCGGTCCGTCATCTGAATGTCGACGGACCCGACAGCATACAACCTGTTACACTGTCACAGAACAACATGTCTCTCTTTTTTTAAGGCTACGATGCGACGGCGCATAGGGAAGGAAACGGGATATCAATTTGTTTTCTCCCTTTTTTTTTCCATCTTTGTCGGTTTACTATTTTTGTTGGTTATGATGGACGGTCACGAATGGAATTGTCCTTGGAAAAAAGCTGATGATTAAATTGGGTATCCATGAGCGGGTTACACCAAATGACATGATGAGTGAGCAGGATTCTGGTTTCTTTCATCCCCTTCTTCCCCCCCTTCTTCTTGATGAGACAGACAGCTAGTGTCTGTGTACCTGTTTGCGGTCTTCCCCACCACGTATGTGAGACAGTCAGTTGAATGAAAGCAATGGACAAACCATTTTGAACCACCATGACGCGAGTGATTTCATGCCCGACACTGCCGAGCCAACCTGTCGCACGCGCGTCCGTCATTTCCCCATCGGGTTGGAATTTTTGTGACGAGAAGCAGCCTCTTGTGTCCCGGCTAACGGCAGGGAGATTGCATGAGCGGGATGGATGATCTGTCCCAGCCACACGCTCGCCCTGGTTGGTATGCTCCCGATGTCCCGTCCACCACTCGTGCTGCGTATGTAAGTCGCTCCCTGTGATTCGCCAAGGTTTCACTGGGCACGGTTTGACTTTCGGCCATGCTGATCATGGTTGGCACCCCCGACATAGTCCGGTACGTAATATCGCCGACGCTCATCCTCGTGTTTGGGTGTTGGCACGTCACATCCATAACATATTTAGGTATTGCCTTGCCGCCACAATGTCTCCCGTTCCCCAGCCTGTGGACGTCGAAACGCCCCAGGTACCCATTGCCAGAGCCGTTGCTGCCTCCCAACAGCTGCCAAGATGGTGCACCTCCAGCAGATCCTGCTCCTCACTCTCCCCTTGATCTCCCCCTCTGCTGCCCATCCCGACGATGCCGCGATCCAGCAGTATGAGGCCCTCCTCTCCCTCCGGGCCCTCCCCGAATCCCCCAGCGGCAACTACACCCCCAAGGTAGTCGACTGCCCCAGCACGAAACCGTCCGTCCGCCTGGCCAGCGAGCTCTCCGACCAGGAGAAGTCGTGGATCAGCCTCCGCCGCAACAACACCGTCGACCCGCTCCGCGCCCTCCTCGAGCACGCCAACATCCCCGACTTCAACGCGACCTCCTTCATCGACGGCGCCCGCGACAATGCCACCGCCCTGCCCAACATCGGCATCGCCGTGTCGGGCGGAGGGTACCGCGCCCTCATGAACGGCGCTGGCTTCCTCTCCGCCGCCGACAGCCGCAACAGCCAGGACGGCGCCATCAGCGGCCTGCTCCAGTCCGCCACCTACCTGGCCGGGCTGTCCGGCGGCGGCTGGCTCGTCGGCTCCATCTTCGCTAACAACTTCTCCACCGTCCCGGCCCTGCAGCAGGGCAACAAGGACAACGGGCTGTGGCGGTTCGACCGCAACATCTTCCTCGGGCCGGATAAGAGCGGGAGCGGGACGCTCAACACAGTCGACTACTGGGGTGACATCGTGAACCAGGTGCAGAAGAAGAAGGAGGGCTGGCCCACGTCCATCACCGACTACTGGGGCCGCGCTCTCTCGTACCAGCTCATCGGGGCGCCGGACGGCGGGCCGGCGTATACGTTCTCCTCCATCGCCGACACGCAGGACTTCAAGGACGCGCAGACGCCGTTCCCCGTCCTCGTGGCCGACGGCAGGGCCCCAGGGGAGACGGTCGTCGCGCTCAACGCTACGGTCTACGAGTTCAACCCCTACGAGCTCGGATCCTGGGACCCCACGACGTTCGGGTTCGCCCCCCTGGAGTGGATCGCGTCCAACTTCACCAACGGGACAATCGGCGACCAGGGCAAATGCGTCCGCGGCTACGATCAGTTCGGGTTCGTGATGGGCACGAGCTCCTCGCTCTTCAACCAGTTCCTACTCCAGAACATCACCGCCAAGGGCGAGGACTTCGGCCTCTCCTCCGCCATCATCAACGTCATCGAGAAGATCCTGCAGAACCTCAGCTCGGGCGAGGACGACATCGCCCAGTACAACCCCAATCCCTTCCAGGGCTGGAACCCGACCTCGGGCAACCCCACCGCCAATGACGACGACCTCACCCTCGTCGACGGCGGCGAGGACCTCCAGAACATCCCCCTCCACCCGCTCATTCAGCCCTACCGCGCGGTCGACATTATTTTTGCCGTGGATAGCTCCGCGGACACCACATATTCCTGGCCCAACGGCACCGCCCTCCGCGCCACCTACGACCGCTCTTCTACTTCAATCTCCAACGGCACCCTCTTCCCCGCCATCCCCTCTGCCGAGACGTTTATAAACAGCGGCCTCAACCGCCGCCCGACCCTCTTCGGCTGCGACCCCTCCAACTTCACCCTCTCCCCCGGCCAGGCTGTGCCCCCCCTCGTCTTCTACATCCCCAACGCGCCCTACTCGACCCTCAGCAACGTGTCCACCTTTGACCCGCAGTACACCATCCCCGAGCGCGACGCCATCATCCGCAACGGCCTCAACGCCGCCACGCAGGGCAACGCCACCGTCGATAAAGACTGGTCGCGGTGCGTCGCGTGCGCTGTCCTCAGCCGGAGCTGGTGGAAGGCTGGTGAGTCCGCGCCGTCGGCGTGCCAGGCGTGCTTTGATAGGTACTGCTGGGATGGCAAGGAGAACAACACGGCCATACAGGGCGAGTACGAGCCGGCTTTTATTGTCGCGCAGGACTTTAATGCGAGCCAGACGGGGGGTGATGATGATAGTGCGGCTGGACGACGAGGGGTGGTTGGGTGGGAGGTTGTGGCGTGGGCGGTTGGTGTTGCTTCGGTGTTAGCTGCCTTGTAAAGTATCTTACCTGTGGATTTAGTAGGATATTTGAAAACTAGGATATGAATGTACGACTGTTCGTGTAAACTAGTTAAGTTCCATCGTCGGTGAGGTGAAGTGTTGAGGCGGTGTTCAGTCGCAGTAATGGCAGTGCATGACAGCCACTGCGCCAGGATGCAATCACAGAGTGTTTGGTTGGTTGAGATGCACCGATAATAAGCAGACTGCAGCATGTGGCTTCGAAGCTGGTCTTGCGATTGGCTCTTGGGGAGTCAGCATGCAGGATGGAAAGTGCATGGCGATTCACAAGGCTCTGCCCGTCCAGAATGATTCCCCGCAGCTGATTGATGCAACTTCACGTCTTGACTGACCGTCGGACGGTGCTTCTCCCCATCACTGCTTCCCATCACCATCAAATTGTCTCTCGGTATCATCGCCGTGTCACGCTGACGATGGAGGTCGTCGGGTTGATTGCTAGCAGCGTCACGCTGTTAGAGGTGTCTCTCAAAACAGTCGGCTTTTTCCAGGAAATGGCCACGGTCCAGGACGATTTCCACTGCCTACAAGAAGTGGTATGATGCCCGCTATTGATCTCACTGCATCTCCATCTCTGGCTTGCGAACCTCGGCACTAACAGCGTACGTACTCAGGCAGCCGACATCGACTCCATCGTCCAAGCTTTCCGTTCCATACCATGCCTATTCGCCGAAGGCTCTGGTTTACCCCAGGTCGCCGAACCAATATTGATTGCCCGGGCAAGATCACAGTTGGAACATCTCAAGAATGAGATGGGCGAAATCATAAGGAATTGCGCGCGGAGTTCGGACAGCGACGGCAGTTCGAAAGCGAAGAAGCGGAGGTGGATGCTAATACGAAATCGGATCCCCAAGCTGCTCGAGAGGGCCCGCGATGCACGGTCGAACTTCCAACTTGGAATGAATTTTCAGTTGGTGACCATAGACGCACTTCGTGTCGTCAGAGAACAGAGGTTGGTTCATAAACTTGCATCGTCCTCTTCTGCGATGGTGGCATGTTAGACTGACAGTGTCAATAGAGCAAATATGGAGGTCAAGGCGTTGGTCCAACAGCTCCGATCGATACAACTCGCTCATTCAGACGAACAAGGAGAGGTAGAGGAGCTGCAAGTGGAAAAAGAAGAAGAGGATAAGGATGAAGATTCAGGGAGAGAAATCGCACAGCATTCCAGTTCCGCAGCTCCAAGCATCCGCGGCATGGATGAAATGGGCGTTGAACAGTCGTATCCCATTTGCCGAACTGAAACATCAGTCACAGTTCGTACACAAAGTTCAGTCTCCCAATTCCATTCTCAGAGACCCTCTAGAATTGGGCCAATGGAGAGTCAACATTGCCGCTGTCAAACCAAACGGCACTGGAACCGCTACCAGGCACCGGTCTGGCTCCGGCCGATAATTGGGACGTGGGTGGTGCACCATAGCCCAGGACAGGATTCAACAAGGCCTCGGTCTTCAAATTGCAGATGTCATTCTACCGAGTCCCTTTGCCTGAACGTCGAGGGTCATCTCCCCGCCTGGACAGCGGCCCGAACGTTGTTGCTCAAAGTGGCTTTCAATTGCTCGGGTTTGACCTTGGTGTTGCGGCCCGCAAGAGTCATCCACTCCGGTGATGTTGTCAACTGGGCGATCAGGGGAGCAAGATCGGAATCATTTTGGATGGCCCGTGATTGGATATACTACCCTGAGGACCATGTATCAAGTGGACGAGGATTAATGGAAGTAAGTACTATAATGCAACGAGGCATGAAGCCTGGAATGGCACCATGTTGACGATGTAGCTTGCCATTATGAGTCGCCAATTGGCTGTTGTCGAGTTTTTGCTTTTAAAGTGGCAAAATATTTTGCAGCATCGAAAATTTCGACGGTAACATTGAGTCCCCTTTGTAGCAGCAGAGTCAATCAGAGCGCTAACGACAAGCAGAGAGGTAGCATTTTTTGTGTATGAGGAATTGGTCTACATGCATCCTGAGGAGCAAGATGCAGAAGTTTTGAGCCGAGTTCTCTCATTCGTTGAGGATGCGCCCGCTAGAGGGGAGTCGACATTAGTCCATGCGGCGGCCAGGAGAGGACACGGCATCAAGGAGGCGCTCGACAAGGAACCGTGGGCGTTGAACGAGCCCGATTGCACTGGAAAGTCTCCCATTCATGCGGCTAGCAAATATGGAAACAAAAACGCGCTGGAAGAATTGATCGAGGCGAATGCTAGTGTGAACATGAAAGACTTCGTGGGACTCACAGCACTGATGCTCGCATCGCTCAACGAGCACGTCGATTGCGTGCGACTGCTGCTTAGGCACAGTGACATCAATATCGACCAGCGAGACAATGAAGGACGTACAGCTCTTTGTTACGCCGCAAGAACCTGCGACCCAGAAGTAGTTGCAGCGCTGTTGGCGGAAGGAGCCTCTGTCTCGGCTCGATACATCACAGGCGACTCGCCGCTGCACTGGCTTGGAAAAAATTGTACGAACCATGAGAGGATCAAACAAACTCTCCAGTTGCTTCTCGCATCGGGCAAGATAAATATTGACGCAGTTAATTATACTGGGATGACACCATTAATGCAAGCAATCATCAACAACAGAGTAGCACCGTTACAGTGTCTTGTGGAGGCTGGAGCTTCGATGCAACTGCTCGATAAATGGGGTCGCAGTATATTGCACAAGGCCGCAATCAGTGATCTGGACGTCCTGCAATATCTTTTGAGCCTTGATCCCACAATGTTTCGAGGTATCAGTCCATCTCAGCCAGACGCATGGGGCCGTGCGCCTTGGGACAAGTTCGAGGACACTTTGTTCCCAGACGACATAGGTTATAGGGAGGAATCCTCCCACGAAGCTAGCGAGGCAGCCTTCAACCAGCTCCTGCAAATTGCCCAAGATGAAAACATGCGATGGGAGATAAACGTTCTAGAATCCACACTAGCACACGTGCGTCAAAGTCGAGTGGATGAAGCACGGTCTCAGCTCGATTCAGGGATTGTCCAACGCAGAAAGTGGAAGGACGATGAGGGAGTTCGCTATTATCGAGGCATAAGCCAGCACATCCAAGCTGGCGTTTTTGAGGGGGTCATCACAACGCTCGAGGAAGATATTGAATATTTACGTGGACAAATTGGCTCGTCGCCGTGGCTGGGAGATTCCGATTCCAGCTTGTCCGACTCAAGCGACATTGCCAGCAGCGAAGAGGAGGACGATCAAACAGATGGCAGCGAAGACGATGGCAGTGAAGACGGTGACGACGCTTACGAAACGGCCGAATCAGGAGACGAGGCTGAAAACGAAGACACCATAACGGCGCTATGAAGCTGGGAATTAAACGTGAAGTGCGCAGAGATATGCAGCATCTATCCCCGGCAGCATCGTGGACGTCTCCCGACAGTGTGCATGGTGAGTGTCACCGCCATACTCATAACAGTCTATTTGGTCCATTTGGTGTTCAGTGGATGATTGGCACAGATGGTCGGATAACACGGCACTAGCGGTGTCGAATAAACAGCTCGCCCCATTGTTTGCTTGCTCGTCGGTTCCGGGTGTTCAGGGTATTCGAGTATCACAAGTTCAGAAGCAAGGTGGGACTCTCGCAAAACTGAGTTTTTAATATATTTTTCACCGATATTTGTGCCCTTTTCACTCCTTGACCGTTCCATGCATTCATGCCACGACGAGGGGGCAAAGCAGACCGTTCAAGCCATTTGTACTCTCTAGCTCAATATTGAAGAAATTGGCCGCCGCTATTGCTCGTGATCGACAGCCGTAGATGGTCCCTGAGCCGCCCTGAGAGACCCCTAGGAGATGGCCCTCCAGCGACCTCGAGTGAGCTTAGGGCGCTGTAGCTGGAGCCAATCGCCTGAGCCAGAGCGCTTAGGTATTGTTGAAGGCGGTCACAGTAGCTGTCTGCGAACGGCTTAGCGGCAGTCAATCAGCTTGAAGCCCCGGTCTGGGCCCCACCACCCCTATTTTCCTCAGTGAAGGCCCTGCTAGACCCCTGCTGAGACCCTGCTGAACCTGCTGAACCTGCTGGATGATCCGCAATCTACCGAGTGCCCGGAGCGAAGGACCCTGAACTCAGCACTCAAAGATTCTGTGTTGCTCCCTTTCTCAATCTCCCTTGAAGGCTGCTTCCCACCTGCCCAACTCGCCTTATTCTCACCTTCAGCCGGCTGAGAGTGTCACCAAGCGGATGAGCCAGCAGCCAGACACCTCATCGACCATCTCGCCGTGATGGAACACATTGTCTATGACCCGGCCTTGACCAAGGCTGATCGCCTCGTTCTGCAAAACCTCGCTGCCGACATCAAGGCCGCAAGCCAAGACTCGCCCTCCAATCACTCTCCGAAAGCTGGTACGTAGCCTCCCGCGGACAAGCTGCTGTGTCAGCCACCCACCATCTTGTGCCATATCCATCTCCGTTGTCGCAGGACGTAGCAGCTGTCGCTTCCAGTTCATCCGTGCTAACCTCATTCCAGCCGAGGCCAGCCTTGATGATGAGGCCGTCATCGAGGCCCTCAATGGCTTCAACAACCCCAAGGACGCTCGCTTTGAGCCCACCGTCATCACCTCCGTAGACGTGGACAAGATCTCCATTTCCCCGCTCTTCGACACTTGGATCGTCCCGTTCTACATCCGCATCGCACGCTCCCTCGTGCGTGTAGAGACCGACGTGCTCGTCGTCTCCCATCTCTTCCTCTACTTCACCACCTCCATCCCCAGCGTCCTCTACCTCTTCCACTCCTTCACATGGCTTCACGGTGTCCTGCACTTAGTCCTGCAGTTCAGCTATGTCGGCACCTACACCCTCATGATGCACCAGCACATCCACATGAGAGGCGTCCTGGCCAAGCACATGGCCTGGCTCGACCACGCCTTCCCCTACGTGCTCGATCCTCTCATGGGCCACACCTGGAACAGCTACTTCTACCACCATGTCAAGCACCACCACATCGAGGGCAACGGACCCAACGACCTGTCCTCCACGCTGCGCTATGAGCGTGACAACATTTTGCACTTCCTCCACTATGTTGGTCGCTTCTTCTTCCTCATCTGGTTTGACCTGCCCACCTATTTCATCCGCAATGGAAAGTTCATGCTGGCATGTAAAGCCGCCTTCTGGGAGCTCTCAAACTACACAGCCATTTACTTGCTGTTCCGCTACAATCCCAGAGCCACATTCTTCGCACTCTTGCTGCCACTGCTCCTGCTCCGCATTGGCCTCATGGTTGGAAATTGGGGCCAGCACGCCTTTGTCGACAGGGATGACCCCGACTCAGACTACAGATCCAGCATCACCCTCATTGACGTTCCCGTGAGCATCACCTCAGTCCCTCTCAGAAATATTGTTTGCTAACATACCCCTCTCCAGAGTAACCGCCATTGCTTCAACGATGGCTATCACACCTCGCACCATCTCAACCCACTGCGCCATTGGCGCCAGCACCCTGTCGCTTTCCTCAAAGGGAAGCAGCAGTATGCATCCCAGCACGCCCTCGTCTTCCACAACATTGATTATCTCATGATGACTGTACGGCTCATGCTCCGAGACTACGAGACCTTGGCTAAATGTATGGTACCACTTGGGGACCATATCTCCCTGACACTGGAGGAGCGAGCTGCCCTCCTCAAGAGAAACACAAGGCCATTCACAGAGGAGGAAATCCGCGCCAAGTATCCCAAGTTGGCCAAGAATTGAACTGACGTGAAGTGGGAGAGGCATGAAAATTAAATAGCAAAAGCACATACGATAGACATAGAGTATATTTTTGGGCTTAGCATACTGATCAGAAGCATTATTTCCTCGAGAGTCGGTAATAGCATTACTTGGACAGCAGGTTCTGTACAGGACAGAAAATGAGTTGCATGGAGAGAAGGCCACGGGGTTGTTAGGCATGATAGAGCTTGTGACGGCGAAGTGGCGGCCTCGTTATTAAGAGACCCTTAATAGACATGATTGTTGAAAACAATGTATTCGCTGGATCACTACGAGGGCTTAATTGTGAGAAGATCAGGATATTGACGGGCTTTTCACAATTAAACTCAGGCTTCGTCATGGACTGTATGATCTCACCACAGCGTACGTACCTTCAAATACTCTCGTCAACCTCATATAATTTTATACGTCGTAATACATAACCTTAGCCTCTTGAATTCAGTATCTTCCATCTCTAAAATATAAAGCTTAAAGTCTAAGAGGAATTTTCCCATTTACGAAACGATTCTAGCTTGACTCTTATATCACGATTTGGAGTGAGGCCTATGCTAACATAAAAAGAAATTTCTGTCGCGCAATGCGCAACCCATATACGCAACAATAAAATAATAGCACTCGGAAGATATACTACCATATCTCGCCCATTATGTTATTACAAAAACAGGTAAGAAGAACACGTTGGGCATCTGCGCATTCAGGATCTCATGGCTATAGGGTATGCTAGTCATGAGCCCCGGGACGAGACCTCAAATGTTTGGCTGAGTTTCAAAATATGGAGTCAACCTCGAATAAGTCTTTGTACAGATTTGAAATGACGAGAGTGGGTGTTCATTGATGATGGAATGAGACTACAAGATACGAATCTATTCCATGGGTGGCAACAGGGGGCACTACTTGAGGCGCTTAAATTAGACAGACTTTGTTTCCCTAACTTTAAGAAATTGCACCGGGATTGATTCAAAGCAGTCAATACACGGAAAATGATAGATAGTTAGGTCAAACAGTTTACAGACCTCTATGGGTCTGGGGTGATGTGGATTTTGCACCTTTATGCATCCAGGACACTGCTGTCTGAAAATCAGCTTGTATGTGTAAATATTTCCGCATCGAACTATCCTAGCTTCCATTCGATTGCTAGGCTTTAGATTAGTAGATCGCTGGCATAGTACGGTGCTGGATAATAGTACACGTACAGTACATGGTACTGTACCCCTTGGAATATACAACGACGCGCAAGCGGATTGCCAAAAATGCAGCAAGGGGAGGTGAATCAGCCCACAATGAAGTTTTTCGCTTAAAATCCCGAACAAGGTAGAGGAGTATTAGATGGAAAGGAGATCAATTTAGTCATACCGCCACACGGTCTCGTGAGAAACCAGTGAAGGTATGCACTGGGCAGGGAATAGCCTGGGTATGATTTGGATAAGGAAATATCATCATCCATTCTGGTGCTCTCCTTTCAAGGAGATTTTTTATATTGATCCTTAAATACCACAGACACGGTTACATCAGCGGGCAAATCCTGTACGATTTGAAGGCACAAAAAAGCTTCGGAAGCCAATAAAAGAGCCTGCTGTTGTATAACGCATCTAATAAGACGACTTGTTTCATCTTTATCAGCGCGTAGTGAGGGGTGAAGCTCATTTAATGTAGGATAAACTGCTCGACTTCGCTAAGCACATGAATGAACGAACAAAGCTCGCCCTGAACACGGCTCAACAGGGCCTAAGATGTCTACCTCGATATAGAATATTTGTTACAGAGTAGGCCAACCAGGCAAAAGGAAATCCTTACCTAGCTTCCACGGTGTTCCCATTATATAGCACTGTCATAATATTTCACGTTACTTGATAGGCGTGGAACCACTTTCTCGCATCGCTACCAACGGGCGGCCTGTTGGGGATAGATGAGGTGGCTGACATGGCGTTGTTTCTATTCTAGAGCTGTTAATAGACGGTAGCATATATTTCGATTACTCACTGCATCCACAGCCTCAACGGATGCGCTATAACTATGAATTTAGAAAATGAACTCCCCATTCACCAGAACCAGCTCCTAGCAAACGGGCATCAACTTAGGTAGCTGTAGGGTTTGGAGAGTGTTGCTGAATTTGAGCGTGCTGTCTAGTTACATCAACAATTGTTGCTGATGATCGATGTGTGTGTCCTGTCGTCGTAGTCATTGTGTTGAGATTTCAGGTAAGGCATCTTTCACTGCTGGTACCTTTACTTTGAATTCGGAGTCTCACCCGGCGTCCTTTCGCCTGTCTCTTGAGATGCTATACATGTAAACTCGATAAAATGAGGCTTCCCATGAGTGGGTAATCTGCCAAAGGTACGACACGCAGGAACACGTGCTCAGATCTTGGGAAATGTCCGACCCCGTCCAATCAATAACGCCTACATATCTTCAACTTTCCCCTGATCCCGGTGCAGTCACTTTTCGAAGAAATTAACGGTGGACTACAAATACAAATGACCGGGAATTATCTGTTGAGCGGGTGAAGCCAGCTGTAGATACTTACGGAATTGGCTCACCGGTTGTATGTATGCACCGCCCGTTTGAGTCGATTTGATCGCAGCGAAACCCACAATAGAAAATGTGATCTTTTTAGTCTTAGCCTAGCAACTATTTAATTTACCATTTTTAGTCTACACGCCAATTGGAGGTCGTGATGAGAAGCCGCGATGGAGTAAATACTGAGAATCTGAGGAGGATTAGTTGCTGGACTAGCATCGACCCAGCGGATCGCCAATAAAGGCAACATCTACTAAAGCGCGAATGCTAGCGGTATGAGGATATGGTGACATTACAGGTCTTACCTAAGACTCCAGGTCCCGCCTTATGATAGAGAGCTGGGTTGAGTCCAGTTTGGGAGAGGTGGGAATGCTTGCAACATACATGGCTGTAATAAAACCAATCGCTCTAAAAATATCTACCATGTTGAATCGTTATTGGGAATAGATGGTAATATTACGAGAGTAGAGTCGTTCTGCAAGGACATAGAGTGGTGCTGAAGGGGATGCTGCCGCAACTAAGTATCTAGAGCTAGTCTGCATCTCTTATAGATAAAATGCAGCGTAATATATGATCAATCGGCTTGTGACCAGCGTTTGGATGTACTGCTACACATTTGACACAACTCTAAGCAAACATGGCATAACCGCCAAAGACTCCGAGACAAAGAAAAGCCCAACATGGTCCTGTTTCCATTTGGCGAGGCTTTAATGACCTGGCAATTTGACTCACCAAGTGAACGGTACTAAGAGCTGTAAAGGCAATGAGATGATGTAGTGTCGTTGATAAACGTAGCCTTCCAGATCCATTATTTGAGGTTAATGAGGGCAACGGAATTTTAGGGGAAACTGTTGGCTATATTACCCAGAAGATGAGATACCAGGGACTTTCTGGAGATGGATTATAGATAATGAACCGAATAATGGGTGCGGATGATTCCTACACTCTGTAGCTTACGAATAATATCATCATGAAGAAGATGATGAAGCAATGAAATTAGTGTGGCTTGAGCTAGTTCCTAGACTGAGAAAAAGCCACGGAGAGAATGCAACAAACCCCTCAACTAGGAATTAGGTAGTTGGTGCAAGACCGACCCCTCCTTTGTTGTGGTATGGTTGCGGAACCGGAACCAGCGAAAGCCGCCAGTTCCGCTCTCCAAGCCATTTTCTGCACAAATTGCGCTGACAACCCCACGCGAAAGTAGTACGAGGGCACATGAGTGCTCAAGATCAGCCGGAGCTAGACAATGGACAGATGTTGTGCTGGACGGAATGTCAAATATCATGCTATCACAAGCCGCGAGGTAGGTTTTGTAACCCTCATTGTCCGGGTTCCGGAAAACAGTCTGGTTGAAATCAGAGAGTGGCCCGGTACTTTTGGGAGTACCGGGAAAGTGCCATCCACCCCTCGGGTTGATATTGGCTCTGTTGGCGTGGAATTCAGGTTCAATGCTACCAACCGGTTGCAATGGAAAGTAACGGATCGGAAAGGGCTCGGCCTAACATCCTAAGTTGGCTTGATAATCAATGCGCGCGGCTATGAGTAAGCGGTGATGCTCGGTCTAGATCCCTGTTTTGGTTTCTCAACTGCAGAATAAAGAAGTTTAGTGCTGAGGCAGGGGCTCGATGTGGAGTGGTCGTGGCGCATTACCGCGCGCGAACCATGTGCCAAAAGGGCACCAGCCTGATTATCTCCTGGTCACTGACAAATCGGAGAGCTCAGCAAGTAGTCTGACTGGAGCGGTATCTGTAGGCTTCCGGGCATCCAATGAACCTTTCTTCCTGTGTGGGATAAAGTGAAGTGATAGGACGGTGGGCGCCTTTGCCATTGTATTTATACCTGGCGCCGTCCTTTCTTCTCACATTCAAGAATACAACCTCATTCCGAACCCAATACAAAACTGATAGGAGCACTATTCCCTCATCTACTAAACCTACATTCTGTACATTATCCACCAAAGCATTCAGTACATTATCCACCAAAGCATTCAAAATGGCCACCTTCAAGAGTTCAACTGAAACATTTCTCGAGGTCGTCAAGGGCCGCCGCACCATCTATCAGCTGAACAAGGACCTCGGGTCTGTTTCAACCTCCCAGATCCAGGAGCTCGTCAAGCAGTCCACCCTTCACACACCATCTTCCTTCAACTCACAGTCCAACCGCCTGCTCGTGCTCTTCGGCGCCGAGCACGACAAGCTCTGGGACATCGTTAGAGATACTCTCAAGGCTATTGTGCCCGCAGAGAACTGGCAGTCCACTGCCGACCGAGTCGCTGGCTTCAAGGCCGGTGCGGGTACCATTCTGTTCTTCGATGATAGAACCGCCGTCAAAAAGATGCAGGACGGCTTTCCCCTGTATGCCGATAAGTTCCCAGGCTTTGCCTCCCAAAGTCTGGCCATGCAGCAATACATTCTCTGGGCCACACTTGAGAACGAGGGTCTGGGCGCCAACCTCCAACATTATAACCCTCTCATTGACCAGAAGGTTGCCGCTGAGTGGGGTGTCCCTGAAACTTGGGAGTTGAATGCACAGCTCGTCTTCGGTGGCCGTGGTGGAGAGGCTGGACCCAAGGAGTTCCAGGCCATTGAGGAGCGTGTTAAGGTCTTTGGAGCTTGAAGTAATGAGTGAGACTGGATATATATATAAAGTAGATATATAGATCTTGCGGGGTATTTGCATGCCATGGAAAATTTAAGAACCTTTATCCCAAAATTCAGTATGTAGGACCCAATCGAAGACTTTGTCAGATGATGATAGACCAGAAGCTCTTCATAAGTAAATAGGAACACCATGATGTATAGAAATAGTAGAGGCCATACTGAGATGTTAGCCTGGCGCAACAAACTTAACAGAAAATGTCTCAGAAAAAGAAACTCGAGATGGGAATGAGGGGTGAACATAAGATCCATTGCTATCAATCAGTAAGAGATTGCATTCTAGAATGCCCCTGTAGCAGATTGGGCTATGTGAGACGAGGATTGAAGGAAACCGAAGAAGCTTTTCCATCAAGCTTCGAATATCAACAGATTTCTAGATACTGAGTCAGTAGTTATACCATAGCACCCGTTAAGATTGTCCAGCTCAGTTTGTGTTCCTTCTGATCCTTAAGAGCTGCTGCCGCAACCTTCATAGCGCAACGCAACCGTCTTGGCGCCCTCGTGCTGGCACTGCCAAATGGAGAGGCACCACCTTAAGATCAAGACTGCATCCATCCATCCCGGCGTCGTAGTGAGTGACTTTGGCACCTCGAGGGATAAGCGAAATACTGGAAAATATTCAGGGTTCGTGCACAAAGGAAGGCTTACACTATTGATCCTTGACTAAGTGATCAGGTTTGGCTAAGTCCACGTTGCCGTAGCTCTATCTTAGGATGAAGGTAAACGGATACGCACGTAACGCTCACCCTCCTGTGTCTCGTATTTAACCTGGCAATCGTTTCTTAGGAAAGGAATCGATAAGACCATAACATAACTTAAAACACATCGTAGCCTCACCTACCTTATTCAGAACCGTAAACCCTATCCCATATTCTCGTCACTTTTGTTGCCAGGGGTGTAGCTGTGGGGCCAACCCCAGTAGAACACGAAAACCCAACTGGCCTAAAGCCTCTATTTATGAAAAATATCTGCTGGGGGTAAGATCTGGGGCTGGTCTTCTAGGGCTCAAGGGACTTTCACTCACCGTCTCACACAGCCAAGTCGATCGCTCAACTTACCGATTTTAGCTAGTGCTGCGACTCGGGATTGCTCATGGTTGGTCCCACTTCCTCTCTGTCAGATGCCATCGTCTAGGACTGGCCTCATTGGATTGGGGATTGAAAGTGTCCCGCGATGTGTTAGGATCACTTGCAGTCGCGCTTCTAGCTTTCTTGGGAATCATGTGGCGAAATGATTCAATACTCGTGGGTTGCCAGGAAGTGAATAAAGTGAGCTGGAGCGAGTATTTAAGTCGAACGCAGCATCCAACTTATCATGTATGCCACTTCATACCCTCACCAAGACCAAATACCTGATCTCAACACGCATTATCGCCCTTTTTCTTATTGCATTCTCAACCAATATGTCACTTATCTCATCACTGACTTCGTCGCCTATGGCGAGTCCTTCTGCATCTTGGCCGTTGCTAAAGACTGACCTTGCCACCACAACTGTGCCGCAGTGCGGGAAAAACCAAAAGATTGCCATTGACAATGTGAAGGTGTTCGATGGCTGGAAACTGCTGCCCCCATCCACAGTCATCATTGACGGCACGGTTATAGGAGACGACGAATCCCATGTTACGGTGCGAATTGATGGAGAAGGCGGCGTTCTTCTTCCTGGCTTTATCGAGTCTCATGCCCATCCACGAAATAATGACGATCTGGAGGCCCTCACAAGTAACGGGGTCACGACCGCATTTCAAATGGCTTGTTTTGCAAAGGGTCAATGCACAGCTCTCGACGGCCAGAAAGGTCTCGTTGATCTCCTGGCGGGGACTACCCCTGCATCTGCCCCTGGAAGTACGCATGGTGATCTCATCCAGAACAACACGTCGGACCCAAGTTTGCTTGTTCAAGGAGAAACCGACGTTTCGCGCTGGGTTGAAGAACAGCTCTCGTGGGAGCCCGACTTCTTCAAGCTGGTTGTGGAGACTCCTGGTCTTTCACAAAACACCTTGGATGCTTTGGTTGGTCAAGCACATAATCACAGCAGGCAGGTTGTATGCCATGCAGCAGACGCCGAGTCCCACGTCCAATCTATGAAGTCAGGCACAGACCAAATTCATCACACTCCGCTCGACAAGCCAATCACACACGATCTGGCTCAACAAGTCTTTGAACGCGGCCAGGTCCTTGTCCCCACATTATCCATAATGAAAGCATTCGCCGATCTTGGGGACGCCGGGCAATTCAGTTACGAGGCTGCTCGTGAATCACTGAGGTTGTATCATGAAGCCCACGTTCCGATTATAGTTGGGACAGATGCAAACCATGAAATTTCCGCCGCCGTATCCTTCGGAGTATCCTTCCACGAAGAACTTGTGCTTATGGCGGAGGCTGGAATGTCGAATGTTGAGCTTCTCAGATCTGCTACGGTTGTGCCAGCCAGGCATTGGGGATTAAACGATCGAGGAAGCATCAAGCCTGGAAAGAGAGCTGATTTGATCTTGGTCGAGGGAGATCCTACTAACAACATCGAGGACACGCGCAACATTAAGAGGGTGTGGGTTGCTGGAACGGAATACACCAAGTCTCAGTAGGCGGCAGCGAGGAACAAACGGTATGTGCTTGAGGCACCATTTTCTGTCACCAGAGATTGGGTATATTCTCAAAACTGTTTACGATGGGCCTTGCGTTATGTCGGGGTGGAAGAATAGGTAGATCTCTTTGTTGGTTCGCAGGAGAATACCTCGATCTTGTTCTTTAGTTGGACGTCTTTGTCTCGCGCTAGCACAGCCTCCTAGTACATGCAAAATCAAAAATAGACCATTTGTCCCTTATCAGAATACGCGTTGAAACTAAGTTCATAAATAGTTAGGGGAGTTGACTTACTCACAGGTTTGGTGAGGGAGGTGTTGTTTGACTGAAGCCTGTCACGCGATAGGCAAAACCTCGCCCCAGTCACCCCCAAAGCACCCCGTAACCATGACTGATTCAGTCATAAATTTTCCGATGCTGCACATATTATGGAAGAATGAGTTAGAGAGGCTATCCTAACTCTATTTGGAGCTCAAATAAACACATTCCAAGACAAATAACTAGTGTGAAGGTAAATGATCTCGAATCCCCGTCAAGCGTTTTGTCCCCTCCAACTTTGAAAACAACAACTCAGCTTAGCCAAATACCACAAGAGAACGAAATCAAGCCAACTTTTCACGACAGAAGGACAGTCCGCTTCGACTTATTTGAAGATGCTCAGCAGGAAGAGGGCCGCGGAGATCCGTATCATGGAACTGCAAGAATCATTACAGGAGATCAACACGAGAATGATCAACCACACCAAAGCGAAATCAGCGGAAAGAAGACGATTCGAAGAAACATGGAACAGACAAAGCTTTAGGTGGAGAGCTTCCTTCGCAGGACAAGAGTTCTATACAAATTGGATGAACGCGAATAACGAAATTGCGACACAGCTGCGCCAACTTGAAGCAGAAATCGACGAGAAGAAGTACGAGGTTGAGGAAGCTCTCCGTGAGCTACGGAAATGCGGCGGCTGGAGCTCACGCTACGTATGAAGATTGTCTGAGTCAAAAGTATCTTGGCGGAGGAAAAATCTACAAAGACAGAACCGGGTTTCTCTACGATCCCCCTGGTGGAATTCGACGAGAGCACGTATAGCATAATGCACTACAAGATTTAGTGTAATATGGTTTCACTTGCTAATTACGCATCCAAAATCTATTATATTCGACTTGGTGTTGACCCCTAGACCTCGGCTTTGTCCTCCAACATTTGGCGCTCACTCAAATTGTCGGCCTCGTATCGCCCACGAATCGGTTTCAAATGATGGCTATCAACGTGAGATTCGTCGAGAGTTCCAGATGACTGCTTAGGATAGCTCAAAGTGTCTCTGGCCGTCTTGGCCATCCTTATAAACAGAGGTCGGAGAGTGGGAAGGCAAGCGGCAATCAGGTAACACGCCGCCTCAACCACCGACCAGATGACGAGCACCGCTGAATCATACGTGCCATCTTGCAGACCTGTGATGCGGAAAGCTACTATTAGACGAACGATGGACGCTACCATGCCCCTGGGAATATGCCGTGTTAGAACTCATGTTGAAGTCGTAGGGGAATCAAGGCAAGAGGGAGCAAGGAGGAGCATACAAGCTGCCAAGAAGAAATACAAACATCAACGCCACTTTCTGTCTTCTTTCAATGTGCAGTCGCCAAATCACAGGCATGGGTAGAGCCAGCATGACCACATCAGATACGATGTTTGGTACACTCATTCCTTTCCAATAAGCCAAGATGTTCCTACAATTCCCGGGAAATACGTGTGTATCCCAACGTCCCGCGAAAGTGCTGCAGATGGTGAGAGATGTGACGATACCTGCAATAGCTGTAGCGGTTACAAAAGCTGCTACACCGTAAGTGGCGAGACGGAATGGCTTCGTGGTGAAAATCCGCAAATATGAAGCAAGGATAGAAAGCTTTGGAAACGCGATAGCAGCACAGTAAGTGGTTTCCATGGAATAGGCCAACTTTGCCCAGTTCTGGATCGCCAAGGGATCAGTAGCTTTGATAATAGCCAGATGACGACCGACGCCACCAATCATGACTTCGAGGATGGCAATAACGCAAATTCCAACGCTAAAGGCTAAGGCCGGAAGTATAAGGTAATCATCTATACCGAGTTGCCCTCGATGTGTCAGGCGCGTAGCTAGGCGTAGGGCGACTATGGTGATCTGGAGGCCAATGAAGATGCCGCTTGCGATGAGCACTGGAGGGCCATTGGTCTCCTCAGCAAAACCTGCGGGAAAGTCGGAGGGCATGGCGTGCGTGGTGCCTAAGAAAAGAAGATATGTGCAGGACAAGAGAAAGCGTCAACTCAGAGCCAAACATTACAGAAATGAGAAATGAAGATCGGGTTTACTGCTCCGTATACCTGAGAATAAGTCACTATATGCCATGATCTGGTCAGAATATCGTACCGCCCCGTTTAATGTACGACAACCTCCATGCCCTAGCGTAGGATCATCCTGCATGTCAGATTGGTGTTGAATCCTAAAGAGTGTGATCAGCAATCACTAACGGCTATGCATGGGATAAATTGGTGCATTGTGGTGGCTGCCAGTGGGCAGGGCGTGTGCCGTTTAGGCGAGTGAGTAACGGGGTTGGCTGGACATGATGCTGAGGGATGGACAGAGTATATGTATCTCTCCTGGCCGCGGTGGCAAGGCTTGGTGAAGGCAGCCATGGATGGAGGCAACTCTGACGTCTATGACTGGGAGCCACGGAATAAGTCTTGCCGCTACGTATATTTCTATTATCATTGATTCATAGTGCATGACTCTCAATAATTTATTATTAAGTAGATTTCCAGTCATTTAAGATTTCAAGTCGATCAGAAGAGCTTCGTCGTACACTTCGCTGATTAGCCGGCGATGTGCCCCGATCACGCGAGAGGCGTATTATGACTTTGGAGGCTCGTTCGGGAAGCCTTGCTGTCTTAATGACGTCTTACGGGCTAATTTCTTCGAAGAAGTAGTGTGACATATTACACAGCTGGAAATAAATGCCGTCTGCGCACCACTTAATCTTCTTGAAGCAGTATTATGACTACTGTAGAAGGCACATCGGTTAGATTCTGCTCCGCGGCTCTTAAAGATATAGATAAAGGGGCATTTTGAACAGAAGTGCCGGATCTGCCGGCTAGTTGCAATTCCGACTTTTCCATCGTGGTGCAAGCGGCTTTCTATGATGACCTCTTTGCATCAACTAAGCCGGAGTACTGAGATGTAAGATCTGGCCGGCGGGATCCATGTATGATGTACCCAGTTTTCAAGGTACGCATACGGGAAACGACGCCACGAAATACGCCCTGAATACGCTCCGCATATTGGCGAATACGCTCATGCTCATCTGGGATACGCAAGTGCGTTGAATATGCCCTCACCACAGGAGATGGTGCAATCGGCCAACCAAATGATTCTTATAAAGCTTCAACAGAAATCAAGAGAAGTCTTTGACATGCCAGCAATAACCAAGACAGCCATTCCAGAACAATCACTCAAGACTAACAATGGCACTCCGCATCGCTCGCCTGGCAGTCTTAGCAGCTACTGTCAAACTGGCAGTTGGCCAATTCGATACCACGCCGCCTAAACTGCAGACTACACAATGGAACTCGACCTTCCAATTCTCCGCCGAGCAGCTGGCTCTTGGTAACTTAACTGCCGAGTACGGAGAGTCGGTGGCAAACATTGTCAACTACGATCGAACCCAACTTGCCAATGGCGGTCCTTTTGCGGATGACTTCTACAAACTTCCACCCAACTTGAAGGCGCCCACTGAGCCTGGCGAGATCATCAAAGTCGAGGAGTTTACCAACACTTCAGCATGGTCTATCCCCTCCGGATCTGCGCTATCTCGTATCATCTACTCCACCACCAACCTCAACGGCACACTGATCCCTGCGTCTGCCTTTGTTCTCTGGCCATACCAGGCAAAGCAGTTCTCGCATGGAGCGAAACAAAATGGATCTACTGCGCCGGTTGTGCTCTGGACCCACGGCACTTCAGGCTTCTACCCATCTGGCGCACCCTCAGCTCATCGATCTCTCTTCTATGCCGACTTTGTGCCATTCGCGTTGGCGGATGCTGGCTACGTGGTTGTCGCACCAGACTACGCTGGGTTGGGCGTGGGAACATCCTGGGATGGGAAGCAAATCCCTCATCAATACCTGGTGCGCGAAGCCGGAGCTAATGATGCACTCAATGCCGTGAGAGCCTCATGGAAGTCCTTCTCAGGCCGTGTGTCAAAGGACTATGTTGTCATCGGCCACAGCCAGGGCGGTGCAGTCAGCTGGGGTGTCTCCGAAGTCTTGGCCAGGAAGAACTCTGGCTTCGAGGACGTGGCAAAGCATCATTTGGGCACAATCGTAGTCGCCCCTGCCCAGAACACGCTCTCTTTCTTCCCAGAAGACTTCCTCAACTGGGTTGGCAAAGACCTGGACCAGATCTACAAGGACTTCAAGCTCAGCGACTGGCTCACGCCTCTGGGACTTGCGCGAACTGAGCTGCTCAAGCAGATTGAGGGATCTCAGATGGCTACTACCTACTTGCTCGGCAACGGAGACGACATTGTCAAACCTACCTGGAACGAAACTGATGCCGCCCAGTGGTTCCCCAAGCTGTCCAATGCGGGAAATCTTCCGTTCAAGGGCCCGATGCTTGTCTTCCAGGGCACGGAGGATCTCACTGGCGGTGGATACAAGATTGCTTACGAGACAGTGCAAGACACTTGCAAGACCCAGAAGGGTGATCTCGAGTTTCTTGCGGTCTTCGGTGTCGCCCACTTCCCAGTGCTCAGGGCCGCTCAACAGACCTGGCTGCACTGGATAGAGGACCGATTCGAGGGCCGCAAGGTGGAAAAGAGCGGCTGTGGTGTTTACTCCGAGCTGAAGAGCTTCCTGCCCGCCGACAAGTTGCAAGGTCTTCCCAACTCATTCCTGCAGTGGGCTGGCCAACGAGAATGGGGCTACGAGCTACCTACTGCGCTTTAATTAGAACTCACAGCTAGTATGCTTTTGTTCCGATGCCTCTTATCTGGTTGTCAATGGCAACTAAAGACATGGACGGGCATTAGCTACAGAGTAGAGAGATCTACTCATTTCACGTTGTATTTCCAGGGGCTATGGTTACCTAGTTAGTGTCTCGTGTTTGATCACTACTGCTCCTGGGCTATGATCTGCCTTTCACTGATGGTATATTCAAGAGTTAACTCATCGGATTGACCCCTTTATTGAATTGGCACTTCTTGAGGTATCATATCAATCTTTCGAACCCCCCTTTGTATTCACAAATTTTGCACCTTCATAAAATGTTAGATTTCCATAATTCCATTGTAATCAGCCTTGGGTGAAGCTAAGCAATTATCATGTTTCCCAAAACCGTTGACCCAAAACCGTTGACCCAAAGCCCAACATGAAGCTGGAAAGCGGTGATGCCTGTCTTCAAATTCTTGAACATTCTGGAACGGAATTCCGTCACATCCGGCAGCAGGCACAAAATTCCTCACAACTGGAAGATTCTCTGACTGCAGCGATATGACATTCTGGCAGTTAAACTGGCTGATAGGAATACCAATCTCTGGCGAAGAGAGAAGGCGAGAGATGAGAAATGCAAGCAAGGCTTACTTAACAAAATCCCAGCTAAGAAACGACGAATAACGCATTAGCATACAGCCCTCGCAACCCGAAATAAACGCTTTTATATTATTCCGCGTCCATTAGTGCCTGGATAGCTACGATGGTAACGTCATGCTTTGGACGTTCGTTTTGATAAGCTTGACAGAATAGCTTTAGTCCAATAGCTCGGCCTTGCCCGCTACCTCCTCCTACCAAGCCAAGCTCGATTGCATCAAATTTCGTTGTACCAAAATCCCAAGATTCCCATATTGGACTCTCGGTCTGTCCCTCTGCGACCAGTTGTATGGCACTCAACATCATCGTGTCAGAACGCCAGATCCGAATACTCGTCAGTCTTTTGCCTCCAAGCTTCCAGGATTGGTGATGATAGTGATGAGAGACTTCCCCTCCATTTCCTTCACAGACCACCGTCGACTCAGATCCATAAGTCTCGCTTAGTGGGAAATTGCCGGGCCCTACAGACACTTCATGCCCACTACCTTGTCGAAATGTAATGCCGCATATCGGAGACTGCGATCTTCCTTTGACGCCGTGGACGAGCGTGACGCGTACTTCTGACAGTGCGTGACTACAATCAAGCCAGCTTACGGAGCATCTAGCAGACAGAAATTGGCCTGTAGTCCCAGGTTGGCTGGCACTCCCATCAACCTCGTAGGTACCCCAGATTGGGCCATCCTCTTTGAGCCACGATGGTGGCGGCGATGGTTCCCAAAGTAAACCTTGACTGTCGTGTATCGAAGGCGGTAGATATTGCCGTGGATTTTGCCACAATTCTCGGGAGGGTAATTCCGGGCTCCACGAACCACCTGACCGAATGGTGCTGACAGATCTGAATTCTTGAGAGTGTCCTCCATATGCCCAGTATCCATACAGTCCGACAGAGTTATTCCAATCAAGAACCTTCTCAACACAGTTGTCTGGTTGATCTGAAGAAAGCCTAGAGTTATCAACGGACATATGCCGTCCTTGGTTTGTAGTGAAACGCAGCGAGGTTACCCTGGTACCCTCGGTCACAGCGACCTGGGTTATACGTTCTCCGCCGCGGCCGTCAATTAGGAGGGTTTTCATCCCTCGAAGACTTGGTCCAATTGAACGGCTTTCCTGGTCACGGTAGTTCACTTGCAAACCCCCAAGATGGATATCAGCCGAGATGCTGGTGACACCCTCGAGCTCTTTATCCGATGTTCCAAATAATAAAAACTCCACAGGATCTAGGTCATTGTCTGTTCGAAAAACAGTCGAAATGGTATGAGTAGAAAAGCGATGTCCTGGAGGTGGGAACTCCCTGCGCCAGAGATATTGCCTTAGCTTCTCGGAGCCATAACATTCCTCAAAGTAACCAAGATCAACCAACAGCTTATCGATGCGCGAATTCGAAGCAAAGCCTCGCTGACACCCGTTCGCTGCAACTCGGTCTTGCTCAATCAACGCTATCCTGCATAATGTCCTATCAATGAAGGAGCAAGTCATTTTCAGAGCAACCACGAAACGGCCACCTTGCAGGTAAATGAGGCGCTCATCTCCATCATTTGACCCGAATCCCAACCAGGTAGCCGTCGACTGACCAATCTACCAGCAATGATGGCCGTACACGAGCCAACTGTACCAATGCACTGAGGAGTAATCTTGGTGTGCGTTGGTTCCGGAGTTTGGTCTGACCTGTATGGAACATGCCGTAGTCTAGGGTAGGCTAGAAATAGTGTCAATTTAGAGCCATCACAGTTAGGATCCAATTCAAGTCGACGAATCGCGCGCTCGATTTATTAACTCGAGGAACAAAATGTTGCTTGGAAATCTGGATGCTATCGCTGTGCACGCCTCTCTATTGTGTGCAGGAAACCGGGTAGTTCCTATTTTGCAGCGTGATTCCTCTTCATCAGATCTGAATAGCATAAGTACGGCAAGTACCTACATGATGTACACGCAATGGAAGTTTGCCTCTCTTCGCGTGTTCATTGGATGCGCTCTTCTAGCTGAATGACTTATTGGCTCTCAGCCGCACACGGAAATAAACAAAACGAGTACGTTTACCCCTCAGCTCAGTGCGATGCTCCTCCGACCTCCCACCTTCATCAGCATCAATCAGCCGGGATCATTCAAACCCACCACCATCTTGGGAGCGCACAAAGAATGGCGTCTAATATTGGGTTTCAAACTCTGCCCGTCGAGATATTTAACCTCATCCTCGAACATGCGGACTTCTCCTCCCATTTTCCTCTGTCGCAGACATGCAAAGCCATGTACAGCCGGATGACTTCTCTTCTGGAGGAGCACCAAGCCGCGCACAGAAAGTACGGGGCTGTGTCGGATCTTTCGCCCTCTACTGTTCCAAATATGCTGGACGTCGTGTTCGGCTGTAAGGATCCCTCGCGCTCGATTGATTTATGGCACATGCGCTACCTCGAGTTCTTTGGATCCCGCGGGCGGTGGGATGATTGGCACTCGTGGGAGGTTGATCCGCTGACGGGCTTAAATGCTTCCACGACGCCTGAAACCAAGTCCGGGCCGTATGCCTCGGGATCTGAAGCATCAGAAACCGAGAATTCAGAGGCTTCGGCGCCATCACCTGGGGTTCGACGATGGAAGAAACGCGTGACATATTACATTGAGGAAGCAAGGAAGCGTAGGATTATCCCAGAGTCAGGTTTAGAGTACGCCAGGTCCTCTATCCTGTCTGGATCTGACGCGGTGTTGAAGGTAATCCTCATCTCTGCCTTGCCGTATCTGAAGGTCCTTAAGTACGTCAACGCCGATTCCTCTTCTTCATCGAATATTGTTTCGTTTTGCAAAGGTATTGAGTGGGCTTTGGATTTCGGTGTCTGGCCTCCTGGTCTACTCTCGCTCCGAAGACTCGCAGTCGGTATCTCCCTCTCCAATAGGGAATCGTCGTTTGGCACCAGCGTGCTTGTCAGACTCCTGCAACTGCCAAACCTTGATGAAATCTATCTTCGCGGCATGAGAATTGATAGGGGGGATCTTAACTTTGATGATTCTCTAAATTCCGAGGATGAGGACAATCTCTTCTGGCATCTTTCGGACCTTGACGAGTCTGAAAGGGCCCGTGAGAAAGCCCGCATTCTGCGAACGCGCCTCTCACTGCCGGTCCATTCTTCATCCGTCAAACACATCGTCCTTCACGAGCTGATAGACTATGACGCGACTGGGGACTTCATGATTGCCCTGCTCAAAACGCCCAAGAATCTCGAGTCTATCACTATCTGCGGATGTGAAGAGCCACTTGCGAAGACGGATGAGATGATACGTGTTCTGTCTCAACATCAATCCGCGTCTCTTCAACGATTACTCTTATACTCGGAGCACGAAGAAATTGAGACGTTCCCAACTGCTGTGTATATGCTCTCTGATTTGAAAGGTTGCAACAACCTCAAAGTGTTGAACGTCAGATGGAGTGATATCAGTATTCATGCGCGCTCGGCCAACTCCATGGACATTCTCAACACTGAAAAACTTGTTGCCCACTTTGTGAACGCATTTCCTCCGAGCATATCTGTCTTGGTCGTTTACGAAGACTTTTTCTATTGCGGCGAATCCATCGGGGACCAAATTGATGATTGTCCGAGCTTGAACGATGCCATAGTGGCACTAATCGAATCAAAACGATACCCATACTTGGAGGCAATCTATCTCGCCATTGACAGCGTCAATGGCAACATTTTTGAACCAGTACCTGAGGCTCATTTCCAACGCACAATAGATGCTGGGAAGCAGCATGGTATCCATGTCCATGCGCCAACAGGCACCGAGTGGCCTGCTTCTCATAATAGCTATTTTGTGACCATGCCGAACATCCATGAGGTCAAATCGACGCCGGGCTATGACCCGAACTGGGTATTTGACCACTTTACTGGCCGAAATAAGTCTAACCAACCATGTTACGGTTGTGGGTGGTGTGATAAATGTCGCGAGAATTGATGACTCGACCACATGGTGGCAATTAATAGAGCTGATTGACTCATGTGGAACAAACTATGTTAAGGAGGCAAGTGGGTGTATTATATGACCCTCTGTAGGGTACCTATAATACCCTACTACTAGCTAGCCTTTATATTCTCTTCTTTTCCTCTTTAATTAATTAATATTATATAAACCCTATAAATAAAGCTCTGCTTTACTATATATAGTCTAATCTTACTAGAGTATATTAATAATAATTTATATATTATTTATTTTCTTTATTACTATTTAGTTTATTATATAATAATAATTTCTATATTTCTTTCTATTATTTTTTAATTACTAACTATATAAATATAAAGTAATATACTCTTTACTATCTATAAACTTATATATATATAAGTCTATAGCTAAAACTTTAGAATAATTAATATTATTATATTTAAAAGAATTTACTATTAAAAGAATATAAGAATAATAAATTATAATTAATATAAAGAAAATCCCTATTAGATATAGAACTATTCTATACTATATAAAGCTATATAGCTTTTTAAACTTACTAAGTAATTAGCTTCCTATTATAAAGAAATTAAAAGAAAGAACTATAAGTTCTATTTTTATATTATAACTAATTATAATAAGAAGATTACTAATAAAAACTAAATTTTAATTTTAATATAATTATATTAATTTTATCTCTATAATACTCTAGCTCTTATTCTAATTACTAAACTTACTCTTTAAAATAAATCTTTTACTATAAAAATAACTATTAAAAAAATCTTAAACTATTTTAAACTACTAAGAGTTATCCTACTTTTACTTTAAAACTAGATTATACTAATTTAGATTAGAAAGCTTATATAAAGCTTAATTATTTAAAAAGAAATATATAGAAAATAAGTAAAAGAAGAACTAGTATTTATTAGAAAGAGAACTAGATAATTAATTCTTATTCTATAAATAACTTATATTAGAAGTTAAGATAATTACTCTCTTAAGAGTTAAAATAATTACTTTAAATTCTTAAATTTCTATTAATTCTTCTCTTTTTATATTATCTAAATTCTCTTCTAATTACTTTTTTCCTACTTTATACTATTTAAATCTATTAATTTTACCTATCTCTTATCTCTATATTATAACTTAGTTTAAATTACTAGAATTAATTAATCTATTTAGTTTTTTATTAGAGTTTTCTCTATAATTATCTTAGAATTACTCTAATTATTTAATATTTACTATTAAGAAATTTAGAATAATCTTTAAAATTATTACTCTAAGTAAGTATATACTCTTATTTTATAATAATTATCTATAATTCTAAAATAATTATCTATATTTTTATTATCTAAGAACTTATTCTATCTACTTCTAGAGAAATTTTAAGTATAATCTAAAAGTCTATTATTAAAAGATTATTTCTTATTATTTTCTAAAAATTATTATATATCTTATTACTATAATCCTTCTACTATTAAATAATAGAGATCTCCTATTATTAAACTATAAAGAGAATCTTTTTTAATAATTCTATCTTATTCTATATACTTATTAATTCCTTTAGTAAAAGATAATTAAAAAGATAAATATTTTTATTCTACTTTTTCTATTTAAAAAGAACTATAACTCTAAAAAGTATCTATCTAAATAAATAATAATATAAACTAAGGATAAGAAAACATAATAGGAAAACCTAGTAAGTAATAGCTATTATTACTTTCTATAAATCCTATCTATACTAGATAGTAATATTTAGAGAATATTATAATAATTAATATATTAATTAAAGAAATTAAATAAGATAGAAATCTATAGTTAGTAAATATTATAAACCCTAAGATCTAAGAAATAATATATATAATATTATAAGGAATTAGCTAATTAATATAAAGCTTAATTAAAACTTAATATCTTTAAATAGCTTTATAAATAGTTTTAAATATTATTATTCTAACTAAGATTATATAAAGATTCTCTTAATAAAATTCTATTAATATATCTAGCTTTATTTATCTAATTACTAGTAGATTAGTTAAAGAATCTAGATTTAATTAAACTAGAAGTAATTACTCTTAATATAATAATTCTTATCTATATCCTCCTACTAGTAGAAACTTTAATTCTTAGAGAAAAGTTACTAAGTATAAATCTCTAATTAAAGACCTATACTTTAACTATATTTAATATAGATAAGATTATTATTATAATTATTTCTAAGATAATTACTATAATTATTCTTAATATTAGGAACTTTATTCTAGATATTATAATAATAATAATTCTAAAGAAAACTTTAATAGAGAAATTAATTTTTCCTTATAAGATTATTATTATTAATATAACTAATAGAGAGTTAAGTAATATAATAACTTTAATTTAAAAGATTATAATAATAGGTTTTCTAATAATTACTTTAATTAACTAATAGACTCTTCTATATATAATATATACTATAAGTATAGCTAGTATAAATAGAATTATTATAGATCTTTAGAGAGAAAAGATTACTTAAGAGATAATTAGAATAAGAAATAATATATTAATTTATATAGAGATAAGCCTAAAAGTTATAGTATTAAAATTAAAATCCTTATCTTAGATACTTTAAAAACTTTAATCTCTACTTATATTAGTTAAATTAACTAGCTTATTAAGATATATAGAAAAAAGAAAGTACTATAAGTAATTATTTCTAATATTCTAATTAAGCTAGAATTAAATAGATATTAATAATTCTAATTCCTTACTCCTAACTAGAAGTAACTTCTTAGAATAAGTATCTCTAAGTAGAAGAGATTTCTATATTAAAGATTCTAATATAATTATAGAGCTATTATATAGAAAGCTAATAATCTAAAGTACTCTTTCTTAGATAAGAGTTAGATTAATCTTAAATCCTATATTAATTAGAAACTTATCTTATATAATAAAGCTAGAGAAATAGATAAGAATATTAAAACCTAATAATTAGTTATAGATATTAATCTAATCCTAGTAAACTTAGTTACTCTAAATACTAATATATCTATTAATAATATTTATAATTAATTTAGCTTATAAAAGTATACTATAAATACTTTTATCTAGCTTCTATAGAGAAAATATATTATATAATTATAACTATAAATAACTAGAAATCTTATAATAACTATTAGAATAAATATTAGAATTAAAATAGTTATTAGAATAATTAGAATTAATAAAATAATTTTAGTATATAGAATTACTATAAGAATTCTAATTAGAATAATTAGAATAATTCTTTAACTAGAAATTAAAAGTCTAATAAGGATTATAAATCTTATAATAATTAGAAGCTATATAGAAATAAGTAATATAATAATTAAAAGTCTTATAGAAATAAATAAGCTTTTAATTAATAAGATTTAAATTTAAACTAATAGATAGGAAAATCTATAACTCTCTTACTAGATTAATATAAAGAGCTATTTAGAAAATCTTTAAATAAACTAATAAAAGCTTTTATTATTACTAAACTATTAAATAAGATAATTATATATAAATAGGAGAAAGATCTAATTAATATAGATAATAATATAGACTCTATTAGGAGCTCTACTAAGAATAGAATATTATTAAATAATTAGAGTAACTAGTAACTAGGATTAGATTATCTCTAGATTAAATACTAAATACTAATATTAATATACTAATTTTAGAATCTTAATAAAATTATTATTCTAATCTTATAAAGATATCTATATATATTAAAGGAAATACTTATATTTACTATATAGTTAGTAGAAATAAATATAGTTTTATTAATTATATATAACTTTACTTTATTTTATATTAAAATAGTATATTAATAGAGATTCTTATAGATATATATATTACTCTAAGTTTTATATTTAGAGCCTTTTTATAATACTATTAGCTAATAATTACTAAATAATAAATAAATTCTTTTTTTTCTATTAGTAGTATTAGTATAGAAGAACTATTAATAATAATATAGATAATTATAATAGTAACTTATTATACTATAAAGAATAAAATAGTATTCTTTTTAATAGAATTTTAAATAGTAGATAAATTAAGTTATAATATTCTAATAGAAGTATTAGTACTTTAAAAGAATAGATTATATATTTAATAGGAATATAAAAATAAGAATAATTATCTAGTTACTAATAAAGATAAGAGAATCCCTATAATCTATTTAAATAGAAAATAATCTAAAAGAGATATTAAAAGAGTATTTATTATATAAGCTATAGAGAATTATTATATTATTTCTAATAGTAGTTTTAATATAAAAGTTTATACTAGTAAAAAGATAAGAGCTATTTCTATTTATATAGATAGTTATTATTTAATTATAAAGCTTTTAACTAATTAGATTAAACTAGCTTATATTTTCCTTATAAATTTAATTATTATTAATTAAGAAGTAAGATTATTATTAATAAACTTAGATAATACTCTATTATTTATCTATAAAGGAATTCTATTAGAATATTTATATTTAGTAGATATTATTAAAGATTCTAAAATATTCTATATAAATACTTCTATAAAACTTAGGAACTTTACTAATATATATTAAAAATCTATAATCCTACTTTTTAATCTTTTAAATAATATACTAATTATTTAAAAACCTAAGAATCTAAAGATACTAAATAAATATTTCTACTATTTACTAAATATTAAATTACTATCTTAAGTATAATAGATAAATATATCTAATTACTAAGGAGAATTTATAAAAGAATATATTATAAATATTATTACTAAATATATTAATCTCTTTTATAAAGATATTAGATATTTTAATAATAAGATAGAAATACTAATTAATTTCTATAGAAATATAGATATCTCTAATTTAGTTTAGTATCTATATAACTTATTCTTAAGAGATTATTAAGTAATAGATAATATATTATAATTACTTAGAGAGATAGAAATAATTAAATTAATTTCTTTTAAAGAAATCTATTTAATATCTTCTCTAGTATTTATAGTTTAGAGAGATAATAAGCTAA